GAACCTTAGATCAAGCATTGAGGAAAAATTGGGTAAATTTTTTCACTTTTTAGATGCTGTATGGGGACTGAAGCAAATGAATTTCCTCAAATTGGAGGTATTGCATTGGGGTTTGTTGGTGAGTCGAGCTTCCCTTTGCCAGCCGACCTAGTAAATCGACACTTATGCGGAATCGTAGATAGATGGACTCAGACCACAGAGAGGGATTGCGTGACATACCTTAGTGAACCAGTCTTATCTTAGCCGCACCAAAATCTTCCCTTTCAAAAATGAGTTGAAACTCTGTCTTTTTGTGGAGGACCACAGCCTCCATGCTGCTACATGTATCTCCTCCCGTTATCTCTGTGTTTCTTCTGCTCACTACTTTGCCTAAAAACACCAATTTTAATGCTGCCACTATATTTAAATCGCGTGGAGCAAATTCCTTCTCCCCCAAAAAAGCTTTCATAGATAAAGCAGAAGTCAAGGGTGACAGCGTATTTTGAAGAGGCGCTTAGTTTGACGCTATAGACCTTAAATCACTCTGTAAGTTTCATCCTAAAGAGCCCCTCTTAAGTCTGTACATTTCTCCTTCAGCTCCCATGGAATAGTTTAGAATAGACAGTTTGGACTCAAACTCTACATGGGGTACACTTTCCCCAAGCATACTGAAGTAAATCGTTATGATAGGAAAAGTTGTAAGAAAAATAACCTCCCCTAAATATTCTGCTGTCTGGTCATGCATGTCCCTAAAATTCCAGTAACTTACCTGAGGATCCTGATTTAGCGTACCTGATATTGCGAATGCTGCAATGCATCGAAATGGATGGGATCACCAAACTCTGGCGTCGTCCATGTAGATTGATTTCACTGTGTCGGTGTACTTTATTTCAAGAGGACAACCGTCAACGGGTACTGACCGACATCTTACAATTCACCCTCTTTCGCTTTCTTCAAAAGAAAATCTACTATTTCCGGCCATAAACATTACGTAGCTGTAGCTGCATGATTTTTCTACCTGCTTTTGGACACAACTTTATCTACTATCACTTAATTAATACTGAAGTTTTGACTTTGCAGTTCTGGTCGTAGATATGCGATGTCCCTCATCACCATGGCGTTACCAGGTTCGTCAGTCAATAAAGAGGTAAATAAGAAAATTACATCTCAGTTGAGAGGATCGGACGGCGCTGAATGGTGGCATGAAAAGAACGAACTCTGAGATGCAGTTCACTTGGCCGCTGTTTTTTAACTTATATACGATGTCCTTGGCAGTGGTCGATTTTGAAGGGGGTGAATTGACATGGCACCAGTATATTTACGTGAAGTACGACAATTTCAAACAGAATCTCCACATCAGTGGTTATATTGAGTGACATAAATCTAGCCTAACCTAATTGCTCTCAATAAGAGACGATTTCCATGCTCTCCCACCATTTTCCCTTTTTATATTTACGCTTCATATTTGAAACATAGTCCAGCGCCCTGGATCAAATATTCTAAATTACTTCTGATGTAGGTCAGAGCCGACCTTCACTTTAGCCTTACGAAATCCACACAGAATGACAAAACCCTTCAAAATTGACACCCCAATATTTGCTGAATTTTTCGGTTCACAGTTTACTTAGACTCCTTAACGGCGTAATTTTTAACGTTGTAATAAGTGACACACACACACAAGTGCAATTCTGCCGAAGTTAATTTTCAAAGAAAGCACTTGCATCACCTAACCATGGAATCCCTCACAGTAAGTTGGGCAGCATCATTGTCAAAAGTCTTCCGGAGCCCAATGCTATCAGCGAAATTTCGGCAGCATGACTTCATTATCATGTATATCCCATCAACACACAACAGGCATAAAATAGGATCAAGAAATTTGCCTTCTGTCGCACTACTCTTAACTGACCGCGTGATATCAAGACCATGTAGAAGTCGCTTCCTATCTAACCCATTCCATAACTACCTGACTTTATTAGGAAAATTTAAACGGCGCCCATCTAAAATCTACGAATAATGCATCCTTCAGCCTGTTGGAATTAGAGGCATCCGCTATACTCTCCTGTGTAGGAATGACCTGTTCCAAAACCAGGCTGTTCCTAAAGCAGAAAATTTTTACCTTTTGCATGCCGAATGATAGCATCATGGACGGTTCTCTGTAGTAGCCCAACAACAAAATACTTAAACTAGCGTAAATGCAGTTCTCAAACAAATATACAAGTGCAGCTTTGATGATGTAATTCTCGCAGTATCTTGGAGACTTAGTCTGCCTGGCAGACATGTCGAACAGCAACTGCGCCTACCCATCTGTGGTCCTTACCAAAGCAGATAATTTTCGCTGACGGAATTGATTAAAACCACCAGAGTGATCAGAAATTATCTTTAAAAACAGATTTGGAATAATTTACTTCCCAGAGTGTCGAGGTTTCAATAACGAATCTGCCTTCGTGGAGTCTAACGCACGTGCACTACGCATTTCAGAAATATTTCGCCAAAATAAGCTTACATAGCCTCACCCCTTGACAAATTATTGTCCATCATTCTTATCAGGTTTTATTCGATTGAGGGACTAAAGTCAGCACCACTTTCATGGTCTTTATGGATAAATATGCGAAGAGTGATTCTGGAATAGCCCTGACTACTCATGGTAAATGTTCTTCTAGACTAGCAAATCATAGCCTTACGCTGATATGTGGCCTCGCAGCATCTTAACCATAAAAGGTGCAGACCATTTAAGATAAAATTTTTCATAAATATTTCCCCTGAGGGACAAGTGCCGCAATCCTTCCGCCTATCTGCTATGGCATGTTCCATGTCTCATAAGAAATCCTCCACAGAATAAATTCAGTTGTAACCACTAGGAGCGTTTCACTGAAATAACAACAATGGACTACTGTTCGTAAGTTTAATAATAGAGCTTTGAGCAAACAAACATGAAAGCACTTTCACTTTACTGTTTTCATGAATCAGGGTAAGATAAGGAGTGTGGACTACGTTCGAGGAATATTAATAAAGTCACGAGACAGCGATAAGTAACGATTTTGTTAAAGATTAAATGCTGGCAATGTGCACAAAAATAAGTGCTGCATTATTAAATGGGTTCTCATCTATTCATATATTCTGCTGCTGGTGGTATCTGATCGGACTCCCAACGGAATAAATGAACACATATTTTGTCTAGACGTAGTTCGTGCTGCACGGTTGAAAAGGTACGTTATTTATCGGGCGGGTTCACATATTTTTCGTGTCCACTAACAGAGACTACCCAGCTATTGACCACAGAAAACGAGGGAATGCAGCACGGCTGGTCAAGAGAACTATACTAAACCGTATTTCTGACTGGCCGTTCATCAGCGAAATAGAAACCACTTACGTGTGTATATACAAAACAAGCATAAATCTAAACAAGTAAAGTTTGTAGGCTGACGGTATTGAAGTTTACGGATAGTACGAAGTATACTAACACAAAATCTAATACGCACAACTTCTATAGTATTCGTTTCGCGTGGATCAAAGGCAAAGCAGAAGACAAGAACTGACCCTTCAAATTACGAGATATATTTCGGGACCAAAATGGAGTACGAGATGATTGCCTAGCTAGCTAGGGATCGTGCACGAGAGAACGAATGTGGCGCTATGGAGTAGGATGGTTGACCGGAAGTCTTCAGCCAAACAAGATGACTTGAACAGCTAGGGTCAGCAGCCAATGTTCAGTGATGAATGCTGTGGCCAATAATTTTTGGGAATTATTTACCGCTACAGACGCAAGGATTCTCATTATAAACATTAACAGCCATGATCTAACGAGAAGACTAATTGATCAGTTCAGGATATACAAAACCCTTATCCCAGAAATGCAATAGCCTATCTTTCTCAGGGTTTTCTGTTACTAAGGTAAGTACATATCAGCTGACATATGATTATTTAAATGCCAGAACCTTGTATCTGGCTAGTGTAAGAAAAATCCCAGGCCCACAACTTCTGCAGTATTTGTTGTGAATGGACCAAAGGCATATCAAAACACGAAATTGATCGGCCGAAATGGGATATATACTTCGGGATTAAAATCATTCTGCCGGTATGATTGCTTGGGTGGCTGAGGATCATGCACGAACGCGGCAGCACGTCGAACGGATTAGACACTTGACCACATTCAGCTTAGCGAATCAACTCAAACAGAGGAGATCAGCATTAAAAGTTTTTAATAAATCTCCAAGCTCATAAGTTTGGGGGATTATTTACCGCTACGGCCCTCTAGAGATCTAGATCTCTGCGATCCATCCCTCATTTTGGTCCCAATCAAATTACCTAGTGCTCCAAAATAATAGCCGTAATTATGCTACACATACTACAACTGCAGTCCACCCTTCACAGCGTCTCTCTGACATCACTTCCTCCTACCACCGAAATTCTCCTGGATAACACGAAATCTCAGCTTCGATATTAATGCAACTTGTGTAAATAACGCAAAGTATTTGCCGCAGGAATGGAGAACGACGTTTACAGCATGAAAAATGCCTTAACCTCTTCGGCGAAATCAGTTTCTTCTCCTAAATATGTGTATATAATGTTGAAGTGCGTTGTGCTGGCACTCTCAACAAGTTGTCTTCATTGGGGTTCTAAATTATCAAACAAACTGGCACTCACAATTTAGGCTTTAGGGATAACCTTTTCAAGGACATCTGTGAACTGTTCATCACATATCTTTCTCTTTCATTCTGTCCGAACGACACCCACACCCTATGAGTTCACAATACTACTACTGACATAAAAGGAGCCCTTAATAATTATTGTTGAAACATGTTACAATTCACAAAAATGATATGCCGAATTTCAAGGGTAATTAAACAAATGCCTTCAGCCGGAAGAATGAATACTGATAGTATAAATCATGATTTGGTGGATAAAGTGATACAACCATAAGCTTGAGATTTAAAGCAGCATCATTTGAAACAACCTTACTTTATTGACCACAGTAACATTTTCTTGTTTGAGTACATCAATGCCACATTTCGCTGCTACAACTGACTCTGGCAAGTATTAGAAATGGTAGAAACTTTGAAAGAGTGCTTAGATTACCACTGCATAGATAAAGATGGTAAATATAATTTTTCTGGAATATTGTTTCAGTTAAACATATTGAGAAGGCTTGCAACTTGTTAGTGTCAGCATCAAAGTCATGGAAACCCGGTCGGAACTTTATTTACACGAGCCAAGAAGTTCTACGACTGGCAGTATTGTCTGCGAAGGTAGTTCATCGTCGAAGTCCAATTTTTTCAAAATCAAATGTTTAGGCTCGTCTAACCAAGATTGTTTCTTCAGTTATGCACATATATGAATGTATATTTGGAAGTAGTGGTGAATTCACTGACCTGGTTTCATTGCTATTTTCCGAAGTATCCTTCCAGGTGGGAGACTTCTCTGCTGTAAGCTTTGTTTCTTCAAATACGATCTTTTTTCAGGATAGCATAAATTTGGCCATGAACCACATTGAAAAGTCAGTATACGAAGCCATGGAAAATGATCATGATTACATAATTAATAACTTGATAATAATTTTGTATAAATTCGTTCGGGTCAAATCGACATCATTCAAGAAAGCTGATCTAATCTTATTTTTGAGGCAGAAATTGAAGCAATTATTAGACACGCACAATAAAAATTTTTCATGGATCATCAAGTTCGGGATGTAAGTGTTTCATTGTTCAACGTTAACTTTTCTAAAACAAAATGGTAGTTTGATCACTGTTTTCCAGTTGTACAGGTTGGATTGATGTGTTTTGCAATTAAGCACAACCGCACGGGGTTTCATAAATTATTACAGAAAAAATTTTTCGTTTTTATGAAGTGTAATATTATTCATAAGAATTAAATACGCGCAGCGAAACTTTGATTCTCAGCAGTCAGCTTGTCTTATTTTCCCAGATTGCATTTATAATTTGACGTGAAAATAAATAGCAATCTGAATGAACAGAATAGATACAAACGGATTATATTTCTGCACAAATTAATGTTTCTTCTCTATAAAACTACTAACATCCACAAACTTCAGTCATCTGTTATTCTCTTATGGTTAGCATTGTTTTGGAAAGACAAATATAAATAAAAAGATTTCACAACGAAGCAGTGCGCATTAATACCACATCTAGGCAGGCAAAGTTGATAAGTTTTAATGAAACTTTCTCGCTTTGAAGGAGATTTTGAAGTGACATGATTTGCAGTTAGTGAGTTTAGATTTTTAGACATTTTTATTCATCTGTTTATCATAAGAAGTTAGACGGTAGAAGTCTTGTTGCGTGCGTTGTCTGACTAAACTGCCGTACACATATATTCTAGTATTTCTTTGTTCTTATTAATGTGCCCAGACGTTGTGGTTACTCGACGCCCACAACGTAAATCAAAAGGCACTTACGAAGAGTACGATCGTGTATTATGGCAGTAGTCAAATTCGAAATTGTGTCAAGGTAATGTTCAACAGTAAATTGAAAAATATTTGCGAAGTGCATATAAAATCAGTCTGTATACACATATAATACAAGTATAAAAATTTGATTAAAAAGCATGTTTACAGTTGGTATAGGGGTACTACAGTCTTATGCTTATTTTTTATTCAAAATACAAAATTGGCTGGTGGATTTCCATTATCCAGTTTTTTCTGACTTGGACTAGGGTTCTTTTTGAGCAACTAATGTCTTCCCTATGTGGTACACTGGTCAACATCCATCTTAATAGCTTAGTGTTGAGGTACCTGCCCTCACCGTCTACCCAAACTAATTCGGATGTTCAAGTTGAACTACACATACACGTGAACGTGAACATGAAATCCATTTCGAATGCCACCTTTTGCTGAATGAATTTTAATATTTAAGATCGGAGTCTAAAGTAATTCAGTCTATTACCAGTTGACATAATAGCTACATTGAAGATCTAGTTTGTGACCTTGTCAGTATCTAGAACTTAGAGGCCAGATTATATATGTGACACATACAACTATTTGAATCCATTGTAATGCATTTCATATGTTCATAAATCCAAATAAACGTTTGTTTGGATGTGTACGAATAATTTTGTTAACAGAGAAACATTATTTTAGCGCTATTAAACTATATACTGAAGAGGATTTCAACGCTTTTGGATGAGGGTCAACCGAGTGAATTCCGCAGGATTAGCTAGAATTTAGTCACGTGATTAATCAAAGTTAAATTTTGACCACCGTTACCTGAAATATAATTATCACCATGATTTGTGAACAAAATACCTACACATTACTTTTTTATTACAAGTGGTCAGAAATTTAGTCTATGATGCAAACACAGGCGGAAAATCCATAAAATCACATCTTTTTTCTGAGTGCGTTTCCAATGTGTAACGAAAATAATGTATTCTACTCGTCAAAGAGAAAATATCAGTTTATAAGGTTTTATCATAGCTCTAAGAACACATTACACAGATAAAACCGTAGTCAGAAAGAGTCAAAAAAATAAGTGGCTACTTATAATTTGGCAAAACATTTTATACGTATAATTTGCACGCTTCTGTCTGTAGATTTTAAAGAACCAGGCCAGAAGTAAGCACAACAGCCCTCATCGACACGGAAATTTCCTGTTATCTAGTAAATCTCTTAACCAGACAGAGTTTAGCTCCAAATTCTGCATTTCTGTAGAGTCAGAATTCATTTAGAAGCTATAATAAATAGTTTAGTAGTGCAAAACAAATACTAACCGTGATGAGCCACTACGTCAATGTCTTTATCCATAGACCTTTAAATGCAAGCAAAATAAGAGCTTTTCAGGATAAATGAGTTTTAGTGAATACGTTTGGAGCGACAGACATTTAATATGCCATTTTGATTTACGGAAGTGAGCAAAACCATGATAAAAGTATCAGCGAATTTTCGCTTTTTCAAAGTACAAAAATTCTCTAAAATTATTTACAACCGGTATGAGATAAGCACAGATGATTTCATTTGAAACTAGATAATGATGAAATATATTACTCAAATAGTTGGTAATTTTGAAGCGTCTCTATTACCTGGTGATTCGGAATTCTCACGTGTTGCTCCCTAAGTTCCAAATAGACTGAGGTTTACGACAGCAAAGTAAAGTAATTCTGTCTCCTACTTATCTATATTCTTGCCACAATCATCAGCTTGCGGTATATCTGAATGGCGAAATGTCCTGTATTTTTTGTAAAATTTGAATTTTTCTTATTGTTTAGACTTCTCCTGGAAACATATGTTCAAGTAGGATCCCGAAAAGAAGCAAGTCAGTTGCTGGAGACTTTGGCCAGTGGTGTTGCCCGCCATGTTCCTGAAGCAATGGTTGAACTTCTTGCGATAGCCAGTGGAGCAAATTTAGCGAGTGCCGAACGTTACATCAGCTGGGTGCTTGGAGTTTATAATAACAACGAAGTTGGATCTTCTGTAAACCAGCCAATTAAGCACTTTCCCTCTAATACAAAGGAAGGAAATTTACAAATGAGTGGCACATTAGCACAAAGTTTAATCAGTTTTGGTATAGTACCAGCGAGTCGTCTAGCGAAGCTTCGAGCAAGGTTTGTTTGTTTTTTTCTATTCATTTCTTACCCAGAAATAAGTTTATATAATTGCCATTGTACAGCTAAGTGAATAAATTCACCGAAAAGAGACTTCGCTGAATAACTTGCTTTTTTCAGAAACACAAGAAATAAAAACTTCTCTTCCATCTATCGAGCCAAACACTGAAAGAGTGCAGAAATGAATTAAAAGCGTAAATTAAAATATAAAAAAACATATAACTACAATCGGATGACTATTATAAATGATGATTGATTTCTGGGAGAAGTTTTAGGTTCACCAGATAATACTTAATTTGGTTTATACTGATCGGAAAGAAGAATAATAATGACTTCCAGATGCATTAGAGAATAAGTTATTCACCAACTGTGAAGAATGGAGTTGATTGATGGAGAAGGTAAGAGGAAAAATAAAGGATACATTTCATCTGTAAATTTTTAGTCAACCAGGTTTGGGGTTCTATCATTGTGAATTTGAAAAAGAAGGAAATGTCCAGATGGGAGAATTTGAGATTATAAAATGTCGAGGGGATTTAATCTACGTAAATTTGTCGCCTTCATGTTATGAGTATTTATCGACTATTTATTTCTATCACTTCATTCATCATTCATTTATGTTCAGCAATAACGCTGACGATAATTGTAGTTAATCATCGGTGTTATGCAACCAAGGTATATATACAATGTTTGTTCATTGAAACTAGTAATTAGTTTTGTGAAAAGTTGAACTATTTTATGCACTGTCTTTTGATTTAAAGAAATGATTCGTATAGAGTTAGGTTTACTTGAATGACACCAGCCTTAAAAGAACATTGAAATTCAGACGGCATCCTTTTATTCCTGGTTTAGGACTGAGCTAATTTACACACATTTTGGTTCTCTATAGGCTAAGTTAGACAAAACCTTAATCATATGTTTAATACTTTCTACAGAGTTTATATATATATATATATATATATATATATATATATATATATATGACATTTCGGCTTTCAAAACAGCTGAACAGTATGAAAAACTTGAAATTACTAAGATGGAATGAAATAGTTACTGATTATTGTCTGGATTTTATTGATTGTGCAATAAATGCTAGTTGTTAAGAGCATTAATTTTTTTTATTGTCCTGCACGTTCCCAGTGGAACACAGGGCTTCAAGCTAGATGCTTGAAGTTTCTGTAGCAGTGGTGATTATTTTTACAGGATGGGGTTGCTAGCCTCATGCCAAACCTTTCCTCTTCACCAGTCTCACTACTGGCTTAGCGAGGTAAAGGAGTGCGCCGGCCGGGGATCGAACCCTGGACTATGTGCATGGTCGGCGAGCGTCCTAACCGCTATGCCACCGACGCACCTAAGAGCATTAAAATAACTATTATATTTGTAAAACTTGGTGGTATATAGTTCCGTATTAATTTGTATGATATCTTCAATAAATAAATTAAAATAATTACAATTTCAGAATAAACCGATATTTATTCACCTTAAGAATACTGTACAAACTTACAAAATCAAAATTTTGGGACTTTTTTCACTGAGAAAGTATTTTTTCCATATTACTGATATTCTATAGTCCAAAGAATCCCATTGAACAAGTTGATGAATTTCTAAAAATTCTACGACTACTTGAAATTGAAGATAAAAACGACGAGCTATTACCGTTATCTGATAAACAGATGGAAGACAGAGCTGTCACTTTAGAAGATCAAGTTATTAATCATGAGAGTAATGATAATACTGACAGTAATTCTGTAACACTAAATAATTCTGAAGACACTATAGAAGATGCACTGTCTCCAAAGTATTTAACAAGTGAAACACGGTAAGAAAATTATTTTACCATTTTGGTTTATTATTTAATATTTAGTAGCAAGACAAGTAAAAACTGAGTCTCAAAGCGAATGGAATGGGGAATGCTAGTTACCGGTAGCATTAATCTAGATATCTATTCCGTTATAATATATTTCCAACTTGACCGAAATTTAACACTTATTTCTTCAAACGCACAACCACGATAACTTGTTAAAAAACATCAGTTTTTTCGTTTAAAATCTTTCTCTCATATTAATTTTATTGATGTGACTAGCACTTACTTGTACATCCATGATGTGCATTTCCTCCTGTATGGGACTCGACACCTTGGTCTACCTACATTCCCAGTGGGTGATGGTATTCACATTGGGCAATCAGGTGTATTCATCTATCGCTACCAGCTAAAATAAGATGTTAGTCTTCAGACATCGTCAGAGTGTCCACACCTGGAGCCAAGATGCCACCAGAAACCAAGCGTTTGGGTCTAAAATAATGAACCTACGGGAAATGCAAATTAACTTGGACAATAATCTTTCTTTCTTCCTTATTTCCCATTACTAGGAGTCAACCAATCGAGTTTCAAAAAAGTGTGGATTTCGTAGTAATTCTCACTGAATATTAAAGTCAAAAGAACTCCCACCAGGACCTACAAAAATTAAGTACATATGTAACAACAGAAGACAAGGGCCGGCAACAGATCGTTTTATTAAGGAAATCAACATGTATTTATATATTTTTTCTGTACATTATTATAGCTTATGCAAGTAGATAAATGCAGTCTTCTAACTGGTTGTTTCTCGGAAGTTATGCAGACAAACACAGGCTTCTGAGTGGTTGTTTCGGGGAACATCGAAAAGTAGAGCCATCTGTCTGCAAATCATATTTGCCCACGTTAAGTTTCCTGTGATTGGTTGTTGAATCAGCCTTGTTCATATTTTCTCACGGCCAATATTAGTGACTTAGACACTGACGTAGATTAATGTCCACCAATTGGCTAGCAGCCTGCTCTCACCACACATATAATTCATACTTTAGAGTAAAATAAGCTTATATCAACTAAAAGGTTTAATTCCTGTGTACTTAAACTATTTAGATAGCATACTGATGTTTAGAGCATTGGTCTTCATTCGACTCTCTGATACTTATGAATTAAACCAACAGATTATGTCTACTTTTATATGAGTCACTGCAACTGTGACGTAACTGACTGTCATTAGACGTTATACTTTATGAAAGTGTCTACTCTACAAGTATGTAATCTGCATTTTTACAAAAAAATTATTTTTTTTATCTTTATTTATTTCTTCTTGTGTTATATCTTTATATAGATTCAAACTGTTAGTACGTCTGTCACAATTGGCTCTTGATCGTGAACTACTGCATATTTGTCAGAAATGTATCAAACAGTGTGAAAATCTCATTAAAAAAGAAAAATTACCGGTAGTGAAACAATTTGGAGTCTTGCGAACCATTTTCTGTTTAAATTTTTATTCTCATTTACTCTATTTCAAAGTAGATGTACCTCTGAGTTCTAAAAAGTCTAAAATTAGATTCGTAGTCACCTGATCACTATTTTCAAATAAATGGGGACATTTCTCTTGTTTAGTAAGAGAATGAAAATTGTTCAGTGTATTCCTACCTTTCATCTTGGAATTTTCATCTCCAAGTTTGAGGACATCTTGAGCACTCTTTTTATTCAAAACATTTATCATCAATACAACATTCTCCTGGCGGGAGGGGGGGGTAATTACGTCCCAGTTTTGCGAAAGAATCGTTTTACAGGATTTGAATTCAAAGCAATACCAGCCTCTTTCATTCCATTTTGTTTTGTATCGTACACCGCTTTCTTAGCATTTGAAATTTCAAATGTTAGAACTCCCCATATGCAAACTTTCTTGGTAGAGCTTAACTGCACGCGCTAATGATGAGTTGAAAAAGAAGCTTTATGCTATAATAGCATATTTCAGAAGCACTTGACAGTTGACACTAACAACGCTTTGAAAGTTGAGATGAAAGTATAGTTTATAACCGTAAGTTAAGGACCAATCGTATCTAGTCTTTTCTTATTGATAAGTGAAGTCTGTTTTCTCAACTTAGACAGATTTTCAAATGTTGGTTTGTAGGGATTTGATTAGTTACAGGATTTTCATCATGAGCTGACATTAGTTAGAGAACCATTGGAAAACCTGGGAGTACTGGACAGCTGTTTCCTCCGTCCTACTTTGGGACTCTTCATCAGTACGCACCCACCGGGATTCGAACCCAGGACATTCTGGTTACAAGGCGAGCTCGTATACAATTAGACAACTGAGACCCGATTCAATGGCCCACGAATTCTAACTTCTGCTGATTCACGACATAGCGCGACCACTAGCCAATGTCTTCGGCGAGTATTTGTTCACACACCCGACCTCATTTTCTTATCAGACTGAAATAAGCTAGAGTGCTACTGGATAACGAATTATATAAAGCGCTTTTTTATTAGTTTATTTATTAGGAGGAAGGGACGAAGATGTCAAATAGAGAATCGAATCGGGAAGGCGAGAAACACATTCATCAACCTGAAATCAATCTGGAAATCTTCGTCATTCAGCCAGTATCAACAACAAAATTCCGTCAGATTTTCAATACAAACGTCAAGTCAGTCAGTCCTCCTATACGGATCAGAAACTTGGCGAGTGGGTCACAAAGAATATTTCCAACAGCCTGTTGAAGACCTTTATCAACCAACAACTGTCTTCACTGGCTCGATACTGATGATCAGATGACCGGGCCGTAAAGAATCACCAACAAGAAACTATGGGAACAAACAAACAAAAGAAGAACCAATCGCACAACAAATATTATGCAGGGGAAAGTTTAGATGAATTGGACACTCGCTGAGGAGGCCGCCAATGGGTGACATCGCGTGCGCATCAGTCCATTGCTCGAGTGGAACCAGGCCGAAAGGGAAGCGGCGAGTAGGACGTCAGTGTAAGTGTGACATGGAGGAGATCGTGTGAAGAGGAGTTGAAAGAGTATGGAGTAACATGGATGCAGGTGAAAAGTACAGCAGCAGAAGACAGAAGCAAGTGGAAACGTGCGGTTGAAGCCCTATATTTCACTAGGAGTCCAATTTATTATTATGAAGAATTAACTAAACGGACTATTTTTCAGGTTAAATTTGAAATTTTTGTCAAGAGAAAATAGCAATTGATCTGATCAGTTGATTCACCAGTTAAATTATATAACAATTTTACTGTGTAAAATGTTACAGATGTTTCATTTCATTTTGCCTTGTGAGAATGACCAGAGTGACCACTTTACAACCGCCGCTGCGCCTTAAACATATGATGAACACGTTTATTCCTTGATATGCCTGAATTACACATACCGTATGGAATTTTCTTGAGAAGCAGGTGATAGGATTGATCATTATGTTTATTCCTCTTAAATGAAAAATGTATGACACATACACGACTGAGGTGAATAACCTAACCAAGAATGCTGAAAACGTCCAAACACTTAATACTGCTAAATAATAACTTCATTTTTGATTGCACACAAGTCAGTAACTAGTGCAATGTGTCTAGTCCTATCTTCGCTGCAGACTGAATTCTATTAGTCAAGCTTGCAGTGTGGCAAGTATGCTAGGTGGCTCGCCATTACGATGCACTGTGAATTGTTGGTATTATATGGTTGGAGGCAATTGGCCACAGGAAGCCTTGGACCTAGGTTTCGTGCTAGTTGGCACTCACCAGTCAGCGAGGTGTAACCTTGAAGGAACTCATATCCCTCCTGAGATTCGAATCTGCATCACACAGTGCTGCAGTCAAAGACATTACCATTGAGCTATTCAGGCTCGTCATTGACCTCCTTGACTGACAGAATTCAGTCTGCACCGAAGATAGGACTAAACACATTACTCTAGTCACTGACTAGTGTGCAATCGAAAATATCCGATACAGTCCTACAGGAGGTCAATCGCCAGCCTGAATAGCTCAGTGATAACGTCCCTGACTGTACATCTCAGAAGGGACATGAGTTCCTTCGAGGCTGCAGATACGCCTTGCTGACTGGTGAGTGTCTACTAGCACGAAACCTAGGTTCAAGGCTTCCCGTGGCCAATTGTCTCCAACCATCTAATACCAACAATAAATTCATTTTAACTGAATTATAATGAATAATGTATATAATAAAATTTCATCGCAGAAAATAATCTGTTTAAGTTGTTGCATTCTTTTATTTTAACTAGAATAAAGAATCAGCCAGTTTCATGATTCAGTTTATTTCTTTGGAGGCAAATACTCAAAAGATAGCAGTAACAGTACCCAGAATGTCTAATCAATACCTAACAGTAAGTAATAAACAAGTGAATTTCATACATCATTTTGAAAAGAGGTTTATTTTGGAAATTACACTTTTATTGTATCCATCTTGCCTATTTGACCTTCTAATTGGATGACTGAGTAAGCTGATAATCACTGACTTTCACCATTGCTGATATCTTCTTAGGTAATGCGAAATAACTTAGATCTACAAACAGTCTGCCTTTTAAACCAGACAGTATCACTGAAACGCTTGCTAAATAATAAATTTGGATTAGGAGTGATTAATGCTGACGTTTCCCATTCCCAAAGGAAACAAAACTTAGTGAAATTTGGATGCAAGCTTATTGAAATAAAATATGCATTTCATATTTCATTGCCAACAGGAAAAATGTCCTCGCATATAAGGACTAGCTTCGAAATTGTAGCCGGCGTATTTGTCAAAATTGCAATACTGATAACAATTACTAGTATGATGTCCAGCATCTTCACTAAGGCAAGTGCACATAAGCTACTAAAGTACTGTGACTTTTCATAGTGGAAACCAGAAGTGAAGTGAAACTCAGTGTACAGTGTCCTCCGCTTTAGTTTAGTGACCACAATAGATAACAAACTGAAAGATTTGGTCAGAGAGTGACGATTTGAAACTGTATGTGCATCGTCTGGCCCTAGTGAGCGCCTTCAGCATCCACTGTTTACGTCTCCGGTTCTTAACCTAACAGAAATATAAGTTTCTTCAAGATGAAAATGAATCTTTATGAAGAGTACATATAAACAAAATATTTAGTTTTAAAACCTCCTTAGGTCTCATTCACTGTTTTCTTCATATCACCGAAGAATTTTCCAGATGATGTGAAAAACCCACTGATAATGTTTGCTTGCAACTCACACTATGCGTGTCAACTCTTAATGCACATCTCATTATGTTTTATTAAGTTTGATTACTAAATCTACTGAAGTATTTATAGGTTTCCAGACCGTAGATGTTATGAATTTCCCGGAATAATTTGAGCGCCGAGTCAGATTGATTCATTATAAATTATTTAAATTAATCCCAGCGTGTTAAGAAAATCAAAACAAGATTTTTCTGAATATTTTCAAAATATTTTGATGGTTAATTATGATCCGAATAAATGTACTGAAGAAGCTGTGGCTTACACGGCGAAACGTTCAGAAAAATCTTGTTTTGATTTTCTTAACACGCTGGGATTAATTTAAATAATTTATGCTGAAGTATTTGTTTGAATACTTCATGATTTGAAGACACACGATTTGATGACACTAATTAGAGGAAATATGCCACTATGTAGTTAGTTATTCACTAAAATGACACATCTCTTATTCCCCTTGTTTATTATCTATCTATGTTTTCTGAGTTTTGGTAATTAATCATTGTACACTAGAAAAATAAACTCATTTTCTCTAAATTAAAACCTGAAAATTTTCTGAGTAGATATCTATCAAGTCTAAGAATTTTGTTAACTAAATCACGGAAACTGATAAAGACGAGCTAAATGTCAACTAATTTTGAACTAAATCTTCAGTAAAATTAACTGCTACCAGTTTTGATCTTCCTAGGATAGCAGAAGACATTCTATGAGTCAGCGTTATCCACATAATTTGCAAACCGGATATTCTACCCTAAATTACGTTAGTGGTGTATGCTATCTAGTCAGAAGATAGTTTTTACCTTTTTGGTCATCTGAATTAAGTGTATAATTAGTTATTTTTACTGTTCAGACTACTTTTCTCTTGTTGCAATAAATCTTTACCGGAGTTATTCGCCTGTGTCTTAGTGTGATTTGTATTTGAGTGATTAGTCGTATAATGTGGTGGGCTGAAATAATAGTACGGATGTACCCAAATCCAGTATTATTTTAGATCTTTAGCTATTTTTTCGCCAAAGTGACTTTCATTTTCAGAAGTCAAGGAAAAATAAACGGTACAAAATATTGCTATATTTCCGAATTCGGTATATAACCCTGATAGCTGTGTTGACATCGATGCGATGTCCAATATCGACCAAGTGTGACAGGATAGAGCTTTCTATGCGCTTAATTTCGCCCCTGCTGAACCAAACTGGTAAGTGTTCTCGAACCCGTAGACGAACCTGCCTAATCGTCCGCCCTATATAACTTGAACCAGAGGAACAGTTGAAATGGTATATGCATGAAGAAGAGCTAAGGTTAGGTAAGACATCTTTGAGTTGCTGGGTGAAGATTGGACAGCTACTGAAGGATAGACACAGACGTGCAGAGTAGAAAGTTTTCTTGATCGCGCTGGTTATACGTTGCGATAGAATCTCTGCAGGAGTATCTCCCTTGAATTGGAGACGTAAAAACAAAGGCTATTTCTCCACAGTTGCCAGTTCATGTTTACGACTATTATAACCTATGTTTTCGAAAACATAAAACCTACAGGAAGCACCATCTCACGCATGTATGGTCTACCGAAAGTGCATAAATCAGGAGTGCCCCTACGCCCCATACTAGACATGTCCCTTTCACCCTATCACGAGACGGGAAAGTGGCTGGTACAGCTACTTCAACCCTTCCATGACGAGTTAGTAAATCACAGCGTCAAGGATACTTTTCAATTTGTTGATAAGATCAAAAACTTGAAGGTGACTGGCAAATATATGGCATCACTTGATGTTTCATCTCTGTTCACTAATGTGCCTTTAGTGGAAACCATCGATTATATCTGCGAACAGATTATAGAAAAGAAATTGTGCACTGATATTCGTATCAGTAATCTGAAACAATTACCTGTTAAATGCACAACGAATGTTCAGTTCCTATTTAATAATGAAATATACAGACAGGTTGATGGAGTAGCCATGGGATCCCCACTGGGACCTATTTTCGCGAATATATTTCTAGAGAAACTAGAAAATAGTCCGTTGAAGGAGGAAATAGCAAAAATTCAAATGTATTGTCGTTACATGGACGACACTTTTGTAGTGTACGATGAAGGGTTAAATAGTGATTTGATTTTGAACAACTTCAATAATGCTCACCCAGCTGTCCATTTCACCTACGAAGGAGAATACAACGACTCTTTACACTTCCTCGACGTCCTACTAACGAGAAGAGAGGATGGTTCCATCAAAAGAACCATATTTAGAAAGCTAGAGACCAAAGCTCAGCATACACACTTCCTTAGCTTCGTACCGATGAAATACAAACGTAATCTAATCAGGTGCTTAGCATTTAGAGCGAGGTCTATTTGTTCCGAAGAGTGCGTAGAGAAGGAACTCCAGATCATCCGAGACATTCTAAGCGAGAAGGGATATCCAGAGAAGTTCATTAAAGCCAACATAGGTTATAATAGTCGTAAACATGAACTGGCAACTGTGGAGAAATAGCCTTTGTTTTTACGTCTCCAATTCAAGGGAGATACTCCTGCAGAGATTCGACGCAACGTATAACCAGCGCGATCAAGAAAACTTTCTACTCTGCACGCCTGTGTCTATCCTTCACTAGCTGTCCAATCTTCACCCAGCAACTCAAAGATGTCTTACCTAACCTTAGCTCTTCTTCATGCATATACCATTTCAACTGTTCCTCTGGTTCAAGTTATATAGGGCGGACGATTAGGCAGGTTCGTCTACGGGTTCGAGAACACTTACCAGCTTGGTTCAGCAGGGGCGAAATTAAGCGCATAGAAAGCTCTATCCTGTCACACTTGGTCGATATTGGACATCGCATCGATGTCAACACAGCTATCAGGGTTATATACCGAATTGTTATATTCGACTGATCATTGGATAACCAATGCCAAGCGTCTAGTCGACCGTTTGGTGGAGACAGAGTCCTATCAGTCAAGTTTACAATTTGGCCACTATGCTGGGTGATTCAACATTGTGGTGCACACTGAATTGTTGTCAGATGATTGAACGTAGCCCGCAGGAAGCCTTAAACCTAGCTTTCGTGTTCATTGGTACTCATCAGCAAAGCGTATCTGCAGCCTGGAAGGGAATCATGTCCATTCTGAGATTCAAACCCGGATCAACCAGTGCTGCAATCAGAGACGGTACCATGGAGCTATTCGGGCTCGCGATTAACCCCCTGTAGGAGTATAGTGAATACTCTGATTGGTCAGTGTGTAGTAATACATATCATACTTCTTGCCAATGAGTTGGTTCACACTGAATTCTATCAGTCAAGCTATACAGGATAAAAAACTTAAACCTTGATAATTATTTGCATATATTTCCTATTTCACGTTAATTCTAAATGGCGAGAGAAATAAAGAGCAAACAGTGACTACAGAAGGTTATATTTCACTTTCAGACGAAAACGTGACCTACAACACCTAGCTAGCTCACATGGCCCACTATCATTGACGGCATAGAGGTTGAAATAACATCTAATGTCAAGTACCTTGGACTGAGTTTTTCCACCGATCTTTCTTGGTCGTCCCACATCTTGCTAGTTACTAGAAAGATGTTTCGCTTAATGTTCTACGTTAGGAAATTTAGGCAGTCTGGCATAAACCAGGCTTTACTTTCTCAGTTTGTCAATTCTTGTATTCTAACCATCCCTCTTTACTGCTCCCCATTAATCTTTCCTGGACTACTTAAGAAAGACTTTGCTTTGCTGAGAAGGGCACTAAAAGCCGTTAGTAGGGCAGGTGGGATATCGTTAAACCAACTGGTCATGTCATGTCAATGTCATGTAAGAAACTAGCGAACACTATAATTTTCAGACCCCAAGCAACCTCTCTATACGCAGCTCTCTCCTTGCATTTCACCTGGTAGAACTAGAAGCATCTATAGGAGGCTATATGCTAGGAATACCAAGTACAAAAACTCCACAATCCCTTATATGACACAGCTAGCATGTGATGAGAAATCCGTTAGGTATGACACGATCAACTTACTATGGCACTCTAACAAATAGTCTCATTAGTTTTTGTTTTCCTTTCCTCGTTACTATTATACTTTTGTTCACATATTCTATTACACACTAATTTTATATTTCATATCCTGTGGTGCATTGTTTAAAATGTAAAGGCGACGCTGTTCTTTTTTTTATCTGTTTTTGGGGTGTTGCTTTTTGACTTTAAAATCTTATAAAATTTATGAAGTAATTAGATGCAATAAATTGTAATGCGCGCTGCAAAATTCCATACCTGTACCACAAATGCTGTTTGGAATAAAGCTGTTATTATTATTATTTACTCTTTAATAGTTATAAATCTAACAACGAAGTTATCAATAGTCTGTATGATTTACGTAAATGGTTTTGAGCTTGCGGGAAATATGAAGACATCCGATAAATTAGATAATATTCTCACATGATAGTGAATACTTGCAGTTCAGCTAACGGATGTTTTGATAGCCTTGTTGGCTTTACACTCTTAATTTTAATCCACATGGTTTTCGAAATTAGTCCGGTAGTCTTATTCAGTGCATCTTTTCAAGATGATTTTGACTTTGTGAACAACAAAGCTTGTAGAGACGAACGAAATTGTTTTTAAACTACCCCGCCCCTCCGTCGTTAACTAAATCATGAACAAGACTGTTTAAATGGGTGTTTATGTAAGAATTTGTTGTTAGGTAGTTGGAAGGAATCTTAAGTAACCAATGTAAGAGTCCTTTGTGCATAGTGTCTAATTCATATTTGCTCCATTTGAATTAAAAGTAAGCTATGAGTTTTCTGATTTCACAATTTTTAAACACTAAATTATTTTCAACACAATTTTTTACATTTCTAATCATTTCTCAATGTATCAATAGATTCACTACCATGCCATGCGAAAATGTCATACCCTGTTGGAACAATATCTGTCGAATTCCATCCAGCAACCAGAAACGGCAACACAAGGCTGTCTTACACTATGGCATATGTGTTTACCCCTAATACAACATGACGTCCAAACTAGACTGAAAACAACTAAAAGCTTACAGTTAATCATCGACTACTTAACTAAACAAGACAGGTGGGTTTATTAAAATTTGAGGTTAATAACTACGCAGTGATATCCAACTTTTGGTTTGTAGGGATTTCATTGGTTTCATGATTTCATCATGAGCTGACATTAGTTAGAGAACCATTGGAAAACCTGGGAGTACTGGACAGCTGTTTCCTCCGTCCTACTTTGGGACTCTTCATCAGTACGCACCAACCACAGGGGTTCGAACCCAGGATCTTCTGGTTACAAGGCTAGCGAGCTCGTATACCATTAAGTCACCGCGACCCGATCCAATGGCCCATGAATTTCAACTTCGCCAATTCTAACTTCTGATGAAGAGCCCCAGTCTAAGACGAAACAGCTGTCCAGTACTCCAAGGTTTTCCAATGGTTCTCTAACTAATGTTAGCTCATGATGAACGCCTGAAACACAGTGATATATTGGTACGGTCAGCAAAAAAGTAACTAAATCATTACCACCATAAATATTTAGTGCTCCGAGGAGATAATACTCTACCATTCTGCGGTGTATAAGATAGGTATATTAATATGAAATAGCATTCTACTAAATTAACATGTTTCTCATCCATCTTAAGAAGATCGTCCTAGAAAATTCGTCGAAATTTCAGCTTTCAACTGAAAAAAATGATGATTAACCAAATGCTAACTACTACAATTAAGTGTTATTTAGATAAGGTATTTTAGACTAACTGGCAAAAACTATTACCAGTGGTTTGTAATTCGTCGACATCCACTGACTTATTTTGATGACGTTTGTGACGTGACCATCGGAACGGATAACTTATTCGGCTGGCACTGGCTAGTTGTGAAATTGAAAGGATGCATGTTTCGTCCTGTTTGGACCTCGTCAACTTGATGTAATTGTAAGCGGTGGCTTTCCCACTGAAACTGAAGCATGAAGCGAATTCAGAATTTTGGATCCCACGGCTAGACACCACTGAAGTAACATCAAGCTAATCTCATATTATCACTGATGCATTCGTACTAAGAGTTAAGGTACCAAAAAGGAGTGAGAATTCTGATCCTTTTAAATGAAACAGCGGGAAAGTCAGAGATGTAAGCAGATAACAAATAACCCGTGTTTGCTGTTTAAAATCAAAATCAGTTTTCATGAGATACTGGAGAGATTTTTAATATTTGCGAGAAATTGTCATAAAAAAACACAACATCAATATACCCTCTGATCCCTCCGGTATCTTACTTCGAGACTCCTGTACGTATTGGCAGAACCATTTAGATCGCATCAACATTAATTTTAATGTGGTTCAAAGTGTAAAGCACAGTAATGCACAACAGGCTCTGAAAATTGACTAGTGACCGTCTCATAAAGATTACCTAGCTGCTGAAGACTGTCTCGCAAACAAACAACAATAGAATTTATGGACCATTGGATCGGGTCCCAGTGGCTTAATGGTATGCGGGCTTGCTAGCCTTGTAACCAGAAGGTCCTGGGTTCGAACCCCGATGTGGTGGGTGCATACTGATGAAGAGTCACCAACTAGGACGAAACAGTTGTCCAATACTCCCAGGTTTTCCAATGGTTCTCTAACTAATGTCAGCTCATGGTGAAATCCTGTAATCAAACAATAGATTGGTTTGTGAAAGATGATCTACTGACACAATCACTAAGTGTCTATACAGATTTAATCAAAGTGAAGATTTTCACCGATCTTACCAGATTATACCATATTTTTGGTTACTTTTGTTATTTACAAATTTATAGGTCTCACTTCGAACAAATGAAATCGTTTTGATAATTTCCTACATATTTTTTCTTGAAAACGTAAGGCAGTAGCTCCTGAATGAGCGTCACAGCAAACATTCTCGCCGTTTTATTAACTTCTCTCTCATGTTCTACAGAATTGAAGGAAATGATTTTTGAAAACGTGTGTTTATTAAGTGAACCAAGCATCAAGTAAAACAGTTATTATTTTCTCATTTTAGTCTACACTTTCGTTTGCGCTGCCAGTTGCATATGACTATGGCTTACTGTCAAGCTGATATGGAACAGATCACTCAGGCTATAGACAATATTGAGAAGGTAAGCATCCAACATTAAAAACACTTTTCATTGTCATTCATTTCCAAGATTATAATTTGACTTCACAGGAGAATAAACATATGTGTCAATGCATAAAATAATTGACAGTTTTCTCAGTATTATGTAAAAAATAAAAGACATTCACTGAAAACCCTCAGTTCACCTTGTTTTAATCGTTTGAATGACTTAACTTGGATGAATCAACACAAAACAGAGCTGGTTCAGTTGCGAAATGACTGATATGGGAAAACTAATTTCCGCTCTGCACGTCTGTGTCTATCCTTCACTAGCTGTCCAATCTTCACCCAACAACTCAAAGATGTCTTACCTAACCTTAGCTCTTCTTCATGCATATACCATTTCAACTGTTCCTCTGGTTCAAGTTATATAGGGCGGACGATTAGGCAGGTTCGTCTACGGGTTCGAGAACACTTACCAGCTTGGTTCAGCAGGGGCGAAATTAAGTGCATAAAAAGCTCGATCCTGTCACACTTGGTCGATACTGGACATCGCATCGATGTCAACACAGCCTTTCGAAGTCGTTATCATGTACAGTTCGCTTACGTCTCCTACACACAGCTGCAGCTGTTGCAATAAGATCGACTAAACCGGAACTTTGTATCGAAAAAGAACACATCCAGACACTGTTCCTGCCGTGGTCAAACTTGGATTGGTGATTTTTCTTCTCACCAAGAGTGCTTCTTTCCCTTAACCCTCTTGGTTTTGTTTTGCCTTTGCTTATTATTACAATTATTAACATTATTATTCGTCATAATTTATGCCCTTCACGCAATCATCCTCTCAATACTATCGAATTTTCTATTTATACCATCCAGGCGTATTATTAGTGATATTATCTCTTTTCTCAATATATACCTCCACCTGTCTCATTTCACACATTCTTTATTTCATTATGAACCTCTCATTGCAGTCTTACCATCTCCTGTTTAATACAGACCACGTTGTACTAGCCACTCACCTGACACCTTTTATAACTTTGAACTGACTTGTCAATTTTCTTACCCCACACTCTACAAACCTATTATGACTAATCACCACCATTGTCTCCCATTTTACAATATTTTGTAATCGATTTCAGCCTAGCACGTTTGTCACACAAATACGACTATTTATTTTGACACCCCATAACTAATCTGTTATTCTACGTTAAAAATGTATCCGCCGCATAACTGGCCATTATTGCAACGACAATAAATATTATATTTTATAATTGCAAGAACCTGAAGAGAAATTATTGAAAAGAATATTCTTCGTTCAGATTAACTTTTAAAACTAATTTCAGTAACTTTAACCAGCAACTGTCATAATATTTAGTGAAATAAACTAACATGTTCTGCCGTTATATTAAAAAATTGTCAAATTTCGAAATAATCCCAGTAAACAACTAATGTGAAAAGTAACTTACCAAGGAGTAAAAATAAGTGTGAGTAGAAAAATCCAATAAAAAGGTACAGGTTTTTTCTCTTCTTATCTGGAGGTCAATAGAAGTATAGAAACAAACAATGCACTGAGCAGAACCAACGTGATAGCCAAGTCGGTCTCTGTGCATCATCCTCACCAGTACAACAAGAAATCCATGTCTAGGTTATTCATAATCACAACATCAGCAGAAACGATTGCAGAGTTCAAATAACCGCGAAAAAGGATACTTCTTAAATATTTACCGGACAAAGTACTTTTTAAGAGAGCCAGTGCTTTTATGAAAAGAAAGAGGATCGTTTGGGTTTGACAATGTAACTAAAAAGTATATAAGCACTGTTCTATTGATTTTTATTGAATTAACTAATTTAGCTTGTTCTGCCTTCATACCTTTCATTTAGGCGATTAAATTTGATGAAACAGGAGAATTTTCTACAAATTTGAATTATTTTAAAAAGTGTTTAGTACTCCGTTCAAATTTATACGAAGCTCCAAGTACAACAATTGAACAGGCACGTCAAATTGTAGAACGTCTTCAAAATACAAATAATTTATCGTCAACTGAAATTATTAAACTATCGAAACATTTGAATTCTTCTGATGGTGATATTAATAGTACTCAATTGATTGATTCTAAAGAAAATCATTTTATCACATTGTTGGTAAGTTTCTTTGGATTCTTTATTTAACATAATCTACAGTATTTATAGGTACGTCGGTGGCACAGCGGTTAGGAAGCTCGCCGACCATGGGCATGGTCCGGGGTTCGAGCCCCGGCCACAGACGCACTCCTTTACCTCGCTAAGCCAGAAATAATGATGGTAAAGAGGAAAGGTTGTTTATGAGGCTAGCAACCCCATCCTGTAAAATAAACACTGCTAAAGAAACTTCAAGCCACTAGCTTGAAGTCCTATGTTCCACAGGGGAACGTGAAGGAAAAAAACAGTATTTATTTAAAAAAAAACACAGTAAATACTCATTCTAAACGCACTCATGGGGCCTGTTGTTAACAATGAGGAAACAACGAGGAACTGTAACGATAGAAGACAAGGGCCAGGCAACAGATCGTTCATTGAGGAAATCAACAAATATTTATGTATTTTTATTTACATTACAGCAGAGAAACGGCGTCTTCTGAATGGTTGTTCTCTTGCTGAAAGTTAATCTGCCATCTCTTTGTGGCCATTTCTGCGAATCGTATCCACTCACGGAAAATCTACTGTGACTGATTGTTGAGCTAGTCTTTGTCCTCGTTCTTTTCTCATGACTGAGATTTGCGACGTAAACATTGACGTAAATGGCTGTCTACCAATTTAGGCTAGCAGACAGCTCTCATCCCAGAACTAGTTGAACAGTTCAAAACTTCAGTGTAAGTAGTAGATTAATTAGGGAAATCAAAAATGTGAAGCTGATTTTAGTGAGCCAGTATAAACAGAAGACAAGAAAAGTTAAGTGAAATGAAATGCGAAGAAGCTTAGTCTTAGATAAATTTTAAGCTGGAATTTACGTAACCTATCAGAATTTCGATTATACCCCTTTACTAAACAGTCATAACTTGTCCGTGCTACCAGTAACACTGACTGGTGATTTTGCAACTGTTTCATTTATATCCATATACAAACACAGTAGATTGTCTCACAGTTTGCTGAAATACATTTATGAGAAAAGTATTTTTCACTTGTGGAGACTAAACAACCTAACTTACTTCCGGTTTTGAGAAAATCCTCTTTTTCCTGCTGTATTTCATAGAAGGTGCCGAAATTCCTTTGAGTGTCAGTACTGATAGGCAGATTATTTCTTCTCACATATTGAATTTTACATATAAAGAGAAGCATAGACAAGTGTAACAATGCAAAAAGATACAAAGTACTTAGTGAAATGGTGCCGGGGGAAAATTCTACCAGTAAGAAAGCGACAAAAGCTGTGACTAACTGTCGCTGACGTGTATGACGTGATTCATTAGCAGAATTAGCAATCTGCTTGGTGAAATCTTTATTACTATCCTAACATTAGACATGTTAAATAATAAAATGCCTTTAAGTATTATACTCGTTTTGATTACTTTCAAAGTACTATTCATTATTATAGAGATTTTTACATTTCCCAATGAATGAAAAACAAAACGATATTGTTTTTACTGACGTTTCGCTATTTAATGCTAATAGCTTTATCAAAGTACTATTAAACCAGAATTTACAAAATCTCAGGATATATACAACAAAGAGTTAAGGGGTGAGAAGATAGACTTAGGTCAACTTAAAGGGGCATATTGAAAGTCAAAATAACAATGAAGATCACTAAACCAAATAACAAAGGTAATAGTACGTCTGTTATGATATCAAAAGAAAGTTTACTAACTTGACCATCGTTCGTCAGTCTGGGGTCATTTTTCGTTGTCAAGTTGGTCAATTGGTAAAGATAACAAAACCAAGTGTAGATTGTTGGATTTGATCAGTGTGTGAATTTATAAAAGCAGTGTGTGTTTACATAGTGAACTTGTTTATCACATTCGTGTTGATTTTGTCACTTCATGGGGGAGGAGGGTGTTGTAACCAGGTCAGATTCTGTTTTAGTCCATCATTCCTATTCAGGCAATTCGGATTCCACTTGATATGAAGTGCTTCTGATATTAGACGTTCTTTGTGATTTCTAAAATTGCTCTGGATTATTTCAATATTGTCAAACTCAATTTTGTGGCCTGATTCTATAGCGTGTATACCACTTGTGGACGATGATTTTTCAAGCTTTTGTAGTTCAACCGGATTTCTCGGTGGTCGAACACATGCCCTATGGTGTTCATTTCTTGCGATTTTGATTTCTCGAGATGTTTGTCCGATGTAGATCGCATCACATTCCAAGCATTTTATTTTATAGATACACTTAGATAGAGAATCTTTCGAGATTTGGTCTTTTATATGGACAAGGTTTCTTTGAAGTGTGTCCGATGTTTTGGAGAAAACTTTGATGTCAAGCTGATTGAGTACTTTTCTGATATCGTCTGACGTCTCTGCCTTGTATGGAATGACGACTGTTGATGTCCATGTTTTCGGAATGCGTTTTTGGTCATACTTAATATCTGTGTTGATTTTGTTGATGAAGTTCTTTGGGTAGTTGTTTTGCTTGAAAGTTTCAGTAATGTTTGATAATCTTCTTCTTTTTCTTTCTCATCCGTTATCAGAGAGTACGCTCGTCTAAGAAGACTTGAAACAACTGAAATCTTTGCACTGATGGGGTGTGATGATTTGAAGTCTAAATATTTGTTGGAGTGGTTTTTCTTCCTGAATATGGTTATACTAAAATGTCCGTTTTCCCTTCTTTTAACTAGGCAGTCTAGAAATGGTAGTTCACCGATGTCTGATTCTGCTTCCGAAGTGAACTGGATTTTGGGAATGAACTGTGTAGATATCGTTTTAGTACTAAAAAAGTATCATCCACATATCTTAACCATGTTTTAAGAGCGAGTATGTTTGAAAAGATGTCATTTTCGAATCTGTTCATGAGAAGATCAGTGACTATTGGGGAGACTGGTGAACCCATAGCGACACCATTTGTCTGTCTAATTAAATTCCCTTTAAATGTAAAATAATTACTTTCTAGACAGAATTTCAAAGCACCACAACTGAATTTCATGTCTGTTTAGGTAAATATGAGGTAGAAAAAACCCGATATTCTTAGTGCCACACACAAATAGTCATTATGTGTATACAGATATGACTGAGAAACAAGGACCATTGAAATGCATTTCGTCCGAGATTGGGATTATTTGGTGGCATGTACTCATTGTTCCGAAACGGATGGTGCACAGCTGGCATGACTCAAGTTGAGTCGACAGCACTTACTCGCCGATAAAATCAGAAAGATTTTATACTCTGTTATTGACCATACAGAAGTGGTGGTTCACCGAACTCATTACAAAATCTAATGATCTTAAGCTGTGTGGCTTAGTGACAGACAGCCGAATACTGCTTAGGAATTTCAAACTAGATTTCAGCTCATGTCTGATTGTCTTTGCGTTACAGTAACTAGTCGACTGATATGAAACGGAATGATTTCAGTAATTGCATACAGGTAAGAATGCGTAGTGATGTAAATTGGGATGAACTTGTGTTTGCCTTTCTTATCTATTTGCCATGTTTACTCAACTACGTATTTTACCATTAACAAATTTATGCAATATAGTTTATACTGTTAGTTTTTAATAAGTAGTAGTACGTTATTATACTTCATTTATTTGTTTGTCTTTATAGAGAACTTTATTCATACATATCAGCCAATTGGTTGATAAAACCATATTCGATGAAATCTACCAACTTGAAAGGAAGTTGTATAATGACACCAAAATGTTGCTAACAATACACACAAATAAACATCCTGAGGAAATACTTTCTCGAATTAATTCATTCAAAGAAATCTGGATGCAACTAGGTGACGTGACTAAAAATTACTCTGAAATAATTAACAAGAATGTTGAATATGAAATAAATGAAAAGTGGGTAGATTTTGAATTATCTGTATTGTATTTTAACATGAAATTTACGGGAACTGATGGGTTTTCTTGAGGAGATTGGTATGACTGACATAGTAGCCTTGAAGTTGATATGTTTGTCAAGATAATATTAGAAAAATTTTTAAGTATTGTTTTTATAGGGATTTTGTTTGATTGCATGGGGGATTTCGAAGTGGTCGCGCTATGTCGTGAATTGGCAGAAGTTGGGATTCAAGGAGCATTGGATCGGGTCCCAGTCGCTCAATGGTCTACGAGCTCACATTGTAACTGGGAGGTCCTGGGTTCGAACCCCGGCGGGTGCGTATTGATGAAGAGTCCCAAACCAGGACTGATGAAACAGCTGTCCAGTACTCCCAGGTTTTCCAATGGTTCTCTAACTGATGTCAGCTCATGGCGAAATCCCCCATGCAATATTAGAAAAACAAATCAATTCCGCTAAAAATTGTGTAATTTGTTTGCAACTTAAATCTTCGCCCACATTATACACATTAAAATATCCTTAATTTGAAATAATTTCTTTCGTTCCAACCGAAATCTTCGAACAACTTTAACATTTGAACCATGGGTTGCATACAACTACATTTAAAAGAGCATGTTCAAGTCTGAAAACTTGTCGCTACTTTGTAAGGCTACTTGACGACATAAGCTCCGTAATCACTGTCGTTTTTTGGACCATTCAATTAATTTATTCTTTGTATAAAATTAAGGCCGATTTGTTTTTCTCCTTACTACACTGAAAAATTTACCCGTTAACGAATTATCTGTACATATAAATACATAGAAGACAGTCAGTTAGACTGTTGGCTACTCTAAATTCAAGTCCATTGTGCTGGGTCACCACTTGGTGGGATAAATACTATTCTCATGTTTCTGAGATATTTGTCTAGTCAATATCTTAACTGCAGGATCGTGTGGAGTGAAGGTGTGGTACTGTTTTTCAACCCAGGAAAGTCTGAATTCTTTATTTTTAAACACAATTTCCATTTCTGACCCATTAAGTCAATGAGTCTGAATCTCACACACTGCAGAGATGTGTTATTATGCGTTGGAATTACTGTCTTTCAGTTGATTGCCGTGCGTCAATGGCACAGCGGTTAGGACGCTCGCCGACCATGTACATGGTCCGAGGTTCGATCCCCGGCCGGTGCAGTCCTTTACCTCTCTAAACCAGAAATAATCCTGGTAAAGGGGAAAGGTTTGGCATGGGGCTAGCAACGCCATCCTGTTAAAACTAAACACTGCTACAGAAACTTCAAGTCTCTAGCTTGGAGCCCTATGTTCCACTGGGAACGTGAAGGAAAAAAAAAATTAAAATAAAAAGTTGCTTGAATGGTTGAAAATAACTTCTGCTTGTGTCTGGCAAACACGGATCAAATTATTTAATAAAACATTGATTTGTGCATTATTTCAGTCATCATATTACAAACAATGCGAACCGCATTAAAACATTTTATAGTTTAGAAGAAAATCGTCACATTTGCAGGTTAGTTACAGTAAAATAGGATTGTGTAAGAATTACCCTAATGGATATACCAACATAACTCATTCATGTTGTAAATCTTTAACTATCTTCCAACAATTATGCTTTAAATTTATGAATAACTATCTATAGTTGGGAAACAGGTTAATTATTACTTACTTTTTAAAAGTGTCATTTCATTTAACTGAATTTCCATCCTACTTTATGTGATGCAAACTAAATCTTATAATGGTGAATGAGTCAGTCTAAAGCAGGACTATACCTTTTTTAAAGCGACCGAATCTATAAATCAGCTGAAGTCAATTATGGTACATCAGAATATGCAAAACTTAGCAAATTTAAAGTTTTTTAATAGTATAGCACGTTTTAACTCTGAATTGAAAAATGTTTGCATGAGTGATTTCAAGTAAATGATAAGAATGAAGTTAAACTTACACATGACACCTCCAGTCACATTGAAATTGTGACGTGATGGAAAATATTTCTACTTGAAGATGACTACTATAATGACATTCCTTAAAGAAAGAAAATTCTTTTCATCAGGTAGCTTTTGTATTTATATTGTTTCGGGCAGTGTGCTGTTACATTCCAACCAGTGTTTCTTTGGTTAACCTTCATTTTGCATCACATACGAACGAAGGAAATAACACAGTTATTCAAGTGTTGGTTTGTAGGGATCTGATTGGTTTCAGGATTTCATCATGAGCTGACATTAGTTAGAGAACCATTGGAAAACCTGGGAGTACTGGACAGCCAACTGTTTCGTCCTAGTTTAGAATCCCGGTGGGTGCGTACTGATGAAGAGTCCCAAAGTAGGACGGGGGAAACAGCTGTCCAGTACTCCCAGGTTTTCCAATGGTCCTCTAACTAATGTCAGCTCATGATGAAATCCTGACACAGTTATTGTTAGACGCTGAATTATTTCCTCTCAATTAAAGGCGCAGCTACATGAATTCTGAATAATTTTGGCTTTATGTAATAATATAACATTTTTATTCAAAATGTTTATTTTCTTGCAGACTACTTTTATGGTTCGATTTGATCAAACTGGCTAGGAAATACCAAATCTGGGATTTGTGCTCAACTCTATGTCGTTTATGTCTAGTGTTTGATGACGATAATTACTGGAATGTGTTACTTAAAAAGCTGGAACAGTACAGGCAAGTTGTTTCAGGCGATATTAAACTTCTTATTTAACTGTCTAAACACAGTAGAATTGTGATACCCAAAGTAGAGTGAAACGACAAGCCTTCGAGATAAAACTTTTGACAAATCCCCAGGGAAACGAGTGAAAAATAGTGAATATTTAGCATCTACTTTTTCATATTTGAGTTTCTCAGCAGTGCGCACTTATGTTTCGCTGAGGAATTGATTAATCTAACATAAAGTTTCCAGGGAGAAACAGAAGACTTTTGAAAACTCAGCCAGAAAGTTTATTTAACCTATGGAATTAACGATTACTTATATCCGAAAAAGTTTTAAATCAACTTCATTATTTTGAAATCTTTAAATATTCCAATTTTTAATATTAGAACAAGACATATAAGCGAAGAATACAGTTTTCAATTAGATCTTCATCAGGCTTTACTCTAATTTACACAGTTTCATATAAAGGTCAAATAAAATCTATAAGAAGTTCTATTTTGGCTCATTTGATTGATAGCGGTCACCAAGTGGACAAAAATAGTGCCTTCAAAGTTATCTATCGCATTCCACCGAGCCTTTCGAAAGGAATTCGATTCCGTCTTTTACATATAGTCGAAGCTATGGGAATTCGAGAGAACAATCCTAGTCTTTGCATGCAACCAAAGAAGTTTGTTCTACCTTTGTCTCTCCCTTGGCCTAGGTGAATTCTAGTAGAAACCCTCCCACCCTTTCTTATTTTCTATCTCCTACGTATTTTATGATATTTATTTTAACTCTGATTATCTGTCCACTTCACCCTTAGTATTACGTAACTTTTAAGAGTTGACTTAATTTATTTATTATATACATATAATACTACCTTTAGATAAAGCAATAAGAAGACGTAATTTGTCTGAATCGTGTAATGTATTTGCGCAACACATTTCGAACAATCTGATCACACACGGACTTGTCATAGGAATATATAGATAAAAAATTAATAAAGAGGTAAGAGGTGAGAAAAATAGACTTAGGTCAAGTTAAAAGGACATATTACCTTACCTCTTTATTAATTTTTTATATATATATTCCTATGACAAGTCCGTGTGTGATCAGATTGTTCGAAATGTGTTGCGCAAATACATTACACGATTCAGACAAATTACGTCTTCTTATTGCTTTATCTAAATTCATAAAGGGAACTAATTGTTTTAAATACTACCTTTGTTATTCTTATCACCTGCATAAACCTTATTATCAATATTTTGTTATCATTATAATCATCGTTATTAACTACGTTCAAAACATTTACCACATTATTATTATTATTATCATTATTATCTGATCCACAAAATCACCATCATTGGTTAAAAAATTTTATGTCATATATAGAATAATTCATAGGAGGGATAGAACTTGAAAAAGGATGTGCAATTATAGGATTAGTAGGCAAATCGAATAAAACAAAAACGTTACGTAATATTGTGTGAAATTTAATAGCATAGAATTTATCGTTGTAAAAAGAATTGATTTAGAATGACAAGTGGAACAAGTGAAATAATACCGGGGACAGTTCAAAGTGAGAATAGTAATAATGACAATTGACTTGATAAGGAAGAGTATACAAATTGAATAGACAAAATGAAAAATTGGTAGAGCTAAAATATGATTGGGGATTATCATATTTTAGCATAGAGGGATTATGACCATGAAAGTTGGAGGGGTTGAACGAACTTTTTCTGTACACAGAGATCTGGCTTTTCTGTTTCGATAGCCAAAGCTTCAGCAATACAGATGAGTCGGGTACGTAGGGATTTAGGTAAATTGCTCTTTGCCTTGTAGATGAATTTAAAGGCGGAGGCTATAGAGATAGGGTGATCATTTTCGACCAGATGTTCTATGATCGCGCTTCTTATTGCTCCACTTTTTTATATATAAAACTATGTAAATTAGAGTAAAGCCTGAAGATCTAATTGAAAACAGTATTGTTCGCTAATATGTCTTGTTTTAACTTTATTTTGACCTACAAATCTAACCAACAGAAAGTGAATTAGTTTTAGCAAAAAAAATTTGGTAACACGCTGTCTAAATGGTCATTTGTTTAGCACCATTAAGTATGTGTTCATTTCAACTTGTCTTTTTCATTATAATAGCTTACTTTTCGGTCTAACCAAAACTAACTCGATAATTTTCTTTTTGTATTTTCGATTATAGCTTGATTCCACACCGTATTTTTGGTACAAGTATGGAATTTTCAGCACGTAATTTGCAGGCCAACCAGTGATATTAGGTATGCGTCGACAGGGGATCGAATCCTGGGCCATATGTATGGTCGGCGAGAGTCCTAACGCTGTGCCACCGACGCACTAACCTCAGACCTTCTTAAATACATTAACGCATTAGTTAAAGCTTGCGTTGAATGAGAAACACTAGGAGGGTAATCAGTTAAAGCTTTCCTTACCTTGCTAATTAAATCAGCTGTATTCAGTTGACAAGAATCTTGAAATTAGTTAACATTAGGACACTGTCTAGTCATAAATCAATGTAGCTGAAATCTATAAGATTAGGAAATATCGCATGATTTTGTTTATATTGAAGTGCGAAGTATACTGAAAACATTCTTCAGTTATCGTGTTTTAGACTTCATAATCAAGAATGAGGCGTTAGAATCCGATAAATTAACCATTCTGAATAGTATTTATATTGACTTCTAACCGTGTCGTCAAAGCCAAAATTTCAATGAATAAAAGTTGTAAGAGTGTTATCATATGGCATATGATTCTCCGATGTTAAGTTGTATTGTATGTCACAAGAAGTAAACTTCTTTTTCTTGAAGAACTAAGTTTTACCCCAGAAGGCAAACAGCTTATAATAAAACTCTTGGATAAGAAGTAAGGAGTCGACATTTGAAGGAACTGCCCCCTCCCTGAATAAAATAGTTGTACAGTTTACCACAAAATTACAACATATGAAGCAGCGAATTCAAAATTAGATTACAAACAACTATCAGCTGACCATTCAACAATTATTGAACACAAAAGTGGTCAAACACATCGAAATTAGGTAGCCACATGTTAGTCTAAAACTATGACACACAATCAGTGTTTTATCTGATTCATGCTTGTGTTTACTCTGTATGATATAACTCTTATTGTTTTAAATATTTCATACATAATTATTTACAAAGGAGTTGACTGAATAACTAATTTTCTGGCTTGAATTCTCAACTACGCATATCTCTCAGCCTTGAAATATTCAAGCGTAAGAATTATAGCAAAGAATGTCACCTTAAAAGTTAGATTTAAAGAGTTACAAGTTGTTCTTATACGGCAGCTAATCAGGAAATATTTAGTAAAAGTGGAAATGCCATCATATTCTTCACCATTTTTAAAAACCTAGTTCACTATAGCAGTCCATTCTGAATTCATATTTTAAGGCAAAACAGTTAGAATTAAGCATGAAATCCCCGCTTCTTTTAGCAACGTGAAGACTCATTTAACCATAATTGTCAACGCTGAAAGAAGAGTTACTCACCACCAGTATTGCTCCAAGGATCATATGCCTGGAGGATATCTAAAACCCTACACATTCATGTTTAGATGTCTTTGAAATGCTTATATAAAAATTTTTCAAGTACGACAATGTTTATAAAATGAATACTTCCCTAGTTAATCATTTAAGTATACACTAAATCCGAATGAAAATGTTGCTAAAGTTTAGTTATAGCTTTAAAATCATTTTCACAGTCTACTAGTTTGTTGAATGTGGTTACTTTTCTCAAGCATTACATTTATGTGTTATATCGCTCTTTCAAACTGGAACTGGTTTCATTGTTGGCAACATTCCCTCAGTACACCTCAAAGTTTGCTGGACATCAACCTGAACAAATCCAAGCTTATTGTCTCAACAGGAAAATATTAATCTTCATAGTTCAGTTTCTAAATTACCACATTCCTTTTAGGTATTATACAGCAATACACTATAATACTTGTTGAGCATCTCTAGATAGATTCCCTATCTTTCATCCATTTGAAATTTTGTATCATAAACGCAATAAAAATGAAATCCTCGGATTTTTTTAAATATCGCACTTAAATGCACTATGCAGTGACCCAGTTGAAAATCATATCTTGATTTTCACGAAAAGCTTTCTCTCTGTTTTACCTCTTTTTAAACAGAATCATCCGAACTAAACCAGTAGTCAGTTCATCAACTACTTTGAAGTCAAATGAAGTGAATTCGAATGCTCAAATGCGTATGTTTGCTCAAAATTCTTTTTGTGTTTATAATTATGGTTCTTTAGTTGAACAGCTGTGTAAAAATTAGTTCCCAGTTCACCTTTAAGGGATTAAAAATATGTAGAATTACTCCGTTCAATGACAGCAGATGATCAGATGCTTCACTGACTGATAAACAAGTAACAAGGCAAGGAAACAACATGTTACCAGCCTGAATGAAATTTTCAGTTTATAAATAAATTCGCGATTTGTAAATTACACACTCCGAGACGAAACTTCATCACAGTTTCCTTAGGAATCCGTGATTATTCAAACCGAAACATGTGATGTGTTTGATATCATAAATGACAATCAATATAAGAAGCATAAATGCATGGTTACAAACTGATTATTTAAAGCGTTCACACGTGCGATTGATAATGCCCAAATGAGTATGGATATCATAATTTTCGTTCAGAACCAGTTTTGTGGAATGATATTGAATGTTGAATAAGAATCTGTGGTCACCAGAATGATGATTACGAAGAGTCTGGACAGTCCCATCGAATGCTTGATCACTAGGTTTCTGTATGAGAATTAAGTCACTATATTTATCTAGTTCATGTACTCCCAGTTTACTAAACAGAAGCCGTAATTTCCAGGCATATTCTCTGTCCGAAATATTTACTCGAAATAGGTTTTCGTATCTACAAAACCATGTATCAGATATCATGTTCGCATCTAGGTCATCAACAAACTCTGAGATGCTACTACCAGTGTTATCATTGGTTGTAGATGAGTCGGTAGGTCGTGATATGTGTAGACTAGCAGGTATTTCCGTTCCATTTAGCTGCTCCATTACGGATAAGATTTTATTTTGATAAATCACACACAGTGTTGTACAGTTATATTAACTGATGACGTTTCGAGCACAAACTATTGCTCATAATCATATCAAGTTGATATGATTATGAGCAATAGTTTGTGCTCGAAACGTCATCAGTTAATATAACTGTACAACACTGTGTGTGATTTATCAAAATAAAATCTTATCTACCACAGTGCCCAAGTTTTAGCTTCTGTCCTATTAGTTTCTCTGAACGCAGTGGGTCCATCTTGAGCGAACCGGTCGCCAAAAATTGTTATGATTGGAACTACAACCTAATAAACTAATATTTTAATGCATCATTGAACTTTCAAGCTCATTCTAACTGTATATATACAGAGTTTCTGTCTAGCCTTTTGACCATTGTTTGAGACAGTAAAAGCCCTCTTATCTACTTTCAGTTTTTTCTTTGTCTTTGTGTACCGGTGGTGTTATTATTATTGTTGTTGTTGACGTGCAAATACGACAGATTAGCCAGCGCTTTAAGTCATTATGCACTCATAGTCTACCAGGTCGTAATTCTGGTCATAACATGATTAACTGATCCGAGTAGTTGGGCACCACTGACATCATTCACTAGTGTTTGTTAGCCAGATAAAAGTGATCTAAACACTGTTCCACTGTTTCACTGATTTAACGCCAAACTTATAAGCTGTGTATCCAGTTTGACTTATGTTAGAGGACTCAATCAGTTAAAGCCATCCGGATACTGGTTGGCTACTTGTCTATTAATATATGTGTAAAACTTGGACACTGTGGTAGTAAGTTTATTAGTTTGTTTATTAGATGTACCACACAGTGAAACAGTATTTATTATTTATTGGATGACGTTTCGAGCAAAATTTATTGTTCATAATCATATCAATTGTAATCACACGACTTTGAAACTTGAGTTTTATAGTTTTCTTTGTCTTCTACCATTTGTTAGTAAAAATAAGATCGGTGAAATGTTTAATTGACACAGCACAAAAGCTAAGTAGTACCAAGGAAAATCTAAGACAGGAAGTGATACACAAAAAGAAGCCTTGAAACTTAATAATTATCCGGATAAATTAGTCAGGAAATCTGTAAGGAAATCTAAAAATAAAATAAATAATGATAGTAGCCATATTGATAATAATGATAACAATAATAATGATAATAATAATTATAATGATAATAATAATAACGACGACACCAACAATAAAGAATCTAAATCATCAGTAGTAATTCCACACAAGGAAGGAACCTCGGAAACCAGCTTACGAAGAATTCTTAACAAGGCAGGAATAAAAGTGGCTTGTATTCAAACCCACAAAATCATTTAGAAACAAGCTTTGTCGTTTAAGGATCATGTGGAGCCTTTAAAACAAAACGATTTAGTTTATCTTACAATCTGCCTGCAATGATTGTCAGGTCAAATACATAGGTCAAAGTAGTAGAACAGGGGCAGTTAGACTAGCCGAAAATAAAAACCTAGCAAAATTCAGATTGGTTGACCCAAATAAGATAAGAAATCTAGAGAATAGTTCAGCTACAGCACTCACTGCATGCAGTAACACACAACCATACAATAAGATGGGATAGGATGACAGTATCAAAATCTAATGTAACAGGGTGAATGGAGGGAGAGATTGATAACAGAAGCTTTATTTATCAAATCAACTGCGAATACATGTAATACGAATGATTCAACACCTGTCCCAGATATCTGGAAAATTCTACTACCCCAACGACGACAAATAGGAGAGAACAAAGAAGACTATAAAACTCAAGTTTCAAAGTCGTGTGATCATAATTGATGGCATGATTACGAATAATAAATTTTGTTCGAAACGTCATCCAGTAAACAACAATACTGTTTCTCTGACTGTGTGATACATCTAATAAACAAACTAATATGGAATTGGCTATTTGTTTAATTAATCTGTAATATTTAGTATCATGCATTTATGCTCGCTTTCTGGATTGTTATTTATGTTATCAAGCAGATCATACACTGTTTTATTTTTAATTAAAAACAAAACAATTTCAGCAGTCGGTGTGATCACAGGCAGTGGTTTCGCCTGAAATATTACCAAAAACTAAAACTTATCATTGTGTGTAAATTATTGAAATATGACTATAATTTATTCAATATTTGACGAATTCAAGTTGACTGCAAATGATCCTAATGACAGAATTATTTAGTATTCCTTGTTCATTTTATCCTCACTTTTTTCTTTTCCCTTCAAATTCTACAGCACTGAGAGTAGATCCTCAGAATATGTCAAATAAACCCAAGACAACTCCACGTACAACAACGACACCTCTAGATATTGTCACCAGTTATGAGTTAAAATTGTATAGTTCATTGTCCGAAGTATACTGTATATACGCAGAATGTTTATGTATGCTCTTACGTCAACAGTCATGTGGAATTCAGCTGGCTGGTAATGTTGAAAATTTAAAGCCAGCATGGTTAGATACTTCTTTGCTGACCAACAGGAATGAAAATGCAATAGAAGAGTTGAATGAATATAGTATACAGCTGAAAAATTATTGGTTAGTTTTGCATTCCAGGAAAAATAATATAATAATAATAATTTTGTTTTATTCCAAAAACAGTACTAATGATACAGCAAGAAATTTTCAGCATTCAGTACAATATTGCATCTAATTTACTCAAAAACGACAAGAGAAATTATAAATATACATTACATAATAATAACAAAACGATTGCTACAGCATCTACATAGCAAAATACTGCATGCCATACGTAGAAAAATATGCATAAAGTATAAAATTGTAGTAATAATAGTAATAACAACTAAAATAAAATAGCAGAGTAATAATTAAATGGCAGAAATTGTGACACCATAAAATGCAGAAAGATGAACAATGAAATGGTCGATTTACTGTGCTAGTTACATAGTAACTTATGTGTTTCACGTCTAACAGAGTCTTCGTCACATAAAGTACGGGCTAAATAGGGTATTGTAGAATTTCGGTGCTTAGTGGTACGAGCATATAACTTCTTACATTGACTTCTCGTCCTACCTGATGAGATACAAGGGGATAGTTGTGAATAAAGGGGGTGCAGAGGGTCTGACAGTACAGCCTTTGTCCATTTTGTACAGGAATTTATGTGTCTCTCGACTATATTATTGGCGAGCTCACGCAGTGGCATGCCACAAGCCCTACTCACAGCATTTAATACCCTTCGTAATATGATATAATCTTTTTTGAGAATCCCAGGAAAGATTAATGGAGAGCAATAGAGTACAATAGGTAAAGTACAGGAGTTTACAAACTGCAGAAGTAAAGGTTGGTTGATACCTGATTGTCTAAACTTTTTAATGTAGAAAGTAAGACGAAACATTTTCTTAGAGATTGATAAGATTTGGGATGACCATGAAAGGTCAGAGGAAAGAACTAATCCAAGGTATTTAATGCTTGACTTGGTTTTAATTTCCGTGCCATCTATGCTACAGGCATCATGGGAACTAACTAGTTCATGTAAGTCACGTCGATGCTTGAACGTAAAGTCAACTGCCTGACATTTGGAAGGATTTAACATACGACCATTTGACTTAGACCAGTTGTTGATGTCCAACAGAAAGCTATTAAGTTTAGAGCAGTCACACTCGGAAGTGATAGGCAGTGATACAGTCAGATCATCTGCATATTTGACAAAGTTAGTTTAGTATAAATGGAGCAGGTCGTGTAGGAAGAAGGAAAAAAGAAAAGGAGAGGGGACGGCACCTTTGAGGAACACCGGATTTTGTAAGCGAGGTAGAAGAAGATTTGCCATTATATACAGTATACTGCATTCTATCAGAAAAATAAGAATGCAACCAACTCTTAGCCCAGGATCCTGTTTGTATCAACGAAAGCTTATTTAACAGAAGGCCTCTAGGTACAGAGTGAAAAGAAGAACTGTAGTCTAGGAAAGCACCGTGAACATATTTGGCACCTTTGTCTAAGTAAGAAACAACATTATGATATAAGACAATCCCAGCATCCAAGGTACCTCTACCATGTTTGTATGCAAATTGTTTAGGATCATTGAAAGGTTTCAATGAAGGTTCAAGACGAAGTATAAGTAGTTTTTCCATCAATTATAAAAAAGGAGAAATAATTGTAATAGGCCTAAATTTAATATCAGTACCAGCAGATGGTTTTGGTATGCGGATAATTTTAATATTTTTTCATGCAAAAGGTAGTACACTGTTTTTTACTTCACAGAAGTGTATAAAGTTAAAACAGACATAAAGACAAATATAGCTTATAACTCTGATTCGATTCGCGAAATAGCTTGTAAGCCAAAAGCAGAACTTGAAAATGAATCACACTATATGACTGTATTAGCCACAGTGTATGCAGTCGCATTCGTATGCCTAAGACAATAGCAATGGTCCCACTAATTAGATTATAATATAACGTTTGCATATCTTTGAGCAAAGTTGGTCTCAACACCTACAGCTTAGTATAACGATCACCACAGGATGGGATAAAAAGAACTGAATGCTTTTTAATACGAGCGACTTAAAAAAAAGGACAAAGATTTTGATAAGTACTGAAAGATATGGAGGCAGTTGCTTCATGCTACAAATTCAGTAATAGCTGTGTAAAACAATAGGAATGATTGGAAACCATTATAGGAAATATAGAAAATATTACCAATAAAATCAAAGTATTACAATTAATAAAACTGTACACACAAAACCTAAAGGTCATTTGAATGCCTCATTTTGACCGTGAGCAATAAATTGTGGTTGTAGCTTATTCGTAGAATAAGTGCTCCTGTATAATTGTGCGCTGAATTCAATAAAACGATTGTGTTATGGGATTATATTCAACCACGGTACCCAAGTTCTATTTTCTTATCACTTATCTTCGATATAAAGGACATCCATGTTTAGTCTATGTGTAAAACAAACTGCCGACTTCTGATGACGTTATGCTGCAATTCACAGCATTTAGCTTAATTATATGGAGGGGGATTTGTTGTTGTCTCAAAAATATTCTAAATAACCTTGTATGTGTTCAAATGCAGTTAGATAAACTTGTGGGATGAAAATCATTTTAAATTACTTGTAAGGTCGCAAGAGCACAACATCTTTTTCTGGCAAAATAGTCAGTCATGAAAACGATGTTGTTGGTGAGCTAATGTCAGTAAACTTGTTAACGAGTAACTTACATTTCAGGCTGTGCGTCTAGGAGTCAATACGCTCCAGCTGTATTTAGCTGCAATTTGTCCAATTTCCTTGTTACGCATGACAGATGCGTAAAGATATTTGTTGTCTTCCAAAATCAAATATAATACAGCGTCTTTGCTTGCTCTTGTGGTTTGGAATAATGTAAGGAACCAGGCTGAATCATGGATCGATATTATTTAGTGAACCGCTGGAAAATAAGGAGTACTGGACCGCTACTTTGTGACTCTTTGGCAGTGTGCATCCATGATGGCACTAGTAATAGAACCCAGGACCTTCAGGTTGCAAAGCGAGCTTGTTGACCATTCAGTTACTGGGCCGAAGTTCAATGGTCCATGAATTCTACCTTCTATCAATTCGTGATTTATAGCACCACCACCAGTCACTGTAAGGAACAAAAGAATTTATAAAGGTTCGATTGGCTCCCTCAAATGTTTACTTTAACTTACTTCATTTCATAATTCTGTTTGCTTCATAATGTTTTTTAGTGAATGGTTTGGTCTTGTCAATGAAACCGCATTGTCAGCATTTCAACGTAGTGCTGTAATCTCTGCAAGAATAGCCGATTCGAAATGCTTATATTCATGTGCAGTTTGTGCTTGGAATTATTGTCTTCCAACAATATGTCAGAATGATCATCGCCAGATAACAACTACATTTTCGGTTAGTTAATATTAAAGGAAAATATTGACTGAATTCATAAATTCTCCCTAGCAAAATTGAAAAGATGATATACATCATCCATTAGGGGATAAACGATACTTCTACTTTGAAGAAGTAAGGTAAAACTTAATTATTTCAGATGTAAAAAGGGTACTTTTTGCCTGACGTTCTGACGAGTTATACAACGACATCTTGTGTGAAAGCATTTTCGAATTTCTAAGTAATAATAGAACCTCGCCTAGATTGCACTCAGCGTCAACAGGAAAATTCGGTCGGATTTTCAATACAAACAACGTCAAGTCAGTCACTTCTTCTATACAGATCAGAAACTTGGCCGTTCGGGTCACAAAGAATATTTCCAACAGCCTGTTGCAGACGCTACCTTTATCAACCAACAACTGTTTTCGCTGAATCTATACTGAGGATCAGCTGGCCGGTCGGGAAAGAATCACCAACAAGAAATTATGGGAACAAACAAACAAAACAAGAACCAATCGCCAACCAACAAATATGCAGGAGATGGAGTGGAGATGGATTGGACACTCGTGGCTGAGGAGGCCACCACTGGGTGACATCATGAGCTCGTCAGGCCATTGTTCGAGTGGAACCAGGCTGAAAGGGAAGCGGCGAGTAGGACGTCAGTGCAAGGATGACATGGAAGAGGTCGTGTGAAGAGGAGTTAAAACAGTATGGACTAACATGGATGCATGTGAAAAGTACAGCAGAAGACAGAAGGTAGTGAAGGCGTGCATCTGAAGCTCTATGTTCCACTAGGAACCCAAGGGAACAATAATAATGATAAATAATAATAGTAGTGTAATGATCGAAACTGAAGTATTATGGTCTGAACTCAGGGAATTAATCGTCGCCTTTTACTGCATGGACAACCAAACGTCTTCATCGCCCCGTAAACCTACACAGGTACAGAAGTGTTAAGGTTTGTGCAAATACCGCACTCGTAAAGGATAATTCATTCAAGCTTAGCCATCAATGAAACCCTATAAAATTTAATAAAAAAATATTATCCTTATGATCTAGTTAAGTGAATCCTTATGACCATCACGATGAACATGATAATACCATTCTGAAAATAGGGGTTTACAGGGGGAAGAGTGAGGATTCCCTTATAGCAGTGGTTATATTATCCTTAGAGTAATAAATTACTATGGCTTTTTCGGATTAACTGGTGAAACTGTCGCCTAAATAATGGTAATTTTACTGTTCAACCTACAAAAGACAAATTTCCCTTCAGTTTAGGTACTTATTACTCAGGTTATGAATGGTCAGTTTTTAAAAGAATTCAGCCATCGATAGGCAAATAACAACTTGATGATATATTAGGTAGTTGGAGGCAATCGGCAGAAAGCCTTCGACCTACATTTCGTGCTAGTTGGCACTCATCAGCACTCATCATCATCATCATCAAATAAATGTGCACCGAGATGGCGAGCTACTTAGAATGATGGCCTCATTGCAAAAGCTAACTGATAGAATTTAGTTTGCACCAAAGAAAGAACTAGACACATCATATTAGTTACTAGTGTCCAATCAAACTAACAACTTACTGAATTCAGTATATCCAAAGAGGTAATTCCTCAGTTATTTGACGATTATGACTTTAGACTAGTGTGGCCGAATAAAAAAGACTGTTTACTGCAAAATTGAAAGGAAATGCCGAGTTTAACATGTGAATCTCAGAGATCACCTAACAGAAGGTTAATAATTAAGCTTTGTTACTACTGATAAATTCTTTTAAAAGTTAATTAAAAGTTTAAGTACGTCCTTGTATGTTATAAAATCATTTCCCATACGTATTTAAATTAAACATCATCAACCAGAATTTTCCATGTATTTTGACTGAATAATTTAGGTGATTTTGGAGAGTGCAAATAAAATTGGACTAAACTGTTTACCAGCTCAGTTGTATACTGAAATGGCTACAGTACTGGCTCATGGTCTGATTCAACCCTGGCTACCAAAGCCATTAAAGTCAATTGTACATTCCGGTGATGAAAAGAATAAATCACTGCCTTCTAGCACAACACAGAAAGGTCAAAAGACAAGCAGAGGAAAGTCAGCGAAACCCACCACATATACTGTAAGTAATTTTTCAGATGTTATTTCATGCGATGAACAGAAGTAAATTGGATAAGCTTATACTGCTAGTGTTGCCAGCTATTTCATTCTGTTTACTAAAAGCATTCTCTGCTGGATGTACAGCTTCAATAACGTGCCAGCTTTTATCTTTATCAAGCACTAGTTTACATTTAAAGAGTCTTGTATATAAGTCAAAGTGTCGCCTTCACCTGTCGTTACTGCCTCATCTTCAACCTGCTGTACCCTACTGGTCACGGCTTCCCACTAGAACCCTAGATAAACTGCCTAAATAGAGCCAGTCGCTAGTGAGCATCAGATTAATTTTGAAGTATTGGTTTTGTAGGGATTATGTTTGAGTGTATGGAGGATTTCATCATGAGCTGACATCAGTTAGAGAACCATTGGAAAACCTGGGAGTACTGGACAACTGTTTCGTCCTAGTTTGGGACTCTTCATCAGCACGCATCCACCGACAGGGTTCGAACCAGGAACCTTCTGGTTACAAGGCGAGCTCATTGACGAAGACATTACGAAATGGTCGCGCTATGTTGTGAATTGGCAGAAGTTAGAATTCAAGGACCATTGAATCGTGTCTCAGTGGCTCAATGGTCTATGAGCTCATTTTGTAACCAGAAGGTCCTGGGTGCGTACTGATGAACAGTCCCAAACTAGGCTGACGAAACAGCTTTTTAGTAGTCCCAGGTTTTCCAGTGGTTCTCTAACTGATGTCAGCTCATGATGAAATCCTCCATGCAATCAAATAAATTCAAATTAGTTAAATGCACAAACCTGCACTAATGAAGTATCCAGACGCTTGTTAAGTCACTAGAAGCACACTGTAAACTGAAAGAGTAAATATTTACAACACATGAGAGTCACTTAAAGACAACACATAGCAAGTATTTTTAAGATCAAGCCAACTCCGAGATACGAAATAAGGCACCAATTATGGTGAGGTAAACACTAGATGATATCTGATAGCAAGAGTAATTGTAAAATAAAGATGAGATTCACTGGTTATATTCTACAAAGATTTTGTTTTTGTTTACCATTCTTCATAATTTCAAAAACCTACCATCAATTTGTGTTTTACTTTTTAAAATTCTTTATAAAAATCAAGGTGCCTCAAGAAGGTCAACAATGCATTAAAAAAGCAATGGACTGGTTAGTACTGGCCGGGAAACTTTTTGAACCTAATAGGTTGGATCTACTTCAGGATATTGACGAAACCTACACAATACAACCAGTTATACCAATAAGCACACGTTCTCGATTGATAATTTGCTGGTTATCAGCAAGACAACTAATCTCCAGTCCACCAGTACACAGAGGTTTGTTTCCAATGGATCTTCAAGGTGATAGCTCAAGCCATGGTGAAACAAATTATACATCTGATTTTGAAGCGCAAATGCGTAAAATGTCACTAAGTAACCAAAAGGAAGCACAAATTTATGTGGAAACATTAGTCACACGAACATTATTAGCTGTTCATTCTTTATGGCTAACACATAAGTCGAAATATATTTCTGAATGGCCGGTATTAGTATCGAAACTTATCGATGAACAAAGTACACAGACAATAGCAGAGTCATCAAAACAAATCGGCACAAATCTGGTTGGATTTAAAGATGCACCTTCACTAACAGAGGTAACTGTTAATTTTCCCTCAGTGTAGAGAAACTTCACTGTTTTAGATTCCTTCTTGTGAGCTAGTAAGTATATTCTATAAACATAAGTTGGCTAACTCTTTAGTACCAATTGCATACCAGTTTTTCTTGACTAAGGAGTACAAAATAGCCTTCTTTATAAAGTTTTATACCATAACTGAAAACACCCATTAAATGTTTAGTAATCCATATCAAAGATTTGTGATGCTGCTGTGGCTATAGGAAGTCTTTACCACCTACACTTTACCTCAAATTTTTCGTGGCGGACTTCCTTGTTATTTATTATTATTTTTCCTTTAATTCCTAGAGAAACACAGGGCTTCAGCTGCACGTCTCCATTGCTTTCGGTTCTCCACCAACTTTTTTCACCTGACTCCAAGTCTGCCCACATGTTTTCATCTCCTCTTCCCATGACCTCCTCCATGACCAACTCGCCGCTTCCTATTCAGTTGGGTTCCACTGGAGCAATGGCCTGGCGTGTGACGTCAGTTGATGGTTTCCTCAGAGTATGGCTAATCCAATCCAATTCCGTTTCTTACTGCATATTTGTAGCACAGTTGGTTCCTGCTGGGTTAGCTCGTTCATTTCTAGAGATCCCTGTTGCTGATCTTTTCTGGTCGGCCATCTAATCCTGAGTATTGAGCGAAGACAGCTGTTGAAGAAGGTCTTTAGTTTGTTCGAAGTGTCCTTTGTGATGCACCAAGTCTCTAATCCGTATAGTAGCACTGACTTCACATTAGAGTTGAAAGTTCGGATCTTATTTTTCATGCTTAGTACTGAGTGTTGACCTCCACTCAGAATTGAGAGTAATGAAAGCTTGTCTTGCTTTCCCTACCCTCACTGCTTTGATATCTTCGTTAGTTGCATCCGCCTGTAGTTAAAACGATGCTTCCCAAGGGCGGTAAAGGAGGTTACTTCTTTCAGGTTCCTCTCATTTATGCTGACTGCTGTCTCTTGTTGTTGCTGTTTCTGTTGGCCAGGAATCTTTATCACCTCTGTTCACCTGAAGGTCTATCTTATCTGGATGCTTCTTCGGCCAACTTGTTGCTTTTCACTTGCATATCTTCCAGTTTTTGGGAAATCAGACATATATCATCGGCGAAGTCGAGATTCTCCATGCTTTTTCTGTTGGTCATTTTATGCCTTTCTCCTCGTTGCCCGCTGTCTGTCGCGCTTTCCAGTCTACCAACCGAAATCAGGAAAACACTGAAGAAAATAGGTAGCCAGCTCGTCCTAATCCCGTCTTCACTTCGAAGGATTCCGTGAGTTTCCCGTTGTGGATTACTTGGCATGCAGGACTGTCGTACAGCTGTTGGATGAGGTGTATAATTGTTGGTGGCACCCCGTGGTAGCGAAGGAATTGCCGAATCACCTCTCAGTCGAAGTTGTTAAAGGTCTTTTCAAAGTTGATGAAGTTGAGATAGAGAGGTGACTGCCATTCTAATCTCTGTTCAGTGATGATCTGTAGTGTGGCGATTTGATCAATACATGACTTGTTTCTCTTGAATAAAGCCTGTTCCGGTCAAAGTTATTGATCCAGGGCTAGTTTGACTCTCTCCAGGATGATGCGGACTTCCTTGTTGTTTAATTCTTATTACTCTTCTTCCCCAACCAGGGTTTCATGTTAAAACTACTACCCCTCTCCTGATTTGAATGGCTTTTTGAGTGTTTTAAAAGCCTCATTCCATCTTAGAGCACTGACGGATTTGACACGTTTAACAGATGCAGAATTTCATCCAGAGTTTAAACTAGAATTAGGCATTTTTACCAAAGATCATTAATTGTTCTTTAAGTAATGAAGTTTCGTACGATAATGTTTTTAAAACAACACATAAGTGGATTGATTAGTTGTTGAAAGTACAAATGTGCAAAATGCAGCCAGAGATAATTTACACTTCATACAACTGCTTAGCCAATGCAGCGAAACATAGAAACCATTACCTCTTGAAATGTGAAGTCTTCAGTTTTTCCAAGTATCTTCAGAAATATCTTAACTGAAAATGTCATCACTCATTTTTTAAGTACTAATCACAAGTAATTTGGAATTAGTATCCAACTTTTTTAATAAATATCTGTACTGATGGTAGTACAGTTAGTGAAGTCCAAGTCGATATGCAACAACAGAAGACAAAGGTCAGACAATAGATAGTTTACTAAGGAAATAAACACATATTTATAGATTTTCATGTACATATAAGAGGTTATTGTTAGCAGAAAAACACAGTCTTCTGATTGGTTGTTTCACAGAAAGTTAACCTTGCATCTCTTTGTGGCTGTTTCTTGAATGTCAGATCATCTATATGATAACTGTATCAGTCTACTCGAAGCCTTTGTTCTTTTATTCTCATGACCAATGTTGGCGACATAAACACTGACGTAAATTGCTGTCCACCAGTTTTGACTAACAGTCAGCTCTCACCACAGATATAATAGTAATACCTATTCATAGGGTGACAATTCTGACAAATAGTTTCATACTGATAGTCATTTATTTAAAATTAACTTCTTTTTCAAGGCTATGTATTTAATGCAAACAGCATTTTGTGGGCAAAAACCTAATGTACAAATAGAGCAGCCCACTGGAAAATCAAATATTATAAAAGAACAAAGTAAAACTCCAGTCAAGTATGATTTACGATTGGACCAGTCAACTGCAGAACGTTATGTAGAACTTGAGTTGTGGACACGTTTAGCTATGATCGCCTTTTTAACATCACAGTATTCAACTGTCTTAGATATTATTGACTTGGCGAATATTCGAAAAGAATTAACCTGCAGTATCAGTCCACAACAGCATCAACAACAACAATCTAATGTAGACAACAATTACTGGTTAATTCAGTTACTGTGTCTACGTGGTTTAGCTATGTTTGGCATATCGAATCAAATGAAAATTGTTCGTCAACAAAATCTAAAATCCGGTGGGAAATATAATCAGCAACAACAACAACAACAACAACAAATGCAGCAACAGACACGTGGTAAACAACGTTTGACAGATGTTAAATTCAAATGTGTGGAACTTCTGTTTAGAAAACGAAGAATAAATACTGGCAGTGAAGATAGTCAAACAGTGGAAAGCAGTTTATTTGAAGCAGGTGAAGAAGCTTTTTATGAAGCTTCTCGGTAAGCTGTTTTCCTTTACTAGTAATTCTGTAAATCTGTTGAAAAATAAGCACAGAGTTAATAAGATAGATATCATAGTTTCACTGACTATTATGCTACCTAAGTCATGTTTAAATCGTGGAGGTATTCTGTTCACGTATACTAGTAGTAAACTAATTTGATAAAGAAACTTAGTATTCTTGCCAAAGCTCCATTACTTTGTATAACCTCTTCAATTTAACACTTGTTCTACTTTTGATAACTATTACTGCTTCCCTAGATGATCTTATCTTGAAGTGTAAGATGTTTGAAAATTAACCAAATTCTTTAAAAATCAAAGAAATTGCTTTTAAACATGACAGTAAGTGATGTTCAATAAATTATTTCCTTAGGTAATCCCCTTACTGTAAAGGCATGCGTACCTGCTAGAAACGCGGAATACATTTACCATGGTATTTAATCCAAATTAGTATGAAAATGAGGTGTTTGAGATCTATAAACAGATTGTGAATCAAATTTTGTCTGATGATTTCTTTCAACTATGAGATCGTTCCTGAACACTGTGTTTATGTCATGCGTGGTTACTGCAAGTTTAGCTGACTTTTTCTCTATTCAAACATAGTAAATGTAAATTCTCTGGTGTGGATTAGAATTCTTTTGCACATAATAACGATCGAATTTGGTTTATTCGCCTATTCGTTTACAGGTTTAAAATGATATACAGTTTTCAGATTTCAGATTTATTGGTTGAGGATAGGAGGCTTGGAGCCTATGTTAATCCTTTTCTAGTAAACTTCTGTGATTGTCCAAACCCTTCTTGAATGAATTAGTTGAGTTTGCAGACACCACTTCTTCTGGGAGTCGGTTCCAAGAGTTTATGACTCGGTATGAGAACCAGTAATCAACAGCAATATGATTTCTTCTTGGATTTTGAACTCTCCTGCTATGTCCTCTAAGGTGTTCCGACCTGGTAGGAAGGAAAAGAAAGAATAGGTCAGGTGCGTAGTCATTAGTTAGAATTTTAAACATTGTGATTAAATCTCCTCTCTGCCTACGGTATGACAGGGAGAAGAGATTTAAACTGTCTAGTCTTTCCTTGTATAATAAGTTAGCTATGGCATGAACCATACGTGTTGCCTTCCTTCGAACCCTTTCTAGAATGTGTGAGTCTCCCTTTAGACAAAGACTAGCGGCCTGGATGCAGTTTTCTAGTCTTGACCTCACCAGAGATGTATATAAGGAGGTGAACGTATCTCTAGTGATTCTAGTGAAGGCTCTGCGAATTGCCCGTAAGGACCTGAAACTACGTGCAGCCACCGCGCGACAGTGTGCTGTAGTCTTTAAGTCGTGGCTAACTATGACACCTAAGTCCAAGGGAGTCTGAACTGATGTTTAAAAGGAATTCCAATGTGATCAAAGAACATTAATCACAGTCCTCTTAATCTGATTGGGATTTTACTAAACGTAATGGAAATTCATCTGGTGACATCTTCATTTTTACACATAAATATTTTAGTAAAGTAAATGAGATTCATCTCAACCGTGAATAAACTTGCGATTTATAAAGCTAAACATACTTTCTTACATGCTGTTTAAAACCTCCAAAATTTGTTTTGCTAAATATATAATAGTTGAAGATGAAGAATATGTGAAGGCATTGGATTTAGCGCAAACGTTTTCTTCGCAGAACGTAATTTGAAATTCAAATGTTCTAGCATTGTTGCTGATCACTGATTATAACAGCAGACTCGCCTTATTTCCCATACAGTTCTTAATGTTCATTGTATTTTTTCCATCCAAAATCTGCATATTTTCTTATGGAATTAAGAAAACAACAACTGAAGGAAGATAAATGGAGTCTGGTTTATTCCTTCACTATCTTGTCAAGAAAATACCACCTGGATTATCAGAATAAACGATTATGTCGCAAATGTCACACACAAAATACGGAACAGAAGCTGAGAAATTGCCATAGCATACTGACAGATCATAACTGACAATTTCGTGGATTATCTTAAAGCATACACTTGGTTGCTATACATATGCACATAATGAAACTAGTGTTTTCGTGAAGATAGTGACAAGGATAGCAACAAGATATTGATATCTGTCTTGGACGCACAGATCAACTAGAAATATTTTTTAATGTAGTAAGTTAATCACAGTCAGCTGGATCTAGATTGCACAAATACATAAGGGGGGGGTAAATAAATGACAACTCACTTAATAGTAGAGACACAAGCATTACTACTTAAGGGAAAGAAATACTATTGAGGTTTAGAGTCAAAAGCCATGCTGATACAATGGAATAGAGTCCACACAGCTTCCTTTTAGACACAATGTTTGAGGTAATTAGTAACGATAGAGTCAGCTACGTTTGCCTTTTAAACAAAGTGAAAGTAGTTTATGCAGTGATGTATATATTGGGTCTTTATTCAGTCATGAAAAAAGCAGTAATATCATCATCGTCTCTAACTATTGTGACTCAGAGGCTCTCTTTTTTATTTCAAACTTTCAAATTATCATGAAATATAGGATTGCTTACAAAGCAGGACGTTACGATCTATTAGTTATGTCAACATCATTATACTGGACGTTATTAAATCATCCCACTTTATCATCATCATCAAGTCAAATAGCTCAAGTTTTGCAAAAAATACAATCGTTCGACGAAAAAATTCATAATCTAACTAAATGGTTAAGCCACTGTCTAAAAATTGAAGTTAGAAATGAATTGGCTACACAAATTCGAAATAATGAAAATAAACAAGACAAATCAACAGATTTATCCATAGTGAAAATTGAATCTGTTTTGATGGATTCAATCAGAACCATAAAAGAAGGTATGTGGTGTTTCTATTATAGTATTTATTGATAAATAGAAGTTATGAGTACATACATTTAAAAACATTTCGTAAGATCGTTTCTGTGAATGATCTGTAAATTAGTCACAATCTACAAAGTAGTCCTTCTAAATGACCCAGCAATTAGTATGATAAAAAATGTAGCAACTAACCTAACCACTGAAACTATGCAGACTGTTGTCACAGTCATTTTCGCGATAACTTCTTGTTTCTCGTCATAGACGAGTCATATTAACAACTAGATAGTACTGGAAAGGTATTTTAAAAAGCCATATTCACTCCATCAAGTTAAATAAATTTAATTAACTAATTAATAAATAGCTTTATTCTGAACAAAATGTTTACAGTGTACAGAATTCTCAGAGTAATTTATTGCATAATATCTTCTCCTCATCCAGGATCTTTAGGTAAAGTAGCAGTCTATAGTATATCATGTGATGTGATGCTCTTAGATGTGAAAGCATGAACTAATCCCTTATTATACTGTTCCTTCCTCTCTGTGAAATGCACACTGGAAGTTCGAAAGTCAATCTGAGAGTGTACTTGAGGGCAGTTTGAGAATGGTTATGACAATGAGAATTACAGGAAATATGATGCACTGTTTGGTTGTAGGATTTCATCATGAGTTGATATCGGCTGGGAAACCTAGTAGTACTAGACGGCTGTTCTGTCCTAGTTAGAGACTCTTCAGCAGTATATGCCCACTCGGGCTCAAACCCAGGATCTTCTGGTTACAAGGCCAGCTCATAGACCACTAAGCCACTGGGAGCCGATCTAGTGGCCCATCAACTCCAACTTCTACCAATTCACGACATATTCCGATCAATAGCCAATGTCTTCGGTGAGTATTTGTCCTCACACCCGACCTGCTGTCTCCTACTGGTCACGACTTCCCACTAGAATACTAGATAACTACCTATCTGAATAGGACAAATCACTAATGAGGGCCTCATTGATATTCAAGAATTGGTTTGTAGGTATTTGATTGACTGGCTACAGAATTTCATCATGAGCTGACATCTGTTAGAGAACCACTGGAAAGCCTGGTGGGTGCGTACTGTTAAAGAGTTAAAAAAAAACCAGTACTTCCAAGTTTTCCGACGGTTCTCTAACCGATGTCAGCTCATAATGAAATCCTGTAAGGAAATAATCAATTCCTTGCAAACCAATACTTGAAGATGATGCATTGTTTTAGGTAGCCCAGTGATTCGAGCAGTTGATCAATTCAAAGAAAACCCCTTTAAAATATTCCCAAAAAATAGCCTCCATCATGTAAAAAATACAGTTTACTCGTTGATTGAAGCGTATCTTGTTGATTGCTTTGTGCTGATTATAACAACAAAAATCCAACGATAAATACACTGCATAAAAACGTATAATAGTTATTGTTAGTTGGGAAGTATCTGCGCTTAAATCATTCGATAAACAGAAAAAGAAGGGGGATCAGAAACGAATGAATTGTTACTTGGTGTTCGTGGACTGAAAAATATTGTAAGAATATTAAATGAATCCCTACTTATACCATAACTTCATGATATTCTGCCTCTAGGATAACACAGAAATCTCTAGGAAACACTTGACTGGTTTCTATGATACGTTACCGGTAGTAGCAGCTAAAATTAGGATAACAGGTTATTGTCTACACGGTTCAACTTTTTTTCACTCCATTAACTTTTGTTTCATCTAGTTAGGTGTAAGGAAGTTCTTACGAGCTGATCACGGATTGATATCAGTTAGAGAACCATTGAAAACCAGGGAGTACTGGACAGCTGTTTCATCCTAGTTTGAGAATCATTGGCAGTACGGACCCACCTCCATGGTTCGAACATAGGACCTTCCGGGTACAAGGCAAGCTCGTATACCATTCAGCCACTGGAATTCTAACTTCTACCAACTCGTGATTTAGCGCAACCCTACTGGGTGCGTACTGCCGATGATTCCCAAACTAAGATGAAACAGCTGTATAGGAATCCCTGGTTTTCAGTGGTTCTCCAACTGATATCAATCTGTGATCAACTCGTAAAAACAATACCAGTGCTTACAAACCAACTTTAATAAGGAAGTTTGTCCTGTGTAATAGATTTTTTTCATTCTATGCAATTTTTGTAACACAGTTGAACTGATAAACAACACATCGAACCTGTGAGAAGTTTATTTTAGATTGTATGATAAAATTAACTATGCATATCAAACAGTCTGTGAATCTAAAGGATATACTTTTATTGGCTGTCATGTTTCTTTCATTTTTATCATATTTTTTTAGTTTCAAGTTTATACGAAACAGTAACTATAGTCCCATATCCAACAGTGACTCAATTTGAAATGGATTTACAACTGCGAGTGAATATGTTTACAGCTCTGTATGATTTGTATTCTGAACAGGTAATTTTCTGAATCACTCGTTTCGTGTATAAACTTCTTTAAACCTTTTTTATAAGCAATTACTGGGTCAGAATGCATTATGTAAAGTACAGTAGTACTCTGTCTACATTACATCATCGCAGAGTAGCTGAAAGGTAGAAATTCTCATTTTGGTAAAAAAAATTTGCACTATACTGGAATTAGTCTAATTGCTTGTCACTCTAAGAAACCAAGTTGTATTTTACATCGGAGTGAAAAGCCTTTATTGGTCAGAAGACTATTTTAAAGAAAGTGTAAAAGAGATATTGCTGAAATACTAGTTTACAGATAAGATCCTTACGTCTAAGTAATCATTATGATTGCAAAAATATCTTAAAAGAGTTAGACTGAGATACTGAAAGCTAAGCCACTCCTGTTCATAAGGAGTGATTTTTCTAGAAACTGAACCGGTAGGTAGAGCGGGATTCCACAGAAATTTTGACAGGAAAACGCCTTCGCCGAGCTAATATTTATATATATATATATAGTCGAGCGCGCTTTACAAGTTGGCGCGTGGTACGGCCGATGTACTCAGATCTGCACGAGGAAGTAAACTGTTATATGCATGCTGGAGTAGCCCAATGGGACAACTTGTCTTCCTCAGAGATTTGCAGAGGCGTTCACGAAGGATTTCTGCTTCAATATCACCTTTGAATTCTAGACTAAGCAGAAGTATTTTCTTCAGGACGGACTGAACTTGTTCGGAAGTCTTCTTAGATTTGAGGTTCTTGTCTATGAACCTGGTTAGGAAACCGTTCTCCATCAGGGGTTTTCGGAGACTACGCAGTTTTTCTGCCATCAATTCCTCGCTGGATGCCTTCCGAATCCTCGAGGAAAGAGCGTATATCAGGTTCCTCTTTCTGCTAAGGGGCACGAAGCCTTGAAAGTTGATGAACTGTCCATTCCATGTAGGCTTTTTGTATATGGAACTTTTCAAAGAGTTGTTGGCGTTTCTTGTCAGATGGACGTCGAGGAAGTGGAACATTCCGTCGGATTCAGTCTTAATGTAAAGTTGATGTTTGGGTGGGCGTTATTTAAGATTTGAAGTAGGTTTTTAAATCACAACTCTCATCAGAAATAATAAAAGTATAATCGATGTATCGCTTGTAGAGATGGAGGTCGTTGATAGTTGGTAATAAGGCGTTGTTATCTGAGCTAGCCATAAAGCAGTTGGGTAGGAGGGGTCCTGAGGGAGAACCCATTGCTACTCCATCTAGTTGCCCGTATATTTCCTTGTTGAAACTAAAGTATACATTGAAGGTGCATCGTAGTAACAGTTCTTTCAGGTAATGGATCGCTAAACCGACACCGATGCTATTGGACTGAATGTAGTCACAAAGGAAACATACGGTTTCTGTCAGTGGAACGTTGGTGAAGAGAGACACGACATCCAAGGAGACTATTTTCTTTTCTGCCATGCTGACATTCTTAATTGAATCAATGAAGTCCAATGTGTCACGGAGGTTGTGTCTTGACAGCTTCTCTTTCACAGGCCGGAGAATCTCCACCAGCCATTTCGCGATTGTATGACATGGAGAATCTATTTTCTTATAAGAGAGAAAGTTAGTAGTGTTAGGGTGAAATGAGTACTTTCTGATGGTTATATCAACAGTAGACACAGTTGTGGTCGCCTTACATTTAGAACTTTTTAACCGTTCCACAGAACTGGTCTCTACCTTGATGTTTTTTTTAAATTAATTTTATTATTTAATTACCACAAAATTAACTCTGGTTTTGTTGAAGCATCTGAATTAATTATTTTTTAAAAACATTTCTTATAGGGGAATTTCACCAGTGCACTAGCAGTATTGGCTAAAGCTACTCAAAACCTACCACGTACAAAACATAGAATGTAAGTGTACTTAAATGTATTATCATTTGTTTTCACTTAAATTTAACAGCTTTTTCTAAGAAGCGAGATGGCCAACTCCAACAAATAACTGTTTTAACGCATTTATTTCAGCACAAAAGGAAGACCCTGTTCCGAATCTCATCTAAACAAAAAATTATGTATAGCTTAAAATGCCGTCTATTTCATGGCAACATTACTAGATACTGCATATGATGGTTAAACATAAAAACTGTGCCATAATCAGAAAGTGTGACGTCTAAACATCCAGGCCTAAGCAATCCACTTTTTTATTTACATTGTCTCCCTATTTAGGTTGCTATTTCGTCAACTTGTCATCACAAAAGCTAAATTAGGCCAGTCAGTAGAATTCGATATGCAGAAGTTTACAGTAAGTTACAAGTTAACAACAGTGATTTTTACATTTTCTGTTTATTTGTTATAATAAAGGTTTTTTTGTATTTCCCAATGAATGAAAAACAAAACGATATTGTTTTTACTGACGTTTCGCTATTTGATGCTAATAGCTGCTTTATCAAAGTATTATTAAACCGGAATTTACAAAATCCACGCAGCATATATATAACAAAGAGTTAAGGGGTGAGAAAATAGACTTAGGTCAAGTTAAAGGGGCATATTGAAAGTCAAAATAACAATGAAAATCACTAAACCAAAGAACAAAGGTAATAGTACATCTTTTATGATACCAAAACATAGTTTACTAACTTGATCATCATTCGTCAGTCTATGGTCACTTTTGGTTGTTAAGTTGGTCAATTGGTAAAGATAACAAAACCAAGTGTAGATTGTTGGATTTGATCAGTGTGTGAATTTATAAAAGCAGTGTGTGTTTACATAGTGAACTTGGTTATCACATTCGTGTTGATTTTGTCACTTCATGGGGGAGGGAGATGTTGTAACCAGGTCAAATTCTGTTTTAGTCCATCATTCCTATTCAGGCAATTCGGATTCCATTTGATATGAAGTGCTTCTGATATTAGACGTTCTTTGTGATTTCTGAAGTTTTTCTGGATTATTTCAGTATTGTCAAAATCAATTTTGTGGCCTGATTCTATAGCGTGTAGACCTATGGCTGATGATTTTTCAAGTTTTTGTAGTTTAACCGGATTTCTCGATGGTCAAACACATGCCCTACGGTGTTCATTTCTTGCGATTTTGATTTCTCGAGATGTTTATCCTATGTAGATCGCATCACATTCTAAGCACAATTAGATAAAGAGTCTTTCGAGATTTGGTCTTTTATATGGACAAGGTTTCTTTGAAGTGTATCTAATGTTTTTTTGAAGAAAACTCTAATGTCAAGCTGATTAAGTACTCTTCTGATATTGTCTGACGTCTCTGCCCTGTATGGAATGACGACTGTTGATGTCCATGTTTTCGGAATGCGTTTTCGGCCATACTTAATGTCTGTGTTGATTTTGTTGATGAAGCTCCTTGGGTAGTTGTGTTAAAAACTTTTAAAACTAAACAACGTAGAAATCATTAATGATGTAGAACAGAAGAGTAATGATCAAGCTTTGACATTTCACAGTCGATCAGCTAAATTCAAATTTAGTGGTTAATAAATTAGACGGTATCCTGAATTTCATTTCCAGGTTCAACAGAGGTTATCTTAAAAAGTTAGAAGTTTGACTGAAGTATTGCTATTTTAACATAATTTCTTTCTGCCCAAACTAGCCTTTCATGTGTTGATCATCAGGAAGATTTTCGAAGTAATGTCGAAAATCACTAGTCACCAGTTAAATGACCGTAGTTACTGATAATTGTTGTGTACTCTAAAATCGAAATAAATGAAAGGCGTTGCTACATCCATAACTGACATCAAATTTCAGAGTGTAGTGCAGTATATTGATGAAATTCGTAAATTATATCAGTGACGATATAATAATAGTGCTGATCTGTGGATTCGATACCAGTACTGGTCACTGATTAATTCTGACCCTACAAAAATGAGGACAGAAGACAGATTGGTCCATGCCGGTGTGAACGATTTAATTTTTCTTATACAGTAGTACATTAAATGCAAATATTATCAACTATGGAAAATTAAACTGATGAATAACGAATTGAATTATTTACATAACTTGGGGCTTCAAGCTTGTCTAATTACATTATGATAAATACTGCCTCGACCCAACGGTTTAACTTCTCCAAACTGATTTTAATCGCTTTCAATCAGCATAAGACACACGAGGAAGTGACTGCTGACTGTAAGAAGTATTTAAACCATATTTAGGCATAACTGGTAGTAGAATTTCGGGACATTCGTTCTCGTTGAAATTCTAATTTGGTATCCATGATTTCAGGTTCGTGACTATATAAACTTAGATTGTCAGATTACGGTAATCACCACTCTCTTACAGTGATGGTTGCGAATATAGCCCGAGTTATCATGTTTTCACTTTTACAGATGTCATAATATCACTGTAGGTCAGTTTTATTTCGTGAAATACTGACTGTTGATGGGATGTATCCTTATGATACATTTTCAAACATAAGGCAGATATCTTATTATAAATGAATAGCTTTAATGAAACTTGCTTTGTACTCCCTATAAAACAAAAAACAAACAAAAGGATTGAAAGTAATAAAACTTCATTTGTGATCATACCAATTAATTTTAAAATAATGTACATAAATACTAGTTGGTTATTAATGACTAGCAATGGGATTTACAACGTGCGCTGCGTCCTTATCACGAATCGTTAGCTGAATATTCCTTCATCTCGATAAGCGGTGGTGTCCCAACTGAAATGGAAATCTCAAAATAGCTTCAGTAAACAATATTCATTAAAACTGGGCAATCACCCCTCACTGAGAGATGCAGGTACATCCAGTAGCTGACGAGTCCCGAATAGGACGAAATGCGCATCCTGAATTCCACTACTAGTCGCCATTCGCCAATTAAATACTATTTAAACGCCAAGACATCGTCGAAACATTTGCACAAGAAGCCAACATGTTAACCTGAGACCGAGCACTTCAGTCGAATCTATCGACGGGAAAATCTAAAATTCAGTTAAAGTTTTAAAGCAACGTTGACTGTGTTTGCTCTCAGAATGAACTCTTTTACATATATATTGCAGAACATTCATACTGGATTCCACTGCCAGCTACCAGAGAGCAAGTGACATCATTAAATGGACGGAATGACAAACCTTGTGACAAAGCAGCTTCACACAGACTTACCGGTGTTTTGTGCAAAGTGAAAAATGCATATTTTGCTTTCATGAGATAAATTTAATATAATCAAAATGGATTCTATTCCCCGCCCCACCTGAGTTTATAGGATACAACAGTACCGGAAATTCCTAGTTACTATGATCTGCTTTTTGTGTGCATATTTTTCAGTCAGAATCTGAGCCTTTACAAGCAAAAATCTGGAGAGAAATAGCTTACGCTAGTTCAGATGTCAATTTTCAGGTGAAAGCTTTTAAACAGTCGATAGATGCTATAAAGGTAAATGATACATTATTTCACTTTTGGCGTATTATATATTTAAGAAGCTTTCTTTAATAAGTCATACAGTTTATGATATATATATATATATATATCGTTAACTCTACTCATGTATATACTACCAGTTTTCTATTTCTGTCCTGTAGTTATGAGCATTCTCTTAGACTGAATATTTTATCACCACCATTGGAGAATTCTTCGTAACACTAACTTTCTAATGGTATGATTTTCATTTGTGCTGAAAACTCAATCTCGAAAGGATCATTTTATTTTTTACTTTAGCAGAGTATCATAGAATAAATGTTATTACAGTGCAAGCTGCTTAACAGAAGAGAGTGAGTTTCTCCATTTAGCTTGGGAATACAGTTTTCAGGGTATGGCTCAGATCAACTCAGGTGGTATCCAGTTTAAGGGAAGTTCTTACACTGTCTACTAAATTTGAAGTTATTCTATGATAACATTAGAAGGTATTTCAAGGTAGCTTCACTTCTGATAGTCACAGTCGACAAGATATATCTGCAAAACTGAAGAAAGCCATGTTTTCTACGAAATTCTAACTGAAATCATTTTCTCATTACCGTGACCACAGAGACAGGCATATAGGAAATAGTCCCAGTAAGAGTGTTTTGTATGCAAACAATTCGCTAGATTATGCCATATTTTCCAACTATAAACCAGTGCTCATTTGTTAGTCAATTTTTAATTACTTCATAAGGCATTTCTGTTTTGTTGGTATATAACCGTTTGAACAAAGTGAATGTTTTTAGTGGTATCAGTTTCGCATGGAAAGGAGGGTTTTTACTGTGAATGTGTATAACTGGAAGAATTCACAAAATAGCGAGTAGGAATCAAACTACTATTTTCCTCATGGAATTATCCTGCTTGCTTTGAAGTATTCGATATTAAGTATTATGCTACACTAAACTGTCACCACATCCCCAAATAATTGTACAAATAAAAGGAAGTAAATTCAGGCAGTTGGAGAATAAATAAATCGAATTGGCAGTATTTAGCTGAAAGTTCAGTATTCAGCTAAATTGATTATATGGGAATGATCAAAAGTACAAGACTAGCAGAGGTTATAAAGAACTGAGTAGTTTGCTCTGCTTGAAAAATTTTACCTGTTTACAATAGCCCTCCTCTCACATGCCTAAACCGTAATATTCAGGTACCTCAGAAACAGCATTGTTGCCCGGCTGGTATTTCAGAAGTCTTAGCTTTATTCGGCTCGCAGCATGACATCATGTGAAAGCACTCTTTTTCCCAACTATATTTGAAGAAATTTATTAATAGCTATTAAAGTGATCATTTATATAAAAGATAACTTCTGACTCAACTTAGTTTCAACCTAAAATGGGCGCCACTAATTAGCAGCGCATTAGTGCGTGTATTAAACTACCCTTTCTGTTCACTGATGTCTGGACATATTATTAATGCTACGGTCATGCAGATATTATTCCTTTAGAATCACCCCTGCTCACTCAGTGACTCTGAAAAGCTTAAATACTTTTCAACTTGGCATCTGTTGACATAATTCCCAAGTCTTCAATATCTAACAAAAACTTTACTCAATATCAGACATATTTTGGCCGAATTATCTGTTACCCAACAGATAATTCATCTGCATTGGCCAACCCTATCATATGAAATTTGTAGAATATTTAGCTTAGTGGTGAGATTTGAAGCCTACTAAATGAAAAACAGGTTTTAATACTCAAAAAGATTTCAGTTTCTTACGGTTTTCAGAGACTTCACAGTAAAGCTCTGCTGTAACAGATTTTTTATTTACTAACTACCAGCTTTCAGTGCTCGGAAAAAGTGTTTGATGTCCAGCATTGTCAGCGTCGGTGGCACAGTGGTTAGGACTCTCACAGATCATGCACATGGTCCGAGGTTCGATCCCCTGCCGACGCACACCTGATATCTATAGTCGGCCTGCAAAATTTGGGCTACCGATATCCACGCTGAAAGTTCCATACTTGTACCAAAAACACTGTGTGGAATCAAGCTGTAGTCAAAAATAAAATAAAAAATAAAACTTAAAATTACCTGTTTTTTCTCAAATTTCTGCTATACAGAATCCTGCTTACTGGACTTTGAAATCTGAACTATTGTTAGAATTTTCACAGTGGTTATTTGCACATGGCTTTGAAGTGCCTGTGTGCATAAGTCTAGCTGAAGAAGCTATGGACTTACTAGGCGATGTTTGTGCAAGAGAGTGTGATGAAAGCCAGTTTAAAGAATTGAAGTATAGTAAGCAAAACTATGTTCTTTTATTTTTATTGCAATTTTTTCCAGTTATTTTCATTTTAAAAAGTATCCTAATCAAAGGTAGTTGGTGGTTTTTGTGGTAAAGTGTTGTTATTTAGACAATGATCAGTAATCACAGAGAATGAACGCTCCTGTCAACATTTCACGGCCGGTTTCTGTGTCTTAAGGCAGTGATTCACCTGGCTTGGCGGCCCCACCTTATATTTGGCTGCACCAACACCAACGCATCCATTGCAATCATACAGGGCGTCAGCCAAAAGTCCAAATAGCTTAGTGCTAGCTTTTCTAATCATAGAAGTGAGTAGAAATCTCAGAGGGGACATCACTTCCTTCGGGACTGAAAATGCAGCTATTTAGCGAGTGATGAGAAGCAACAAATACAAGTTCAGGGATTCCTACCAACTGCCTCTAGTCATCTAAAATCAATAACAAGATTTATATGTTTGAAATTGCCAGATAACATGTGAAGTCAGAACTACTAAATGATAGCAGCATCGGGGACTGAAAAAAATTACATTATGGGGTTTCCATAATTTTCCAGTGACAGTAAAAGTTATAATGAAGCTCGTTTTATACCATAAGTTTGTTGTGACTTAAGTATTTAGGCAGAATGATACAGGAATCAAAGATATGCAATTCTTTCAAGAACACCGTATTCTTTAATCCTAAATTTACTTACCCTTGTAATCACTGATTAGACCTTTTGAGGATGTCATCCTTCCGGGAACTGACATTATCATAGGCAAGGATAATTAAAATATAAAAGAAATAATGTAACAGAAATGTATGAATGACAGGCAATGTATTGGAATTTGAATATTGTCGACCTAGAGAAGCATAAAAGATTATCCTACATAGCCTTTATTCCACTGTTTTATAATACTTAAGTGGAGTTGCGAACCATTTCGGTTTCGTTTCAAAAGGTGAAGAGGAGAAAGGTTCTGCTACTGTGGTGCCGTGATACAGACAGTGTGTTCCTATGGAATATTATTCTCACTTGTTCCCACAGTTCTGTGCTACTTTAGCAACCCAATATTATATGTATTTGATCATTCTATTTCATGTCGTTTAATGTAAACCGAAATAACACCCTCAGTGGTCGATTAAAGAATATAAACTGTGCACATATGAACAGCGGTTTGATTAATTGAAAATATACGTTTGCTCCCGTGTCTTACCTTCTGCTGTTAGACTACGATTTAACCGGAAATATTAAAAATTAAAGGTTTCAAAATTATTTTTCGCTTTGATCTGATGACATACAACTTATTGAGTATGAAATATTATGGAAAATACGAATAAAATATAAAAAGCTTCTATGGAATGGACAGTTTGTCAATTTTCAGAGTTGTGTCTCTCTAAGTGGAAAGAGAAACCTCATACGCTCTCTTCCCTCGAGAATCTACAAAATATATACCAAAGAACCTGTTGATTAGGAACTGCAAAATCACTGACGAACCTTTACAGTAAAATGGTTTCCCATCTAAATTCACAGACAAAAATTCTAAAACCGAAGTAATTATCTGAACAGGTCCAAGTCACTCCACAAGGATGTTGATGCTTAATCGTGAATTTAAAAGGGATACTGAAGCAGAAATTTTCTGTAAACGGTTTTCGAAATCTTTCAGTAAAATATACTTTGCTACCAGACTATGAGAGACATTTTTATTACAAGAAACTATTCAGTCAACACTTGAAAGAAAAGCCTTGCGCTTTGGGCCACTTCAGTATGCATATACCAGTTCACTTGCTTGTGTGGAGCTAAGCACATTGGCCGTACCATACATCCACTTGTAAAAAGCGCTCGAAAACACTAACCAATCTGGCCAGCAAATAGAGAACGCAAGTGTGTGTATAGTTCGGTAAAAAAAAAACCATCTGGTTAAATCAGGACATTCAGATCCATGTGGAAATTCCTTCAGACTCATGTACAAGATCAGACTGAACCTCTCAAAGGGAATGAAACTAAAACATCGGAGCGTATCTGAGGCTCTAGCGATCCAAATTCCACGCCCATGCTATGTAACCAAAAGAAACACGTCCAACCATTGCCTCTACCGTAGCCATCATAAAAAGTCAGTCCTCGGTTACCTTTCTTATACAATGTTCCTGTTTATTTCTGTTATTTTTACGTTTTCTAATTACCATCTTCACTACTACATTTTTCATCGAAACTTTCTGTCCACATTTTAATCCGTAAACGCACAAAGAAGTCAATTTTCTCGGTAATTATGATCCTATTCTATTTTTATCCGATCTTCCTGTTTATTACATTTTGCAATTTTATTATTTTGGCCCTTGAAGGAAAATAATTCTGGGACTTTCTCACCCATTTATTATAAATACACAAGTGATGACTTCCTCGAAAAAAAAGTTTTCTTCTCTGGAACAGTGATTTTTATATTTCCTCTGATCGAATGTGTGTATTTTGTGATTTGGAAAATACATGCTACTCCATAAATAAACACGAACCTGTTTACTAAGGCTTTAAAAGGGAGAATATAACACTTATTCAATGCTGCATGCCAATTAATCCACAACGGGAAACTTACGGAAGCCTTCAAAGTGAGGACGGGAGTGAAGCAAGGCTATCTATTATCGCCAACGATCTTCCTGATTGCAGTAGATTGGATAATGCGACAGAGAACGGGCAATGAGGAAACAGGCATAAAATGGACTCACACGAAAAAGAACTTGGAGGATGTGGGCTTCGCCGATGATATATGTCTGATTTCCCACACATCGGAAGATATGCAAGTGAAAAGCAACAAGCTGGCCGAAAAAGCATCCAGATAAGATAGGACTTCAGGTGAACATAGATAAAACAGAGGTGATGAAGATTCCTGGCCAACACCAACAGTTAAAAAAAAACAACAACAGACAACAGTCAGCCAGCATAAATGGGAGGAACCTGAAAGAAACAACCTCCTCCACCTACTCATCTACCTGGGAAGCATCGTCTCAACTACAGGCCGACGGAACTGATGAAGATATCAAAGTGACGATCAGAAAAGCAAGACTAGCTTTCATTACTCTCAAGTCTCTGTGGGGATCAACAGCACTCAGAATCAAAAATAAGATCCTGATTTTCAACTCCAATGTAAAGTCAGTGCTACTATACGGATCAGAGACTTAACCAGCGCGTCATAAAGAGCACCTCAAACAAACTACAGACCTTTATTAACAGTTGTCTTCGCTCAATACTCAAGATCAGATGGCCGGCCAGAAAAGATCAGCAACAGGGATCTCTGGGAGCGAACCAATCAGGAACCTATTGTGAAACAAATAGGCAGGAAGAAATGAAGATGGATTGGCCATACTCCGAGGAAACCATCAAGTGACATCACACGCCAGGCCATTGCTCGAGTGGAACCCGAAAGGGAGGCGGCGAGTTGGTCGTCAGTGCAAGGGTGACTTGGAGGAGGTCATGCGAGGAGGAGATGAAAGCATGTGGGCAGACTTGGAGCGGGATGAAAAGTTGGAAGAAAACCGAAGGTAATGTAGACGCGTGGCTGAAGCTCTATGTTCTTCTAGGATATAATCATAACACTCATTAGCTTCTAGTGATTACTTTAATAATATAATTCTATTGACAGCAAATTGTTGGTCAACTGTTCCGAGTTATCAGTTAAACTGAAAGTCATTTAACCGTGATAACCGATAACCTCCACTTGGTAACTTACCAGTTAGCAGGAAAAAAGACGACCTGTAATATTAATTTTGTGTTTGTTTGCCAGCCACACACCAATTCATAGAATACCCATCTCTTCCTAACTTAACTTAAATGAATCTAAAATGGGAGAAATATTATCAATTATATATTCCATTTCATAAAATAAAAGCCATCTTCTAAGTTCCTATTAGATTTGGTGTTTTTTAATCAAATACATTAGAGTAATGCTTGTGAAATCTCTCAGTGATGACTAAACAACGACAATGCGCATTCAGTATTCATAAAAGCATAAATTCAAAAATTAATACCTACACCCTGTAACAACTATGTTTCTAGAAATTACTGGTGAAATTCAGGATGTGAGTTTTGTCATTTTGATTAATTGTTTGTTGGATTGATCCCTATTTCAGCGAGCAACGGTCATCCAACTGAATAACTACTGTTTTAAGAACACTGTATTACTCATTAGATCAACTACTTATATGATCCGCATCCTATACAACAGGTATCAGTCAAAACTAATAAAATAGATAACGGCGAAAAATGATCAACAAACAGAATTTGTCACTCATTTTCAGAAAAAGTGTCTATTACAACATAATAGCAGTTTCCTGTTTTATAACCATAGGTTTTATTCAAACAATCAGTGGAAAGTTTGTCACTCAGTGAGTTATAGGTAAATCCAACCACTAATTTACTATAGGAAGGGACACCTGTGGAACTTGCTGACATCTACCATGACACTGGAAGGAAAAGTCATTCTTCTTTCAAGCTGGTGAACCCACAGAGGCCGGTTAGAAAATAAAGAATGTACACAACACTAAGCAACACCCATAAATCATGTTAGCACGCAAATTTGTCTGAAAAATAATTTTCAGAGTTGAGAAGTACACACCATCCCTAGTGAAATTACAAACTTCATTAAACAATTGATTTCCAAATAAAGTGACAGACTTTTCTTCTTTTCTTTTACAGGTCACCTGGTATGTAATTCAAAAAATATTGAATATTTAGATATTCTGATGAGGATATGCGTCTTATTAGCTGAATTTGTCGAAGCAGTGAATCCGGAGATCAAAAACAAGCATAACTTGAATTCGTTAGATTATTTGATTATCTCTGTAAACTGTGTTAAGAATATTTTAAACGTGAGTTAAATGCTTTCATAGATTTGTAAGCTTAATAATTTAGAAAGACAACTAATTTGAAAAAAATGCCTCATATGTTATTTTACCAAGAAATTAATTTAAGTTAATTAACACGATCCGATTGTTTGAACTTTCATCATATTTTTTACTACTTGTGTTTGGTGTGAATCAACCGACTTTAAAACTTTAATAGACGGCTTACTTTTGCCTAATAAAACAATAGCAAAAATGTAGTTTTCTCTCGTGTGAAGTGGTGTAATAAGGTGAGCAATATTGAGGTTAGGCACCGGTCGAGTGCTAGGTGGGTGGGAGGGGAAATCAATCGACGAGGCTGTGAAGTTACATCGACTGAGATGGTTAAGACATGTGTTACGTATGCGTAGTCATCGCCTTCCTTGATGGGCAATGTTAGCTGACATAGGGTCAGGCTGGAAAAGAGCTAGTGGCGGTCAAACCAAAACATGGCTTAACCAGTCAATGAAATCTACAACAGTTAGTTTAAACCAGCTGGTTGGAGTCCTCGGAACGGTTAAACAAATGAAAGCTGGAAACAATTGGTGACATGGCTCAAAATCGTTCTCAGTGGCTGGTGTGGATGCATCCACTCCTTGTGACTTATGATTTCCAATGAAACTGTTTTGTCCTTCGTTATTACTATTTCTTTATCTCACACTTTTTTTCACTGTCTCTATTATGCATTTCTTTTTACTTTCTTCTCTTGCTTTGTGTGCTCTATGGAGTGTGGCGACTCGAACTACCGCATATCAGTGCAAAGTTCTATGTCGAAAACAGACAGATAGACAGTTTTCTCCAATTTATTTTGTAGAAACATTTGCATTTGTGAGAGTAATTAAAAGTAATCCTTTTTATAATGGTTTTGAAAGCGATAAAATGAGTGAAGCATACATTTGCTTTGTTAATTGTGTAGTGATTCTTGCTGATTAATTAACGCTAGCAAATACCAAAAATGCATTTAATTGCTTGAGGTATACCCAGACTAACTAGTGATTTAGTGGTCAGTGTTTTTTATCAAGGTAGACGTTCCACTTTATATATCATTATCCTAAGTGAAGGTTAGTAATTAGTGTATACCTTAATTCTCTTTGCAAATTGTGTATACAAACCATTAATTTAAAAGTCACTGTTACCTTGATTTAATTAATTAATGTACATGTGAGAGATGCTTAAATTCATCCTTAAGAGATCAAATTAAAATAGTTTAACCGATCTACTTGCTTCTCTCTTCTCTTCCTAAAACAGCTTTCTGTGGCATCAATTGTAGAGAGTCCGCGAGTGGAACAAAGGTCACCAAAAAGTCCTAGATCCATTTCAGTTAAGTCAAGATCGAAATCAAATGCTCAAGGTGGCGGTGAAACAAACCGTGGAAAACAAAATGTAAGTGAAAAATATGCTTTTTAATTTGTTACACAGATTATGTTATGGAATAGTGTCATCGCCGTACCTCCTTGGTCTTGCTTTAATAATCCTCATCCAGGTTCTTTTATGTTGCAGATATAAAAGAAATTTCCCAACACCTAACACGCTCGTTCATTTTTGCTGCTTGTATCTAACTTTTTAATTCAACAAAACAAGCTTCACTTATAAATCTCTTCTTTCGCCAAAGGAAAATGGCTCTTCATATTTCTACTTCTGCATATATTCTGCAATAGTTTAGTGTTCTATTACGTTTACAACCTTGGTTTTCTATTTGCATATTTCTAATTTCGCAATAAAAAAGTTGCCATGTTGCGATGACATAAGTATTCACAGTCGATTGCTTTGATATATATTTTTTCAACTGCTCAAAAATTTCGTGAGTTTCATAATTTGCATTCGCTAACAAGTTTTTGAAAATACCAAAGAAGGGCGACTTAGGAATCTTCAAGAACTGGCGAGGAGTCACGCTCATGTTGACGATAAGTAAAATCCTGAGTCGCATCATCCTGGAGAGAATAAAGGACGCACTGGAGATAGACCTCCGCCCCACCAGAACAATCTGGATTCAGGAAAGGAAAATCATGTTATGACCAAATTGCAACTCTACGCATCATCATCATCACAGAACAAAGCATGGAATGGCGATCAAACCTCTACCTCAACTTTATAGACTTCAAGAAGGCCTTCGACAGCGTTGACCGAGAAGTTATTTGGAAACTACTCGAGTACTACGGCGTGCAGTGCCCCAAATATTCATCAACCTTATTCAACAGCTGTACAACAACGGAACATGTCAAGTGATCCACAACGGAAAACTCACTCGGCGAGGCGTTTGGAGTAAACACATGAGTCAGACAAGGGTGCTTATTATCATCAATGATATTCCTAATTGTGGTGGACTGGATTATGCATCAGACAGTGAGTGGGAAACGAGAAGACAGGGATATCCTGGACCGACCGACGTGAAGAACCTAGAAGACCTGGATTTCGCGCGTGGATGATTTATGACGATGATGGTGCCACACAAAATCGAAGACTTACAAGCGGAAACCGACCAACAAACTGGTCTAAGAAGCGGCCAGTGGATATAGGACTCCAGGTGAACATAGACAAGACGGAGGTGATGAAAATAACCAAACAACCAACAACAATAATAACATCAGCAACATCCAGCACCAATCACCATCAACGGGAGGGATTTGAAAGAGGTTACTTCATTCACTCACTTATCTAGCATTGAGCATTGTCTCAACTACAGGAAGTCGGAATGGACGAGGATGTCAAATCGACCGAGAATTGAGAAGGCGAGTGAGAAACACATTCATCAACCTGAAACCAATCTCATCCGGAAATCTTCGTCACTCAGCCAGTATCAACAACAAAATTCCGTCGGATTTTCAATACAAACAATGTCAAGTCAGTCAGTTCTTCTATACGGATCAGAAACTTGACGGGTGGGTCACAAAGAATATTTCCAACAGCCTGTTGCAGACGCTACCTTTATCAACCAACAACTGTCTTCTCTGGCTCAATACTGAAGATCAGACGGCCGGGCCGGAAAGAAAGATGGCCGACAAGAAACTATAGGAACAAACAAACAAAACAAGAACCAATCGCCAACCAAAAAATATGCAGGAGATGGAGTGGAGAGGGGTGGTTTGAACACTCGTGGCTAAGGAGGCTGCCACTGGATGACATCGCGCGCGTCAGGCCACTGCTCGAATGAAACCCAACAGAATGGGAAGCGGCGAGTGGTACGTCCAAGGGTGACATGGAGGAAATCGTGTGAAGAGGAGTTGAAAGAGTATGGACTAACATGGATGCAGGTGAAAAGTACAGCAGAAGGAAGACAGAAGCGAGTAAAGATGTGCAGTTGAAGCCCTATATACCACTAGGAACCCAAGGGAACAAAAATAATAATAACAAGCTGGTAGTTTACTTGATTACGTATCCTAATACACTCTTGAAACTTAAGTAAAATTTACGAAATTTCTTGCTCACAATTTTTAATTTGAAAGTTTTTGTCTACTTAGTAAACATAAAATGGAAAGAAGATTGGAAAGCTTTCTTACAGCAGTGATCTACATATTATACAGATGTCATTTTATGATCATAAAATGAACTGTCATATCAAATAAATAAGACTTGTTTAGAACAATGTCATAGCTGTTTTCATATCATTGAATCTACATTTCACATCTTCATTGTTCAAAAATCTACTGAAACAACTGATGTTGGCATTTATTGTAACGTAGTGTAGTTATTCACGCTTATGTGATCTTTTTATTTGAATTACTACATTATTATTATCACAGCTTGATTCCACACCGCATTTTTGGCACAGGTATGGAATTTTCAGCATGTGATATCTGTAGCCCAAATTTTGCAGACCGACCATAGATATCGAGTGTGCGTCGGCAGGGGGTCAAACCCCGGAATATGTACATGGTCGGTGAGCGTCCTAACCGATGTGCCACCGACGCACAGTCGATTTGAGAAATTCTCCTACTTATGAAATTTCTGAATATTTACCTACGGCATTAAATCCTATTCGGAAACCACTCAAAACCTAGACTCCTTAATTCGTATGCACTGAAACACAGACTGGATCAGCTACAATTACGTAGGCAACCTGAAAAGATTGTTAGTTTCCACATCATCAGTTTATACACGCAAATACGGATAAATGCGGTCACAGATTCGGTCAGAGAAAGACTTATATCGGACCTGAAACTTCAAATTATAACAAAAGTACTACTAGAAGGTATCATACTAGGAGTGCACCTATATCTGACTTCTACATCAATTCAACTCCAAGAGAAATTGTACAAAAAAACTAAACGTACTGGCAACGGAACACCCATATCCCCCACAGTCACAGGTACATTTGGGGATATATTGGAAAACCTAGTGACTGAGACATTCAGACCCAACCCCAAAATATGGTGGAGGTATGCAGACAACTTATCACAATGGTAAACTAAGTGTAGTAGTGCTAAGGGATTTCTCAGTCGAAGACTGAGAGTTGGTCAACAATAATAACAACAACAAGAAATTAGAGAACACAAACAAAACTAACACTCTTACTGTATGTATTAATAGGAAGATGTCCATGTGGTTTTCTGTATGTTCGGTTCTAAAAAGACTCATATCGGCATAATACTTCATGTAGTTCACTGATGATCAGTGTGCAAAAAAAAAACCATCAGCAACATAAATTCAATGGCTATCTTCCAAGAAACCGACCACACGTGCAGTCACACTAACGGATAACTTTTGGAATAATCATCTATTACAAAGCCGAATTCCGGAAATAACAAAAGGAAATACATTCTTATGCAAGAAAACATCTCAGAAATTACTAGAATATTTCATAATCCCTATGGGTTAAACATACAGGACATGACTTTGTGCTATATCAAAGAGAAGGCAGACCCTATACAGCTTGTGAAATAAATTATATTAGCTGACGTAAATGCTATCGCCTTCGTCTATGCATTTATAAACTTCGTTCAGTAGTTTATGCATGTGCGTCGGTGGTACAGTGGTTAGGACTCTCACAGACCATGCACATGGTCCGGGGTTCGAGCCCACGCCGATTCACACCTGATATCTATGGTCGGCCTGCGAATTTTGGGCTACCGATATCCACGCTGAAAATTCCATACTTGTCCGAAAAATACGGTGTGGGATCAAGCTGTAATCAAAAATAAATAAAATAAATTAAAAAAACCTGTTCGTTTTAGTGCACCTGACCAAATGTGTAATACAGAGGATTTTCCGAAGCTCTGTCTTCAGCCTGAATGTCCGTAAACGGATGCATCACTTACTGGATCAATTTATCAAACGACGGGAAATATAAGGAGCATCAATTAGAAGTTAGATTAACAGGGGAGTCAATGAAATTACCTGTCCAGAAAGTTTCGGTTAGGTTGTGGAGAAAGCTTTCTCTGTGCTTATGAGGACAAGCCTGCAAACCGTTTGTAAAACACAGGTCATTTGTGTTTTCTGAGTACTGCTGATGTCATCTTCTGGAAAGACATTGAAAAATTCACCACGATGTACTGGGTCATTTCTGTAACCAAAGCTAAAGGACTTTGTTTAAGTTATTTGATCTCACAATGGAAAAAAAGCAAACACTGGTTAGTATAGCGATTCGTTTGGGGGTAATTTGAATAAACGTCTGATTAAAACGAAAGTAACCATTTCAGGTCATTATATAAATTCTTCGGTTAGCACTCTGGACTTTGAATCCAGCGACCCGAGTTCGAGTCTCGGCGAGGCCTCCAGTGTGCGTCGGTGGCACAGCGGTTAGGACGCTCGCCGACCGTGAATATGGTCCGGGGTTCGACCCCCGGCCGGCGCACTCCTTTACCTCACTGAGCCAGAAATAATGCTGGTAAAGAGAAAAGGTTGGGCATGAGGCTAGCAACCCCATCCTGTAAAAATAATAAACACTGCTACAGAAACTTCAAGCCACTAGCTTGGAGCCCTATGTTCCACTGGGAACGTGAAGGAAAAAAAATTAAAATATAAATTCTTCGATTTAAATTATTAGAGGCATCTGCATGTGTAACGTATGGAGCCTTAATAAAAAAGAAACTATTTTGAAACCTGGATGCATATAAAAGTTACAAATGCGTAGAATATTTTCGTGTGTTTTGTTTGCTGATCTGCGTGGTTTAGTTGTGAAGCCTTCATTGCCTTACTAGGCAACATCGTCAGAGCATACCTAAGTAACACATTGAATTTATTTGGTAGTGAACAAGTGGCTGATGAAATTCATTTAGTTACCGTAAGTGAAGCTTCATCGGTAGACACTATACTTTCAAGGAGGTTATTATCATGAGGACATTCTGTCCGCGGTTCCGGGAATTTCTTGATGTCCAGGTTGACTGTGAAATATTTACCGCCGAAAACGTGTTTTAAACGATAAGTGAGTTTAAAAAATTGGAGTTGTAAGGATTTCCTATAATAAGAAAAGTTACTTAGCAGGTAATTTTCATAAAATACAATACAGGGGTAATCAGAGTGTGTTTATTTTGTAAAAATATTGTTTTTGTCGCCAGCTTGCAATTACTGTCGCATGTTTTTCCTTATTTGTTTTCTAGCCTGAACCTATTCATAAGAAGATAATACCAAAGACGATTGCTGAATGGTCTGTTTTTGAAGTGTCGGATGACATTATACAGGGCTGGCACAAAAATTACACGGATTATGTCAGTAAACTGATAAATATTAATTCATCTGATTTAGAACAGAGGGAATATTCTGGTTTAAGTGAGATTTATTCACTGAAACAACAAATTAATCCAACTACTATTCGATATCCTGTAGGTTGGATGGTCACGTTTTGCCTTTATTCCCTTCTTTATTTATTATATTATTTTATCATATCCTTCAATTCCTAGAAGAACATAGGGCTTCAGCTGCGCGTCTCCATTGCCTTCGGTTATCTGCCAACTTTTTCACCCGTTCCAAGTCTGTCCACATGCTTTCATCTCCTCTTCACATGACCTCCTCGAAATCCCCTTTGCACTGACGACCAACTCGCCGCTTCCCTTTCAGGTTCCAGTCGAGGGCTTGTCTAGTGATGTCCCTTCTTTAATATAACACTTTTTTCCTTATGTGAATGTGCCGAAATATAATCATTTCGGAGGCTGACCTTATCTTAAAAATGTTACCAACATACACCGATTGACATGACATTTCGATTAATAAAATGATAGTTTCTCAGATGATTTAACGTATTTCAGTGTTTTACATTGGAATAACAATGAAATTTTGTCCAGCTGCGGAACAAAAGCACCATCCTCTATGCTTTAAAGTCTACTTATTTCTCTTACAAGTCTCATAATAATATATGTATATGTATTGTAATCTGAAGAAATAGTAAAACGACAGTTTAAACTCCAGGATTATAACTCCTGTAGACTGAAGAGCTTTTATTCTAAGTAGATGAATTCTCTTTGATGACATTTTTAGGATATAAATTTTGATAAAATTGTTATAATTATCTGCATACCATATGCATTGAATGCAATTTGTACTATGGATATCACTATCACGTGGGAATACATCCTTATCTTGACCTGCACGTATTCACTACCACTTCAAGCTAATTCCTTAAAAAATCTCTTTTCTTGATCAATAAAAAGAAACATACATCTACGTAGGTTAAAATGATGAAGCTAAGACGTCTCAAAACAATAAATATTTAAAGGGAAGCATTTTAAGGGAGAACTCAGTAATTATGGATATCGAGTACAAAATAATTATAGTTTATCAGGTGTTTAATAAGCAACTTGGAGGTTGTTATCTCACGTCCGGTTACAGTTAAGGTCTCCTAACAATTTAAATTATAACTTCTTCAAAAGTGATAAGTTCCAGATTGCATATACTTTAAAATTTTCCCCCCTTCAAAATATTTACAAAATAAACAACAATATACTGACCCTATTCAGGCAGTTACCTGGGGTTCTGGTGGGAAGCTATGACCAATAGAGTGCAGCAGGTTGAAGGTGAGACAGCAAATCATTGAAGAAGACATTGCAAATTGGTCGCACTATATCATGAATTTGTAGAAGTTAGAATTCATGGGCCACTGGTTGGGTTATTAGTGGCTGAATAGTCTACAAGCTCGCTAGCCTTGTAACCAGAAGATTGTTTATAGTTCTTGTATTCCCTTAGAACTCTTACATAATTTCGTATTCTCTTCTTTGTTCCTATGTGTATCCTGAGTAAAACTCCACCATCAAACTATTCATATTATTGCACAACTTCTTTTAACAACTGCTTGCGACAACTCATCACCTTTGTTACTACTCTAATTTCATTGACACCTAATTTTCTTCACTGATTTTGTATTACGTAACTCCAACTACCAATCTTCACCAGTCTACTTAAAATAACCATAATCAGTTGCATTTTTGCTTGACAAACTTAATGTACACACACATACAAAATAAGACATATATATTTTCGATTGTGCGGCTAAGAAAATGAATTCGCCGAAAAAAGACTCTTCACTGATCTACGTGTTTTATTTTCATTAATATCTGTATGGGAATTATCCATCAGTTTCAGTAATAATGATGTAAAACTATTATATTAAAAGTAAGAATTGTTATTCAATATTCCTTATTAAAGTTCGAGAAGTAAGTTCCAACTTATAGGATTAGGACTCGACATCTTCGTTCGTTGGGAGTAGTTAGTTTTCTAAGAATCCGTAAGTCAACATTCATAAACAAGGCAAATCTCAGGAAATTTACTTTTTTCAAGAATTCACTTGCATATTATTCAGTGCTGAATTTAGTAAATTTACCATACAATCAATTAAATCATAACTGACCTCATGTTAAGCTAGCTAATGTAGACGAATCTCTCATACTGGTAACAGGCATGTTTTAAACAACCAACTGGATCGCTCAACCCCCGTTAGCGGGGAATATTATTGTTTCTTTTACTAAATTGTATCCCTAGTTTTCATGTTCCTTTACCTTCCCTATGTAAAACACCATTAAATCACATATATTTATTTTTTTCATTTTAACCACTTATGAATAAAACGGATGATCCAAAATTTGAAGCTTGTGACAATGGCATCTTTAGATCGCTTACTAAATATGATCACTGAAATGGGTCCAGGTCAGCTTGGTTTTCCTGTCTTAGTCCTACAGGACTGTATTCTACGCAGTTGGGCAAGATATGATAAGTCATCTTCGTTAGCCAATTGTACCTGTGTTGGGAAATTAATTCATTTAAAGTAAGTTGCATAAGCAAAAATCCGTTTTGCTAATTACATTAGTCTTACTTTGTAACTGCTTTCGTATTGTTTCCTTTACATGTTAATGGCAAAACAGTAACCACATGTTACGGTAAAGCACAGTTTAAACAGAATACTAACACAACAATCTTCCTATTTACAACCTTGGAAGGCACTAAGGTCTGTTAGATCTACCTCTTTCAAACGTTCGTTCTCATTCAGAATCTCTTTCTTTGTCTGAAAGTTATTCTACTTATTATTTTGGCTTTTCAAACTCAATCATTTTCAAGTGTTGGTTTGTATGGATTTAGTTGACTAGTTACAGGATTTCATCATGAGCCGACGTTAGTTAGAAAACCATTGGTGAAAAACCAACAGGGAGTACTGGACAGTTTGTTTCGTTCTAGTCTGGGACTTTTCGTCAGTACGCACCCACCACCAGCGTTCGAACCTAGGACCTTCTGGTTACAAGGCTAGCGAGCTTGTACACCATTAATCCCCTGGGACCTGATCCAATGGCCCATAAACTCTAACTTCTGCCAATTCATGACATAGCGCGACCCCTAGCCAATGTCCTCGGCGAGTATTTGTCCTCACACCCGACCTGCTGCAACCTACTGGTCATGACTTCTCACTAGAACTCCAGGTAACTACCTACCTGAATAGGGCAAGTTGCTAGTGAGCATCTCTAACTAATGTCAGCTCACGATGAAATCCTGTAATCAGTCATTTTCATTCCTAAGTAAATTATCTTCACATTCACACTTTAACGACCAAACTTCCTTACTTTCTCGGTAACTTGTAATTTAAATATATGTACCACTTCTGCCGATGATTACCTGCATTTCTCATTTAGCTAAGTTAAGCTACTCATAGAAAATGTATACGAATTCACTTACCGAAAGAAGATCAAAAAGGGATATCACTGATAGTTGTTCTGTATTGTGATCCTTCTTAAGCATACTGTTTGCTTTGGATGGTCACAAATTCAACTTCTACCTTTAGAACTAACTTGTTTTGTACGTGTTACTGAATTATTAACTATTTCATTGTTTGTGTGAATAACTTTCATATAGCCACTAATTACTTTTTTCTCATTATACTGTGACAGATCAATGGAACTATCTTGTTGTTTGGGCTTATTGTCTGGAGTCAGTTACCATCAAAACAAATTGAATCCTTTATCACCCAATGAACAAGAGATAGCTGAGTAAGTATAATAATCTAAGTATCCAGTAATGAAGCGAAGATATTGGCTGTTTGGATTGTTTAAGTGAGGTATTAAATACCTTTCATTAACTGACTAGTTCCAATTACTAGCATAATTTTTTTTCTAATTTTTATGATGTTTTATACTGAGCACCAATTCATTTATTGGAACTTCGATGATAATAAATGTCTATGTTGTTTAATGTTAAAGTTTGATTTTGAAGCCAGATGAATTGCCCAATCAATTATTCTAGGTGTCCACAGGCTAACACAGAATGGTTCTTTTAGTCTTGTTAAAAATCGTAGCGAGATTTATAAGTTTCGACATACAGCTGTCGATATCTGCAACACAAAAGGTAACACTCATGATCCATCTGTATCTAATGACTGCGTGATATATGTCTAGTTATCGTAGTTAAAATAAGTCAAAACCAAAGCTTGTGCAAGTATATGCTTTGGCTATTTTTAGAAGAAATGAGACTATTAGGAACAAGGGCCTCTATTTAAATAAGCTGTTCTCATAAAGTTTAAAGCTACTTATTATATTTACCTTAACTTTGCAAACGCGTATCTTTATTATGCATTTTGAATATCACACTTTCTGTAATCTTGGTTCACAAGACTGATTTCAGGCGCGAAGCTCATGAAGAATGAGTCGGAATACAATCATGGCCATAAGGGTGTACTGCTAGCAACGCATCTGACGAGTTAGGTTTTAACCAACTAGAAGACTTAATTAATCTCTATCCTGCTGATGTGTTATCCCTCATTGATAGCGTTTATCAACAAATGGAAGAAAAGTATTTTCCTTTGAATACTGGAGAACATATTAAGACTTCAGGTTCCAAACATTATGTATAACTTGTCCAAACTATATATGTAGAATACTTGTATCACTACCCTCTGATTTGTCTAGCTTATATCTAACTCTTAATGACAAAACCCATTTCAAAGACTCCTATTTAATGGTTTTGTGGTGAAAGCTGTCTGCTAGCCAAAATTGTTGGCAACAATTGACGTCAGTGTTTACGTCCCAAATCGGGGTAGTGAAAAAAACAAAAACAAAGTCTAACCTTGAAGAACTGAACAACCAATCACAGCAGACTTAGCGTGGACGGATACGATGTGCAGATATATCATTGGACTGTCTAAGAAACGATCACAAAAAGATGGCAGAATAACCTTCAGCAGGAAAACAACCAATCAGAGGACGTTGCTTCTCCGCTGACAATAACGAATAATAATGTACATAAAAATCCATAAGTATCTGTTGATTTTCTCAATATATGATCTGTTTCCTGCGACTTGTCTTTTATCGTTACAGTTACTGTGAAAGGATGTGAAACTATTGAAAATATGCAGTTTCTATTACATAATGAAAGAGAAGTAGTGATTATTTTTCCTTTGAAGTTCCCATTTTTAGAGGCTGCTAGACCACACTTCTACAAAATTGTCGTGGAAATTATACCCTGAAAAATGCTTTTATATACATATAAAGATATATATATATATATAAATTCTCTTTCACCTGTTTCCTCTCTAAAATGAAACAGTTAAGCGATTTCCTTCAAGTGCCACTGATGTTTCTTATCTAAATTTAGACAGGCATAGACTAGAACACGCCACATCATTGCAAACTACCTTAAATGCTGTGAATGACTAATGAACGTAATCTCCCATTTGGCTCTATATTAAATACCCACAAGTGTTAAGTTAGCTTGCCTGTCTTTTGCTCTGTTGCATCATTAAACAGCTGCAGTATCACATTTTTGTTCAATTTTATTGATGCATTTCACTTTACTAGTAATAAGGTGTGTATTTTGCTTTTATAGTGCATACACCCTATTGAAAACGAATCCATCTAGTCAGTATTTAAAAGATTTGATCAAAAATTGGATTGATTTAGCCGATCGACTTACTCGAATTGGTCAGTTTTCCTATGCACATAGATTTCTACATGTATCTGAACAATTGTGTCAACATGAAAACAGTCAAATGGTATACTGGTTACTTGCAAGAGCTCGTCTATCTCTAGCAGAAGGTCAATATAAACTAACTAGAACGCTAATTTCAAAAATATTTGTGAGTTTTCCACTGTGGTGTAGTTTTGTAATGCGATACAGTCAGAAAATAATTAAGTTTAACTGACTTTGTTTATAGAACTTACCACAATCTCTCCAATGGACTTTGATAAAATTGATATATATATATATATATAAGTCAAGAAATTATGCAATCTTTATTTTTGTTTCCGTGTTATAGCAATATTGATAGAGTGTTTTGTGTAAAATATTCTTGCTTCTGATAATTCGGCAACTACTTAGTAAACATATACACTTTATTCAATTGTTGGTTTGTAGGGACTTGATTGGTTACAGTATTTCATCATGAGCTGACATTGTTTAGAGAACTATTGGAAAACCTGGGAGTACTGGACGGTTGTTTCGTCCTAGGTTGGGACTCTTCGTCAGTACGCATCCACCATCAGGGTTTGAACCAAGGACCTTCAGGTTACAAGGCGAGCTCGTATAACATTAAGCCACTGGGATCCGATCTAATGGCCCATGAGTTCTAACTTCTGCCAATTCACGACATAGCGCGACCCCTAGCCAATGTCTTCGGTGAAGAATAGTATCCATATCTGACTCATGGTTTGCTTCAGCATAGGTACTTACTCAGTAACCTGTTAGTGTTACCCTGCGAAACCAGTGGATCTCCATCTCGATGAAACCCTAAGCTCCTAAGTTTCTGTATCGTCTCCTGTGTTTCTTCTAGACCCGGAAACAAGTCTCTTGATGACCTTCACTCTTGATGTCACCTCACCAGATCCATATCAGATGCCTCGTGAAGGGCCCCGAAGAACGATCTGCTTTGCCTTCTGTCTTTGTACACCGATCATATCTGCCTTTGAAACGACTCGTGGTCACTGCACCTTTATCTCCAACAGGGAAAGTAACAACAATCATAATGAAGAACATGTTGGTATCTAGTAGCGAAATTGCTAATCAAGTGAAATTACATAGAATATAACAATTTTAAGCTAAAACTCTAATTTACACAAAGTATTTATGTTCTACTTCTTTTGTCTTTGTCTCAGGCTTTTTACATTGACTGACTGTCTCGTTTATTTCACCAATATGGTAACTCATGACTAGTAATTCTGCAACTTCAAAGCCTGAAACTTAATTGCATTTCATTATCTTAAGTAATTTGACGTATATTTCTTTAGCAAACAATTTATTGATTTATTTTACTCAGGATTCTGAAATAGAAGATGAATCATTCTGGATTGAGTGTCTGTCTATACGTATTGACGCTTTATGCTATGATCCTGATCTAACAGCTCATGATCTTGGTTCACTTGAAATGAATGAACAAACCTCAGTGAATTATACCTCATGCCCACTACATTTTGGAATAGAAAAGGCCATTGAAGAAATAGAATCAGCTGAAAGAGATTTACAGAAAAGAAGGGAACAGTGGAAGTCTAGAGAAAGTTGGTTTAACAAGCTGACAGGTATTCTGTTATCAAAGAAAGCTCAGTTATTTGCCAGAATTGACCAAATGAATTATCATTATGCTACACTGTTCAGTTCAACGGTAAGCAAACTTTTTAAGCCATTTTTTTAACCAGAGCAATACTTCCTCCAAAAAAGGCAACAAGTAAGACCATCTGTCACAAATGCGTTACAATTCCAACTGCATCTGTCAGACTTTGTTAGGTAATTCAGCCTTCGAAACATTCAGTATTGTTTTAGTACATTCCAATTTGACGTGATTCCCAGTATATCCAAAAAAGTTGTTGTAATAAAAGGTTAAGGATATCTGATCGCATACTGTAAATTGTATAACCAACTAAAGGTTATATAGCTATTACTACCGATATTCGTCCCCTGCTTTCCGACAGGAACATAGTTCTTAAACAAAATGTCTTCAGTGCATTCGTTAAGTCTAAAGCATACAGAAATTAGATTATATATTGTATATTATTTTGTTCACTTTCCCAGTCGAACATAGGGCTTCAAGCTGGAGGCTTGAAGTTTCTGTAGCAGTGTTTATTTTACAGGATGGGGTTGCTAGCCTCAAATCCAAACCTTTCCTCTTTACCAGCATTATTTCTGGCTAAGTGAGGTAAAAAAGTGCGTCGGCCGGGAGTCGAACCCAGGGCCATGTGCATGGTCGGCGAGCATGCTTACCACTGTGCCACCGACGCGAAATTAGATTGCCTAGCCTATAATCAATCAATTATGGTACTAATACAAACTGTCAAACTTTGAATTAGGGTTGCTTAATCAAATCTGTAGAAAAATAATAAAGCTTAAAACATACAGAAGGTGAGTAGAAGTTGTTCACTTTTTAGAAATTAAGGAATACTTAGTGTTTATATCCAGAAGACTTTCAGTTCTCTCAGTTTTATTATTAAGTTCAGTGTTAATCACGAACAAATAGCTTATAGCGGCTGGTTTCTACATGAAGAACAGTGACATTTTGTGGAATTAATGCTCAGTTCAATACTTGGACACACTGTAACCACCCACGAAGTAATGGAAACTAAAATAATGCATATAGATATGTAGAGCTTATCATTATCACTTGACAGCGAAGTAGTTTGGAAACTACTCGAGTACTACGGCATGCAGTGCCCCAAATATTCATCAACCTTATTCAACAGCTGTACGACAACGGAACATGTCAAGTCATCCACAACGGAAAACTCAGCGAGGCGTTTGGAGTAAACACATGAGTCAGACAAGAGTGCTGGCTTATTATCACCAATGATATTCCTAATGATGGTGGACTGGATTATGCATCAGATAGTGAGTGGGAAACGAGAAGACAGGGATATCCTGGACCAACCAATGTGAAGAACCTAGAAGACCTGGATTTCGCGCGTGGATGATTTATGACGATGATGGTGCCACACAAAATCGAAGACTTACAAGCGGAAACCGACCAACAAACTGGTCTAAGAAGCAGCCAGTGGATATAGGACTCCAGGTGAACATAGACAAGACGGAGGTTATGAAAATAACCAAACAACCAACAACAACAACAATAACATCAGCAACATCCAGCACCAATCACCATCAACGGGAGGGATTTGAAAGAGGTTACTTCATTCACTCACTTATCTAGCATTGAGCATTGTCTCAACTACAGGAAGTCGGAACGGACGAGGATGTCAAATCGACCGAGAATTGAGAAGGTGAGTGAGAAACACATTCATCAACCTGAAACCAATCTCATCCGGAAATCTTCGTCACTCAGCCAGTATCAACAACAAAATTCCGTCGGATTTTCAATACAAACAATGTCAAGTCAGTCAGTTCTCCTATACGGATCAGAAACTTGACGGGTAGGTCACAAAGAATATTTCTAACAGCCTGTTGCAGACGCTACCTTTGTCAACCAACAACTGTCTTCGCTGGCTCAATACTGAAGATCAGACGGCCGGGCCGGAAAGAAAGATGGCCGACAAGAAACTATAGGAACAAACAAACAAAACAAGAACCAATCGCCAACCAAAAAATATGCAGGAGAAAATGGAGATGGATTGGACACTCGTGGCTGAGGAGGCCGCCACTGGATGACATCGTGCGCGCGTCAGGTCATTGCTCGAGTGGAACCAGGCCGAAAGGAAAGCGGCAAGTGAGAGGAGATCGTATGAAGAGGAGATGAAAGAGTATGGACTAAGATGGATGCATGTGAAAAGTATAGCAGAAGACAGAAGCAAGTGGAGACGTGCAGTTGAAGCCCTATGTTCCAAGGCAGCAATAATAATAATGATTACCACTAACTAAATAAACACTCACCGATACACGAAGACTGTCACTGAGGTGATCTGTCATCAGTGAACGACAGAAAAATTTACCAGTGGATTTATGACTGCTTATTTTTTTATCTAATACAACACTGACATCATTATCACACCTAAAGTTCCAATATCCTTGAAACTTTATAAAACCCTGTTGATTCACATTGATAGTGGTCTGGTATCTCTATCGTGTACCTTAGTCGCTACACTGAGTGTTAACAATTAACCCCATGAAGCTTTTATCTACGACTGAAAACTAACGTGATCACTTCAGCAGTCCTTAACTAATGAACCTGTTACAAATAAATTACACTTTTAAGACCTAAATCATTTTCTTCCAGTAGTTTTCGTGTAGTTTCTGCATTGAATAACAAGCCATACATTATAACGAAGCGTATTATTATAATGATTATGTCAAGTTACTTACTGTATTCATTTTTATTCTGTACACGTATATTTATAAAATATTGGGTCGAACAATGACTATCGAATTAATTTATTAGACATGAATATAAGTTATGCTATGACAACGATTCTGAAGATAGATAATGTAATTTTAGTATTATTTATTTTCTTTTATTTAGGATAAATCGTCAAACTCTGGCTTATGCTTACGCCCTGTAAACTTACTGATGAATACAAATGGTGCTCCAAAATTATTTGAAGAAATTATCCACCTTTTTGCTCCGCATAATAAACGAACTGCTTTAAGATTAGGCTGGATGCCTTTATTAGCCTATTGGGTCAATGCATTCAAAGCTGAAGTCAATGTTCAGGTGAGTTGTGTTCTCCATAATCAGGCAAATCATTAAAACTTGTTCAACTTTTTGTAGGATAAAATGAATTATAAACTTAAAAAAATTTTTTAAAAATACACTATGATTCGAACTCAGGACCTTCTGGTTACAAGGCGAGGTTGTAGACCGCTAAACCACTGGGACCCCATGTCAGTTCTTGATGAAATCCCGAAACTAGTCAATTGTCTGTAAACCAACATTTGAATAAAAATACACTACATCAAAATATTTAAAAGTTATTTACACTAATGAATCACTTCGCCTTAAGATTCTTCACTCTACCTAAGGTGTTCTTACACACACACACACACACACAAACAAACAAAAAGAAATAGAAATCAATCCGAATTCAATTCTGCTTGTACGATATATATATATATATATATATATATATATATATATATATATATATATATATATATATACTGATATACTTAATTACTGAGTGTTATTGTCAGTAGTCAAAGCCAAGATAATCGAAAAGATTTATATCATCGTTTATCACGACCGCCAAATCGAGTATGCAAAAAATATCCCTATGGATGAATAACCTGATAGTATTAAATATGATAACGAAAAGGAGATACTAAACCAACTCGATTACTATTGTCGATATGTTGACGACACCTTTATCATTTGTAACAATAATTTGGATAGACAACATCTGCTTCAATTCTTCAATAAGGTACACCCAGCTATTAAATTCACTTGTGAAGAGGAACTCCAAGGTAGTATTCCATTTCTGGATGTTCTTCTCACAAAAAGATCAGACGGTACCTTGAAATGAAACATCTATAGGAAAGCGACGTGGAACGGACAATACACCCACTTCCATAGCTTTATATCTATACAATATAAGCGCAAACTAATTCGTTGTCTTAGTCATAGAATTAGACGCATATGTACCGAGGATTGTATTGAAGAGGAAATAAGAAATCATACAAATGCCTTGCTACAAAATGACTACCCTACCAACTTTGTAAAGAAGTATATCTACAAAACTACACATAAAACCAAGCGAGACACAGTAAGTAAGAAAAAGCCTTACTTAAATGTACAATTTAAAGGCGATATAGCCAGCGATATATTAAACCGTAGATTAACAAGATCAATTGAAAGAACTTTTAATGCCGCAGAACTGTATGTCAGCTTCTCAACCAAACCGATATTGACACTATGCATTAAAGATGGATTGCCCAAAATGGTGACATCAATGTGTGTATATAAATTCAACTGCTCCTGTGGAGCTAGTTATATAAGTCGTACCCAGAGGAATTTATCTTTGCCCACTCGTGAGCATATTCCTGTTTGGCTTGGGAAAGGAGCAACCAAATCATTAAATAGTGCAATTCTGTCTCATCTAGTGGATAGCGAACACAGCATCAAAGTTGATGAGTCATTTACGGTTGTGTATCGAGTACCGAACAGTCTCCCCAAAGGCACACGAATACGCCTCCTAGCCATAGCTGAGGCTTTAGAGATTAATATAGAGAGACCAGACCTATGTGTACAGAAGAAACTTATTCACTCTCTTTGTCTACCCTGGCCAACTATAAGGTCACCAGGATCATAATATTTTCCGTACTATTATTATCATTATTATTATTTTGTGACATCATGTCTTTATTTTCCATTTCTCCGCCCAGTTTATTTCACCTCATTAATACTCTTATTTTTGTCAACTTTTATGATTTTATACTAAGCCTACTAATTCTGTAGCATTTTGTTGCAATTTAAAATTTAGCCTCTTTATCTTATCATTAGACATTATCGGTCAGCCCTCACATCCAGTACCTCCTTTGTTAACGTGTCTTTGCATGTATTTTGTGGTTATCGCATTTTCTCACCCCAAGGACACTTGTATTCTGTTAACTATAAAACAACACAATATATCACCCAACTGTTCATTCACACTTCTTCACATTTTTCTGACTAAACACCCTATACACATTTAATTGACTATGCTAACTAATGGACTATCATCTCAACTTACACATGCACCACAATACAGTTTCTGATATTATTTTCATTTGTCTTTATTGGCTGGCTATATGTACTCTATTATTCATGGATTTATAACTGTAGAGCCTGAAGAAGAAGAGGTTATCGAAACCACAATTGTTCGCTCAAAATCTTGTTTTGATTTCAATATGGGGATTTTTCATTTACTGAAAACTACAACTTTATTTTTTTACGAATGGGCATACACTAATTTGATTTTTGTGCATTCTAACTACAAATTTGTAAATGATTTGTTGTCACATAAGTAGGAGGGCATCATGAAAATTAAATTCCCTAGCATTTGATTAAAGATATGTAAATGGCGCCAGTCAGCATATTCGAAAAACGTCTACTAGGAAGTCTAATGATGTTCAAAGAGTTGAAATCATTCTGAAAATAAATTTAGCAAAACAAAAAAATCTGACTAACTGATAGAATTTAATAGTAATAATAATAATAATTTGAGCTTTATTCCAAAATAGTACTAATTTAACAATGTGGAATTTTTAGCATTTGGTACATCTACTTTTATCGTATATTACAAATAGTTGTAAAGGTAATACTACAGGACTGTTAATCGCAGTTCTTATTTGGTATTAGTAGTGACAGTAATATCATAAACACATGAAAAAATTGTAAATAATAATGTTAGTAGCTAAGATTGTCAGTCTATTGAGATACTGTCACCATACATTACAAAAAAAAGATAATAAAAGGGCCAGTTATTTAGCCAACAACATAACAGTTCAGAAGTTTCACGCTTTACATTGTCGCTATTTCATAGAACATGGACTGGCCAAATATGGTATCGTCGAGATCCTATACTCTTGGCAGTGGGAGCATGTAATCTTCTGTACTGACTTCTAGTTCTACTCGATGAAATACAAGGGGAGAGTTGAGAATGGAGGGAGTGTTGAGGTTCAGACAATGTAGATTTAGACCATCTCCCTCATGAGTTTTGATATCTATCAATTAATGTAGTTACGAACTGACTAAGTTTCACACCACTTGCCCTACCGACAACCTTAAATAGCCTTCTCAAATGACATAGTCCTTTTTCAGTAGACTAGAAAAGACTAAAGGGGAGCAGTAAAGTACAGTAGACAAGATACACAAGTTAACATATTGTAAAAGCAGAGGTTGAGTGATTCCACATAGTTTTAGCTTCTTAATGTAGTAGCTTAAACGGGACATTTTCTTGGAAATCGATAAAATATTGGATGACCAAATAAGGTCATAGGATGAAACTATACCGAGGTATTTCATATTAGATCTAGTTTCCATTACAATCTCCCCTACGCTACAAGCATCGTTGTATTCATTATTATTTCCTTTAATTCCTAGAGGAACATAGGGCTTCAGCTGCGCATCTCCATTGACTTAGCTTCTCTGCCAACGTTTTCATCATGCTCTAAGTGTTCCCCACGCTTTCATCTCCTCTTCACATAACCTCCTCCAAGTCACCCTTGCAATGACGATCAACTCGCCGCTTCCTACTCGGTCGGGTTCCACTCGAGCAATGGCTTGTCTAGTGATGTCACTTGATGGTTCCCTCAGAGTATGGCTAATCCAATCAATCTCCATTTCTTCCTGCCTATTTGTTTCACAATCGGTTCCTGCTGAGTTGGTTCGCTCATTCCCAGAGATCCCTGTTGCTGATCTTTTCTGGCCGGCCATCTGATCTTGAGTGGTATTGAGCAAAGACAACTGTTGATTAAGGTCTGTAGTTTGTTTGAGATGCTCTGTATGACGCGCTAAGTCTCTGATCCGTATAGTAGCACTGACTTCACAATGGAGTTGAAAATCCGGATCTTATTTTTCATGCTGAATAGTGATGTTGACCTCCACACAGACTTGAGAGTAATGAAAGATTGCCTTGCTTTCCTGACCCATGCTTTGATATCCTCATCAGTTCCGTCGGCCTGTAGTTGAAACGATGCTTCCCAGGTAGGTGGGTAGGTGAAGGGGGTGGTTTCTCTCAGGTTCCTCCCATTTATGCTGACTGATTGTTGTCTGTTGTTGTCGTTGCTGTTGGTGTTGGCCAGGAATCTTCATCCCCTCAGTATTCTCTACGTTAACCTGAAGTCCTATCTTCTCTGGATGCTTTTTCGGCCAACTTGTTGCTTTTCACTTGCATATCTTCCAGCTTGTGGGAAATCAGACATATATCATCGGCGAAGTCCACATCCTCCAAGTTTTTTGTGTGGGTCCATTTTACGCCTGTTTCCTCGTTGCCCTCTGTCTGTCACATTATCCAATCTACTGCAATCAGGAAAATCATTGACGAAAATAGACAGCTTTGCCTTACTCCTGTCCTCACTGTCTAAAGTAAAGGTCAGTAGTCTGAAATGGGTCAAATTAACCAATTTCAGAGCATTCGAAAATTTAAAGTAATCACCGTGATCAACTTACGTTAAATAAAGTGGGAAATAAGCAGTGAACAACCAGTGTATTCCAACCATAAGTTGACTGTATAATATTCGATGTCATGAATACGGAAGCATAATTCTTAGCTTTGCATTCCTCTTAAAAGTGAAAGCTGTTTTCATTCGGGCGTGCAGAATAGATACTTCAAATACCAAGAAAACTATTTCAAAATATATTTGTCAATTGTATGTCCTATCTATTAATCCCCTTCTACTGTTTTCCCTTACACCAAACTATCTCTGTTCTGAGAAGTGGACAGTTTTCAGTGCTTCCGTTTTTATTCCAAAATTCCATTGATTAAAAAGGCCCAAGGGATTTATCCTCTTGCTTACAGTTAATTTGCATCAAAAAAATTCAGTCAAATTAAATACTTCTGTGGAATCAAACAGTTTTGAATGTTTCCTTCAGCGCATCTTACGATGAAAATGTCACAGTTAAATAAATTTGTCCTTCGAAATACCAAGTAACGCTAACAGTAAATATATTTGGTTGATATTCCGCATTTCCTAGCTAATCACTTCTTAGTAAAACAACGCTAAAGGTGATATGATGCACGTAGCTCTGCCATTGAAAACCAAAGCTACGAGATAGTACAATTAATAGGATACTAGATGGATTTAGAAGCATATTCTTACATTCGCGTCATTAAAATTACTAATTACTTATATTTTACTTTTATTTTATGGGCTCATTCAGTTATTCTGTGGTAGACATTAATTTACGTCACTGTTTGTGTCGCCAATATTGGCCGTGAGAAAATATGAACAAAGACTGACTCAACAATCAACCACAGCTGACTTTGCGTAGGCAGATACAGTTGACATATAGATGACCTGACATTCAAGAAACAGTCACAAAGAGATGCAAGGCCAACTTTCTGTGAGAAACAAGCAATCAGAAGAGTGTGTTTGTTTGCTTGAATAAGCCATAATAATATATATGAAAATATATAAATACGTGTTGATTTCCTTAATAAACGATCTGTTTGGCTGGCCCTTGTCTTCTGTTGTTACAATTCAACATGTTAATTTTGTGAAACTTGAACAACCTACCCAAACTTTTACCTTCCAGTGTTAGTTTATTATCCGACTGATAAAAATAGGAATGACTCAAAAAATTTCCCAGAAATCCAATTATGAAAAGTCTAATAATTTTACAAGTAAACAGGTCATTTTATGCAAAAAATTACCTGAGGCCTGACAAACCTAGACAAAGTAAGAATAAAAATATCTTAGACTCAAAGACTCATGAGTGTTTATAGCATCTGAGTGACATAAGTGTTTATTAGGGCGACAATAACCTGTCCACTTCTAATATTTGCAAATCATAGTAAAACAGATGAAGCCCGAAGTCACAACACAATCTACTTTATCAAAAATAGATGTTCCTCTGAGTTTGACTAAAACTTACCGGCTTAGAACGAGAGAATTAAAGTATTTCTATCATCCCAGGTTACTTTCAAAAATTTGTTAACTTCATCTATAAGAAATGCTTGAAAATAACTGGATTTGAAATATTACACACCATCCTCTTAAGTTTAGTATTTTGTAAAAACAAAATTTTTGAAGTCCAAATGATTACACTGTTTCTTCGCCCTATTACTTCCAACGGGTTGAGGAAAAATATGTTTAAATTATTTTATTTGTCAATATTTTCAAGTCATTAGTGATTAATATTAATTTTAATGCTTACCTTTTGAAAGGTCATTCACTTACGCAAAGAATTACGTCATCCATCAACAACTTGTCTTTCTTTTGTGACTACATTAAAAGTCGCACGTCAATGCCTAAACTTTGCTCAAGAAACCGTTGTATTGGCTGAATCATTCAGCAATACAAATGAAGTAAGCAAGTCTGTGCATTATAAATTGGTTTATTGGTGTCTTAAATTACTGTTATGTATATTCCTAAAAGATACGTCGGTGGCACAGCGGTAGAATGCTTGCCAACAATGCAGGTGGTTCGGTATTCGATCCCCGGCTGACGCACTCCTATACCTCAATGAATCAGTAATAAGACTGGTAAAGAGGGAAGACTGGGCATGAGGGTAGCAACCCCATCTCGTAAAACTAAACACTACTGCTAACAAAACTTCAAGCCTGTAGCTTGAAGTCCTATGTTCCAGTGGAAACGCAAAGGGATAAAAATACATATTCCTAAAAGAATATTTCAAAGTTCAAAATATTGCTTACATAAGTTGAAGACATCTCCTTTGAATTACCCATTCTACTTCAATTGTAGCAGATAATTTCAGTTGCCTGATGAATATCTAAAATGGAAATTGTGTGTTGCTTTGAGAAGTTGCGATGCAAGATAACGATTTTTCTGTTCTCACGTCTTTTTATCTCACTAAAGAAAGATATTCAATGGAAAATAAACTTACTAGATGAAAGTTTACCTTCTGACGGTTTCTTATAACAACCACTTGTGAAGTGACTTATAAAATACGACATTAGATAACAAAGAGTAACAGATGCAAGCTATCTAACTCCTCCAGTTAGGTTATCATAAATTAACGCATCAGTCTCGATTTCAAAACTGGTCAGAGATCGACTTGTTGAGTCAGTAGTGAAAATTGTAGCAGAAGATCAAAGTTTTCAGGATCATTTCTATTGCATTATAAATTCGCCTACAGGTACAATATAATTGAAGCTACTGTTATGAGGATAAAATATGCCTCAAAGACTTTTGACTAACTCTAGTACACAAACTACTGATACCTCCTCTACTGTGGACCAACAATGATTTTGGTTTAAAACAGTTTTAGACATTAACTATTTAATTTATTATTGTTATCTAAGCTTTACATTTGTATGTAATTATTATATATTCCTTTGAAATACTCCTTTTCTATTTTAAGCTGAAAGGATGTAGTTTACCAGTTCGTCGAGAATTAATCGAAGTCAAATTTATGTTGGTCACCATTCTACACAGTATTATGAGTCTTCATGTAATGTATATGAAAGCTAAGCTACAAGAAAGCACTTTAAAAGACCCACTGTTTTGTGTAAGTTATTTTTATTTCATAAAAAGCGGGTCTCTTGATTATTTTGAATAAAGCATCAATAGATGTATTTCAGGATAAAGAGAGCTAAGTTTTTGATTCTCAGCTTTTCTTCAGCTACTGACAGTCTAAAAATGACATCAGTCACTATAAATGTAAGTGTATTTAACATATTTCAACATTTTCAAATATTGGTTTTGTAGGGATTTAGTTTGTGATTGAATGAGGGATTTCATCATGAGCTGACATCAGTTACAGAAACACTGGAAAAACTGGACGAAACAGCTGTCCAGTACTCCCAGGCTCATGATGAAATCACTCATCCAAAATTTCAAAATTATTTCAACTGAAAGGGTGGGAATCATCAAAAGCCTTTTTGAGGCAAAATGACTTTTGAAACATGCCATTTACTTACATTTATAGTAACTTGTTTCTTTTTCAAGTTGTCAGTAGCTGAAGAAAAGCCCAGAATAAAAAACGAGTTCATTTCATTCCTCAAATGTATATCCGTTCTTGCCCTAATGATATTGTCAGACAGATAAGAATATTATCGGATTAGTTAACAAGGTGTATGCAGTGTATTCTGCTCAATAAGAGAGAGGAATAAGGCATCGAAGTGCACATGGTCCGAGGTTCGATCCCTTGCCGACGCACACCTGATATCAGTGGTCGGCCTGCAAAATTTCGGCTACCGATATCACATGCTGAAAATTCCATACTTGTACCGAAAGTATCGTGGGGAATCAAGCTATGAACAAAAATTATAATTAATAATTTAGTTTGAGTGTTGGTTTGTAGGGATTTGGTTGGTTACAGGATTTCATCATGAGCTGACATTGGTTAGAGAACCATTGAACACCCACCTGGGAGTACTGGACAGCTGTATCGTCCTAGTTTTGGACTCTTCATCATTACGCAACGACCGGGGCTCGAAACCAAAATTTTCTGGTTACAAGGCCAGTGAGCTCGTAGACCATTAAGCCACTGGGACCCGATCCAATGGCCCATGGATTCTAACTTCTGCTAATTCACGACATGGCGCGACCCCCAGCCAATATCTTCAGCAGGTATTTGTCCTTACACCAGACCTGCTGCACCTTACTGGTCACGAATTCTCACTAGAACCGAGGTAACTACCTACCTGAATAGGGCAAGTTGCTAGTGAGCATCTCATCGATTAGTTCTTCAGCTGACAGCTATTCTTGAAAGAAATATGTTCAACCCAATTAACTGCTTACAAACCGAGTCGAATGAGATTTGCTGACACTCTGAATATTTCAGTGTAATAAGTCAGTCATCTGATTATTTCACTTCCATGGTACTGTATGAATATGTTGCTCATAGCTCTGAAATTCAGCACAGTTATTCACTCCTTGTACAACTAATCAGTAAGATAATCTCTCATTTGGTAACGCAATCGATCAATATTTTCTGAGGTGTAATACAAAATGACCTGAAAAATCTTTCATGATTAACTTTTTACAAAACGCTAATCTTTATTTTTGTTTCTTTCTTTTAATGTACTGCTGCCAATCATAAAGGCTGTTGAAAACTATATTGGTGAAAATTCATTAGACAGTTTACCGGAAACTTTAAATAACTACGAACAACCTAAACAGATATGGGATCGTACCATCTTGACAGCATTCGATGAAATATACTCTCTATTATCAGATATCTTTATAATGAGTGAAAAACAACCTCATCTACTAGCACAGGTAAAATGAAACTGTATTCACATATTCTGTGCTTTTCAGTGATTATTTCTAGAACCAATGATACATTTCTTCTGTATTGTATACTTTGTTATTATTATATGTTGTCAAATGGAACAGAAGTGATTAGAATTTCTCATATAAGCAACTATGGAAACTGAATTCATCATTGTTTTTATAGTCTAATCTGTACATATTATTTAGTGATGATGGCAAGCAGAAGAATCCTCAATGAGCATTTCGTCTTATTTTTGACTCGTTAGGTAAATGTATCTGCTAACCCCCCCCTGAATGATATATCTCCACTAAGACTCGAAATCAGCACCCTTCGTTTCAGACGCCAAAGAGTCATCCACTGTTGTCCAACGGTTATCAGTTATTGTTTGTTGAATTTCAGGTTGAATGATTTTATTCGATCCAAATTCTCAGTACCTAATTTTTGTGACTATTTTCAGAAATCTATTCCAGTTTACGGTCTCAATAGATTTCGTTGGATGTTGGTAATTACCTCAATTATGATTACAGCTATAAATGGGTACAAGACTGCAATGAACAATAGTATTCTCTTGCAACTAGTAGTGTTCTCTGTGCTGGTTGGTTTAGTTGCGCAGCTTTCGTCGTCCTTCTGGACATCTTCACAGGAATTTTCAGCATAAAAAAGTGAACTGATTTAAATTTTCCATGAGTGATAGAATTTCGTCTCCTGGTAACCATCTTTATATTCGTATTGATCATTTTTCACTGACTTGGATGAAAACTCCGCAACCAAACCAACCAACTCAGAGAACACTACTAATTGCAAATCATCCACCTGAGCTACAGATCTTCTCAATTATTTCAATAGTATTCTCTACTAAATATAGCCAAATAGCATAATTTCTTGTCCATATATATAAAAAATACCAACTCTAATCACTAAGACTCTTCCTCCTACATGTTTAGAACATTATTAAAGGTGATTGATCTATTTTATCAGAGAAAGAGCCTCCTGTTCATTGGATATTAGCGTATAAAGTTCGCTTAAGTACAGAGGAAGCCAAATGAATAAATTCTTAACCCTTTCACTAGTTTATGTTTCATTGTATTCAATCTAAATTAACAAGGTAGTAGTATAAAATGATATCATTCTGTTTCACAAGTTCTCATCAGCCAGAAATACCTGAAATTACAGGGGTTTTGAAAAATGACAATAACCTATATCAGTGTTTGAATGGTAGTAGAGAAGACACTATAGAATTAGCTCATCTGAAATATAGGCATCACAGTTTTTAGTTCAAGTTACCACCAATTTAGAGGCTTCAAACACTGCAGTGGGTTATTGTCATTTTTGAGGTAGTTTGCGGCTGATGAGAACCTTTGAAATAGAATGATATCATTTTCTACTGCAGATTTGGTCTTTTTAAAAACTTCATGCAATTCTCCCCATTAATAAACCTGAACAAAGCAAGAACAACAATTTTACCCGGATAATATGAGCTCATCTTTTATTATTTAATCGAGGATTCTTCTTAACTGGTTACATTACGTTAAAGATATGAACATACTTTTCCACGATCATAAGGAGTAACTGGCAGGAATTAAAAGTAACATTAGTCCGGAATGATTTAACTGATTAGGAGTTACAAACACTGACTATTTATAGAATAATTAGACAATTAGGCTTAAAACCAAAAATAACAGGGTTGCGTATACATATATGTGTATAGAAACAAGGTTTAGCTAGAAAGAGCATAACAAAAAAGTAGATTACGCCACTAAAGAAAACGTCTTATCAAATAACCAATAGAAAAAAGGAAAGAAAAGAAACAAGGTAGGGTGAGTCATGTTTAGATGGGAGAGTAGAGTTTTCTAAACATGAAAAAGGTGACAAATGAAAGTTTTATATTTTTTTGTTATCACCAAGGCAGTGCAAGATTCACCACTGTCTCTTCCTGCGTACATAGATTTGGTTTAAGTCGTTTGATGGCCATTGCTTAAGCAAAGCGTAGCAAGCTGAGTTTCTTTTGCTTGTTGATTATTTTGGACGACTTCAAGTTGTCTACAATATGACCAGTGTCCAACAGACGACTAGTAATCACACTGTTTAATGCTTGCGGACCTATCAGTCTCAGGTTCTTTGGTATGTGTTCATAAATGCGAACACCAACCCTTCTCTCTGTTCTTCCAACGTATGTGCTTTGGCACGTACGTGTAAATTGGTAGACACAGTTGGAGGTAACATGAGGTGGGTATTTGTTCACTTTTGATTGTCTCAAACAACTAATTGTTTGATTAACACATACAAGCTTGGCGGATAGATATGTTCTCTTCAGGTCAGCGTTCAGTCTGCATCTTATTCTACTAGCAGTATCATCACCTTTGAATGCAAGCTGCAGAAAGATAGGCTTTTTATCTACTGTGGTGCTTTTCACTTTTTCAACATGACGTCTCCCATACTTGTCGATGAACTTTTGTGGGTAACCGTTGTCGCATAGGCATTTCTCCACAATGAATAGCTCTTCCTCAATCTTTTCTTTTGAACACAGTTTCCTCCCACGATCAAATAATGTTCTCATCAATCCTTTTTTGTAACTTATAGGGCAGAAGCTTTTAAAGTTAGGATAAACCGCCCTCCAGGTCTCTTTTCTGCGTATATATCTTGTGACTTTGCCGTCTTTATCTCGTTGGATACCCAAGTCAAGAAAATGGTACTTTTCCTCTTTTTTATACTCCATTGTAAACTTAATATTAGGGTGGTCTTTTCTCTTTGTTGAAATCCAAAGAGGGAATCAGATGTATGAAAGTAGTAATATTTTGTTCAAGAGTTGTAGAGTTGTAACACCACTGAATATATATACATAGAATTTTGTGTAATTTCCAGGATTTTGAATATTGTTAACAAATTTGTGTAGAGTGGTAGTGGCAAATGTATTGATAAGAGGAAAGCTGTTCATCAACGAAATTCATGTACTGTACCTTTAGCAAATGACTTGCCTTTTCTATGAACCGTTGCTTTCGGTGTAATACAACGTCGAAGTTCACGTTTAACATGCAGCATTAAAAGTAGACCAAGGATACAATATTCTTCTTAAAAATCCTATCAGCTTTTGGGGGCTTTTTTTCTGAACGTCAACCAGTGAGAAGTACTTACTCTAAACATGATTTGAATTTTCTGCCCTGAAGTTCCAGTTATCTCGTGGTTATAGATCTTGGCTTTGAACGCTAATTACACTGGATCTAATTATCATTACATCCTGCTACTGCTAGTCTTTTAAGCCATAGACATTTATGTAATAAAAAGGTTTAGTAACATATTACTCATTAATTTCAACAAGTTTGCAAGCAGCGTATCTTTAGTAATGTTGTACTTTAAAGACTCTATAGATGATTATCAAACTAGATAGGTACATGTGCCATCATGACACTTCCTTGAAATCTCTGGAAAAATACTAATTACCTATAAATATTTCGAGGGGATTTTGCTTTCCTTAAAGATTCCAGCCATAAAATTTAAGCACAAATTAGCTGATCAGACAAGACAGCAAAATTGTCAAAGGATTTCAAGGCAGTTACAGTACACCCATAGAGTTGCTTCCTCACCTAACCTGTTTGCTATATTGAGTTATTACACCTACTCTGAATGTTTCAAAGCTTTAAGGGTGTTGTATACACAACATACTAATAAGTCAAGTTTCGCAAGAAACTTATTTTTGTATTCACTGATAAAAACCTGTGAAGCGGAGCCTACTGATTTGGATTCTACTGAGGAGTTAAGTTTCTCTGTAAGTGATATAGCTGTATCCAAATAATAGGTCAGTTTTTATAACCAAAACCATATTAGATTATTTAAACAACAATAGTACTTATGTTTTCGTATTGCTTTGTTAAACTTCATCTCTTTCGTCTTATAAAATACTTGTCACTGAATACCGAATGAGGAATTCGCCTAAAGTGAACATGGCCCCTAGAACATGACTATGGCAGTACAAACCGTATCTTAAACAATTATTCAGCAGAATATGTAGTGTAGAATAACTATTAACAAAAATTACAGATAATTTAACCACACCGGTGTGAAATTCAAAAACTGTAATAAACTGGTTCTTTTCATTAGATTTCTGAAAAAATTGAATGGATTTGAGGCGAATAAATGTAAACTATGGTGCAGTTTCATTTACCAGTCTGGAATAGTATTTTTCTGATTCAGATTTTTATCTTAAAATTAATAGATTAACAATATTTTCAGGTATAATTAAGTGATGACAAAACTGCTTCTATTGCCTTTGGATTCCTTTATGTGCTGTGTGCCTATATCGGAAACAACTGACATTTAAAGTCATTTTTGAGAAATCTCATTGTATCCGGCTATTTTTTCTGAAAAATTTTCAATAAAACATTCTTATGTGAAGTCCTTAAGGCAGAAGACTTCGGCTGAAATTATAGCGGACATTCAGTATGCATGAATTCTTTATATTCTGGAATTCAGATTTATCTAACTTTCCTTGTCGGGTGGGAAACAGGAATACACATCAGTGTTGATTGGCTTTTCACAATTTGATTTTTTAAGCGCTTTTCTTTCTGAATTAACTTCATGTAGTGTGCTATGTAAAGTCAAAGAGGTTCAGTCAATAGTTTTACTGAAGTTTATTGCATTTTAGTACGAAGAACTCCATATCTTTCACAAATCAAAGCGGGATTTGAGCAACGTCTGCACTACATCACTATAGACAGAAATTAAAAGTTTTTGATTGTCTAGTTCATACCTTTTGACTGATTATTGATTTGCTTGTCATGAATCTTGCCAGTCCTTCGTTCATTGTCTCATAAATGTATCTATTTGCATTGCTGAACTGCCTTCAATTAGGATGAGGAAGCTGTCCAGTATACCTAAATTTTCTATGGTTCTGTTGTTAGTATTTCACCACCATGTAAATCACTGTGACAAAAATATTCTTTGCACCATCTGGCACTGCAGTAACAGTATTCTAAAATTTGTGCTTACTAGGAGATAATGCGTTCGACATTTTCCCATATATCTCAATAATTCCGAAGTGACATGTCATCCCACTATTTCTTCCCACACTTCTTATGAGAAAGATCAGAAGTTTTTAAAACAATGAGATTTACTACGAAAGGTAAAAATCATGGTATTGACCCAGACCTAAAATCAATAGTCTTGGATTTCATTGGTGATGTCCACTAAGCTATTCATATGCAGGATTTATCTCTTTAATGACGACTACCATCTGTTAAGAATTCTTATAAGTGTAGATAATGACCGATCAGTTTGATTAAATGTAATTAGCAGTGATAAATAACATGTATGATCATTATTATTATTATTGTTCCCTAGTGGAACAGGGGGCTTCAACTGCCCGTCTCAACTTGCTTATGTCTTCTCCTGTACTTTTCACCTGCATCATTCCATGTTAGTCCATATTGTTTCAACTCATCTTCACACGATCTCCTCCATATCACCCACCCTTGCACTGACGACCCACTCGCCACTTCCCTCCCTTTCGTCCTGGCTCCACTCAACCAATGGCCTGACGCGCGAACGATGTCACCCAGTGGCGGTCTCCTCAGCCACGAGTGTCCAATCCATCCATCTCCACTCCATCTCCTGCATATTTGTTAGTTGGCGATTGGTTGGTTCTTGATTTGTTTGTTTGTTTGTTCCCACAGTTTCCAATTGTTGGTGATTCTGGTGATTCCGACCCGGCCATCTCATCTTCATTCAGTATAGATCCAGCGAAGACAGTTGTTGGTTGATAAAGGTAGCGTCTGCAACAGGCTGTTGGAAATATTCTTTGTGACACGCCCGCCAAGTTTCTGATCTCTATAGGAGAACTGACTGACTTGACGCTATTTGTATTTAAAATACGACCGAATTTTGTTGTTGATGGTGGCTGAGTGACGAGGATTTCCAGATTGGTTTCATGTATGATCAAATAGTTAAGTATTTGTCTCGAATGTTCCACGGTGAAATCTATTCAGACACCTATGTATATGCCTTACAAACGTTCGCATTGACTTAAAGAAGCAAGTCGTTGTTATTTTTTTAAAGAATTTTTGTGAAAGCCTCAACGCTTACAGGCAATCATCAGAACCTTGTTCAATTCGGCTTTACCCGAAATTTCAAACCTGAACCTCTCAGTTTAAAGATGCAGGCTGAATAAATGTTCTGTGTAGACTAGTAATTGTATTCCTTTTTATTTCCCCCTAGCAGACGTTCTACACTTCTGGGATTAATGTTACATAATTCCTGTTGTAAAGAATGTTAGATTGTGTGATTACTTTGGTATGATTATAGTTTAAAAATTGCGCAGTAAATGCTATTCATATGAAAATACTTTTCTATAGAGTATTGTATCAAATAAATGTATTAAGTATGAAATAAATTAAACCAAAATAGACTCGTAAGTAAATGAATGAATATCATGTTAATTTTATTGAAAGAATAATTACATTTAGAAATGAGAAATGTGAATGTGTCAATATATCAGAATAGATTCCTTTAATAAAATGTTTAATCTTTTGGGAAACTGACTAGTTAATATTATATTTCACTAAACTATATTTTCGTATAGTGTTTTTTCTACATGGGAGAATCGTTGTATCTATGTGGTCTGTTGTTGATACCAGATTTACAAGATTATTGGACTGACCACAGCGGTGAAGCTGCCAATTTGGTCAACACTGTTGTACGTGAGTTATTGGAAAAAAATACTGAAGACGTGAATTTGCATTCTGGGTTCCGTTGGAGAAATCGCAATGATGTAATCAATGATTTGGTAAGGAGTAGTTTAGTACCAGTCTTCAATAATATAAACAAAGTTATCAATAAATACACAGATTTAAGAGATTGTAACTGAAGATGTTTTGTAAATCTTTTTTAGCCGCAACATCAGAACTGAGGACCTGCACATTATCATTCCAAGGATCTATTGACTGAATTCTGGCCTTACCATCATCCAGTCTCGTAGGCTTTAACTTAACGGCCACATAAATAAATCAAACCAACACATGAGTAAATATTCTTCCAAAATAACATTAAACGTCCCGCCTGGTATCATACCACGTCTTTTCCCCAAAATCTAATCATTCATTATTAAGAGATAACTGTAGGTCACTTGTTGCAGAGACGGTTAAATAGTGGAGCAGATGAACGTTGATTAGTGCTGAGCGAATGAATATATATATATATATATATATATATATATATATATATATATATATATATATATATATATATATATGTTTATATACATATATATATTCACTCAAAAGTGTGAAAGTGGTATTGATTCAAATTACTGAAGAGTTCGTTTTAAAGATAGCACAGACTCTCCAGCTTGTTTTGCTGAAAGGTATTTACTCCTTTTGAAAAACCTTCATGTGAAATAATGACCGATAATGCATCACTTGAAGCAATATTGTCCCAGCCAAAGAATGCTCCACTACTTCGTGGAGTTTTTCTTCCATTTCATTTGAAAAAAAATTTATAGCAGATAGTTGAAACATTTTGAAAATTTGTGTGGGAGAAAGTTGCGACTCATGAAAGAGTAGTTGGATGGTTAAAACAGTACAAAACACAGGAAATATGCATGGATGGAAAAAATTTGGTAGCCCAGTGATCGAATCCGACCTCGATTGGTTTCAACTAGTTTGTTTTATGATAAGGTTCTTTTGCAAAGCCCTTATTTTACTCTCATATAAACGAACGATTTTGCTGTCTATCCTGAATAGCTACTTCTAACTCCAATATTTTCTATATGAAAGTAAAACTACTCATTATTCTATAGTGTCTACTTAAGGCGTAGTAACTATTGTAACTCTTGCCACTATTGGTTGAACTAAATTCACCAAAGAAGATCATCATTTAGTTGAAAAGGAAAAAGGTGTTGTCAATGGAAGATAGTAAGCCTAACTTATAAATTTATTTGTACTTACAATGTCGTTGAAATATGACTGGAACTTGTAACCTATAACGTAAACAATGCGGAGCCCAACCCGTAGGGTGGAGAATGCCGATCTGTTACATGCTGGTTTTCCTTTCAAATTCAACTGAGTTCAGAACTAGGACAAAACGATAGAACTACCTTTCTCGTAGGTATATTTTTAACTAGGAGATATATGGTTTCCTTATTTTTCTATATCCATGTTTTAAACCAGGACCCTGACTATTTATCTATGCAGCTAGCTGAAAAACGTTTCACTTTTTCTATATTTTACTATTCGTCCAGAGAACTTACGATTCAGTCATGAATTTATTTTCACAAGCTTCATCATTGTACATCATTTCCCTAAAAATCTGCTTTGCTCAAAACTTCATGGTGAGTTTAAAATAACTATATGAATATAACGTTGATAAGTATTTATATATTTATATAATTTTATGAATAACTCGTAGTCATTTCATGTACAGCTGACTTTACGATTCTGATGTTTCCCAGAGTTTTCCAAATAAATACTACTAAATTTTATCCGTTTCATCTTTTATGTGAACCTTCAGAGTATACATTTTCTTGTAATAACAGCAAGAACATCTAGTTTTTGGGAAGAAATCTCACATTTCTTTCTCTATATTCATAGTGTTTTTCCACTCCTGATATTTTTCAAATCGAGGTGTTAACCTTTGATATAGACAGGTTTGTTTCAGTGTAAATAGGCAAATGAATATATTCAGCAGCACATTCTTCAGTGACTATGCTAACTGGAGTACAGTCTCACATTGAGAAAGATCCATACCATTAGAAAGTCACTGGCTACTTATAAATGCAGATTATGGTGCAAAGACAGTCCATTTTAAGGTGTAAAAATTATTATGTTATGCGTATCTCTCTTTTAATAAGTCCCAACAAAATAATCAGTCGACTGAGAAACCATTTACATTCGCCATCTAACTGGTAGGGCTATCCAGTCACATTTCTATCCCCGTCCCTTCCATTCCCCTCTTAATTTAATTGGTCGGTATCGAGGAATAGATGTACGAATACTTGAAGCCAAGTGGTATTAAATCCTTAACAGCTACACTGTATTTCATTCGATAAACAAAATTCTTAGACATTATCCATTACTGCAGTCACCAGAGATAATATCGGCAGCTTAGCGGAATATTCTCTGACTTCTTAACTTCCTCAGACGGAATATAATCTTTAAGGTTACTGGTATAACCCTCAGAAGAGTACCAGTAAACAAGGAACTTATGTGTAGGGTCTTTTGTCTACTGACAAATAAGATCTAACAATGAGATGAAAATTCATTCTTGTAATAACGTTGAAAACTCTTCATAAATTTATTCTAGGATTAAAATGTCATATTTGTAAAGGGTTATTCTGCTGAAAAAAATTGACAAAATCCATTTGTACTTACTTTTTCCTAGGGTTTGGCTCGTCAAGTAACCGAATCTTTGTTAAATTTATTTGGCGGAATTCATGAAAGTGTTTCTGTTTTAACACAAGACTTACTCATCGCATTTCAAAGTTGTTCAACGGCAGTTCGACTACGGACTCACTTCTGGCTGACATTATTGGCGTATGATGCACGTAAATGTTCTGGTGGTACTCAGACCAGCTTTGATACACAAAATGAATTTTCCGACAGATCTATTTTGAGCTCCTCAGAAGCTCTTATTCGTCAGTTATTATGGTTATCTCCATCCAGTGTTTATAGTGATTTATGTCTGTTCACAACATGGGGATTCTGTTCCACTACTGAGCCTTCTTCTTATCCTGAAACGCTAGCCTGGATAACAGGAATTATATACAACTTAATATCTAGTCGTTTGCGTTCCACTGGCGGTTTATGTGGTGGATCAGAGGATCACTGTGTCTCCGCTAGTCCATGGTTGTCAAGTGTCCTGAAAACTTTAGCATCACAGTCACAAGTGAGTTAATATCTTTTCAGTTTTCATCGAAACTGAACGACTTTACGCCTTATTATTTGAATGCGTTCTGACAAACATACAATGTATATTAAAGTACAACACGAATATTTTGAGGCTAATAATTTTACAGACCACCACAAATCCTAGTCGATGGAAGAAATTCGCAACATGAAAATTCTAATTAGTATACATCTTATGATATTCCCTGGCTATAGAACTGGCATAAAACTAGACAATGCGATAGCGCCATCGATATTCACTGGTTATTATATTATACAATACACATTTATTACTGACAGTAAAAGACTGATTAATTCAATTTTAGATTTTCTCGTCGATTGATTCGACCGAAGTGCTCAGTCGCAGGTTGAGATGTCGGCTTCTTGTGCAGATGCTTTGGCGATGTCTGGGCATGTAATTAGAAGTCATTTGGTGGATGGCGACTAGCAGTGGAATCCAGGATGCGCGTTTCGTCCCATTTGGGACTCATTGTCTGGATGTACTGCATTCCGCACTGAGTGATGATGTCCCCATCGAGGCTCGAACCCATTGGGCATAGTTTCAAACGCTAAAGCGTTGGTGCTGCTAGAGCCTCGATGGGTATATCATGACTCACTACCGAGGGCAGGTACAACTAGATGATGAGTCCCAAATGGGACGAAATGGGCACCTGGATTCCACTGCTAATCACCATCCAGTGATTAAGTACAAGATTGAGTTAAACCTGATTAAATCTATTCCACTAATTTGAGTACTATTAGTCGTATAAATTAATCTCAGGTAAACCACTTACATTTTCATTTTCGTATTGTACTCGGTTAAAGCTCAAGGAGTTATTGATAAATACAAATGCAGAAGACTTCCAATCTGCCAGCATCTCAAGTACTTGTTATTCATATATTTTATTTTGCTTAAAGAAAACAACTGATGATAGTGATTATCATAATTCTACAAAGTTTAACCAATTCTGAATATGATTAAATATTAATAGGTTATAATCAAGCGTATTATACGAAATAATTATTATTATATTATTATTTCCTTTAATTCCTAGAGGAACATAGGGCTTCAGCTGCGCGTCTCCATTGCCTTCGGTTTTCTGCCAACTTTTTCACTCCGCTCCAAGTCTGCCCATATACTTTCATCTCCCCTTCACATGAACTCCTCCAAGTCACCCTTGCACTGACGACCAACTCGCCACTTCCTACTCGGTCGGATTCCACCCGAGCAATGGCCTGGCGTGTGATGTCACTCACTTGATGGTTTCCTCAGAGTATGGCTAATCCAATCCATCCCCATTTCTTCCTGCCTATTTGTTTCACAATCGGTTCTTGGTTGGTTAGTTCGCTCATTCCCAGAGATCCCTGCTGCTTATCTTTTCTGGCCGGCCATCTGATCTTGAGTGGTATTGAGCGAAGACAACTGTTAATGAAGGTTTGAAGTTTGTTTGAGATGCTCTTTATGACGCGCCAAGTCTCGGATCCATACAGTAGCACTGACTTCACATTGGAGTTGAAAATCCGAATCTTAAATTTCATGCTGAGTGCTGTAGATCTCCACAGAGACTTGAGAGTAATGAAAGTTTGTCTTGCTTTCCCGATCCATGCTTTGATATCCTCGTCAGTTCCGTCGGCCTGTAGTCGAAACGATGCTTCCCAGGTAGATAGGTAGGTGAAGGAGGTTGTTTCTTTCAGGTTCCTCTTATTTATGCTGATTGTTGTATATTGTTGTTGCTGTTGGTGTTGGCCAGGAATCTTCATCACCTCTGTTTTCTCTATGTTCAACTGAAGGCCTATTTTCTCTGGGTGCTTCTTCTGCCAACTTGTTGCTTTTCACTTGCATATCTTCCGATGTGTGAGAAATCAGACATATATCATCGGCGAAGTCCACATCCTCCAAGTTCTTTTTCGTGTGGGTCCATTTTATGCCTGTTTCCTCATTGCCCGTTGTCTGTCTGTCGCATTATCCAATCTACTGCAATCAGGAAGAACGTTGGCGATAATAGATAGCCTTGCCTCACTCCCGTCCTCATTTCGAAGGCTTCCGTAAGTTTCCCGTTGTGTATTACTTGGCATGCAGCATTGTCGTACAACTGTTGGATGAGATGTATAATTATTGGTGGCACCCCGTAGTAGCGAAGTAGTTGCCAAATCACCTCTCGATCGACGCTGTCGAAGACCTTTTCAAAGTCGATGAAGTTGATTGAGGTGGAGAGGTGACTGCCATTCCAAGCTTTGTTCAATGATGATCTGTAGTGTGGCGATTTGATCAATATAAGACTTGCTTCTCCTGAATCCAGCTTGTTCCGGTCGAAGTTTTTCATCCAGGGCTTGTTTGATTCTCTCCAGGATGATGCAGCTTAGTATTTTGCTTGGGATGGATAGGAGCGTAATGCCACGCCAGTTCTTGTATTGATTTAAGTCTACTTTCTTTCATGGTTTGAATAAGTATCCTTTCTTCCAATCCTCGGGCACTTTGCCCTCTTTCCACACCTTCTCCGGAAATGGCGTCATCAAGTCCTCTGTTGTCTTTGGGTCCATTTTCAATGTTTTTGCTGGGACTTCATCTGGTCCTGCTGCTTTTTCAGCCTTTGGCATCTTGATTGCCTAAGGACGTCTGATTTCGTCTGGGGGTTGATGTTTACTGGTAGCTCTGCTTCCGTTGTTGGTATTGTTGGGCGCGTTGTAGGTGGCGGTCGATTTAGAAGTCTTTTGAAGTGTTTAGCCCAATGTTTTCTTTGTTCCACCTCTTTGGTGATTGACTTTCCATTGTTATTCTTCACTGGCTTAATTTGTGTCAAACTTTTGTCCGATAGGTACCTAGTTGTTTGGTAGAGTTTTGATACGAAATAATAATATCGTGTAAAATTGGAATGTTCCTCGATAATTGTTCCTGGTAATTATGAAGCTACATTCTTGGATTTCATCCTAACCTACGTTATATTCACCATTCACTGACAATTAATAAAAGATATAACTCCATAGATCTAAGAATGTATCTAACAGTATTCTGTTTATATTATCAAGCCATAATCAGATAAATCACAAGTGACGATACCGACTGAACTATATAAGTAAATAGACACATATGTCAAGTAACATATGTTAAAAACTTGTTTCCTAGATCCGTTACTTTGAAAGTTAAAACTACTCTATTTGCTTATTCACTCATACTTAGAATTTCCTGTTCACGGTCATTTATCTTGTCCACAGTAGGCAGTTTGTTTGGGGCTATTTTGGTGGTGGTTATAATTCAATTCCAGAAACCTGTCTTTATGTCATTCAAAATCGGTCAGCTTGGGTCTACATGAGATGGAGTTTAGATTCTTTACCTTTTATGCAACAGGTTTTAGGTTAACAATCACTCACTATGATGCAATCTCATCTAATTAATAAATCATAAATAGGACAAAACTGACATCGTGATATTTTGAACGTTAAACACCACAAGGTGAATAACACAAAGGTTATTTTTTTATTTCACGTGACACTTACACAGACTGACACAAAATCGAGATGTACAGTAAACTTTTTATGCTTTTGTTTTCTTCAAAAGATATATATCTCTTAATAAAAACACCTTCCAGTCACTTATCCTGAAAAACTTTTATCCTCTGTAGGCTTGGAGAGTAACTGAAGTGAATCCTTCAATAATCTTTGATTCTAACAAAATTATCCAGTCAACATTGAGCTCACTACCTGGATCCAATTTACAAGCAGCTAAATACTGGAATCTTCTTATCATGGAACATTCTATAAATTCTTGTTTTCTGTATGCTGCTGTACCTAAAGGCATGAACAGAGCAACTTCTACACGAAGTCATCGACCAAGTATACCAACTAACAAAAGTAATAACAAAGGTTAGCAGAGAACGGTTTTTTCCAAATTATTTTGAATATCCTTTTGATTGACTGCACTAAAATGTCAGCTCTTAGTACGGATGATTTGACAGCGCCTTGAAGTCAAATTAATGTTGTTGACATGTGACTATTTTTACTTAGCAGTCCAGCAGATACAGCTTCAGTATTTGAAATTGTTGTGTCACATGGTTGAGTGATCTACGAGCTCGCAACGTAACCGGAAGATTCTGCGTTCAAACCCCAGTGGGTGCGTTCTGTCGGAGAGTCCCAAGCTAGGACGAAACATCTGTCCAGTACTTGCGGGTTCTGTGATTAGGTAGTTCGGAGGTAGAAAGGTAGCCGACCATGCATGTGGTCCAGGGTTAGGTTGTCGGCCGACGCACTCCTAAGTCTCGCTAAGCTGGTAGAAGGGCTAAAATAGACAGAGGGTTAGGCGTGAGGCTAGCAACCCCACCCTGCAGAAGTGAAACCACTGCTTCTGAAACTTCAAATCTCTAGCTTGGAGCCCAGGCCTGGTTAACTAGCTTGCTAGCTTCTTAGTCGATCCCAATCCCAGGTGCAGAGGGAGTCTTGAACATGCGGCTAGCTACCCTACACCAAAAAAGCTATCAAACCATTAAAGAAACTTCAACGCACAGAAAATATATTAAAAATACAAAAAATTCAAATAAAAATCTTCTTCTTTGCTGAAATCGGAGAGGCGAAATGACACAGCTGCCTGACTGGCGAAAGCCTTCGGGAAGCTAGTCAGCCGATCTGTCTTCTCTTGATGAAAGGACGAGTAAGAATGGGTGCATGGAATTTCCGTATAATGTACGAGACTGGGAAGGCTGTCCAGGTAGCCAAAAAGATGCGAAAATATGGCTTTGAATTACTAGATATCTGCGAAAGCCGATGAAATGGATGTGGACTGACAACATTGTCAACAGAAGAGTCAATAATCTACTCCGATCACCACACGCAGATGACAGCCACGAACACACTGAGGGAGCGGTTATCATGATGTCACCAGTGACAACCAGAGCCCTAATGCGGTGTAAACCAATATGATCCAGGATCATGACAGCAAAATTCAACTCAAAAGGAAAGAAGGTAACAATTATTCAATGCTACGCACTTACAAACAACTCAGAACGAGAGAAGAAGGAAGACCTTTATGAACAGCTACAAATAGTAATGAACAACATCCCTGATGGTGACGTCAAAATCCTCATGAGCGATATGAACGCCAAACTGGGACCTGGTAACACAGGAAGAGAACTCATCATGGGTCGACAGGCTGTCGCTCGGAGAAATGAATGAGAACGAAGAACTATTCTCAGACTTCTTCTCTTTCAGTGATTTGGTGACTGGAGGCAGCGCGCACAAGCACAAGGATATACACAAGCAACATGGATTTCGCCTGACGGACATACCAAAAACCAGACAGATTTAATCTCAATACTGCTCAAGGAAGTGAAGACGTAGCATGCTGGATTCAAAGTCGAGAAGGGGAGAAGATGTGGGCTCAGACCACTATCTAGTTCAGACAACCTTTTAGGTGAAGCAGAAATCCCTGAAAACAAGGGGAGACAGGCCACTGTAATTCAAGTTCAACATTCAGAAACTGAAGGACAAAACTACAAGGGATGCCTTCACTAAATATATCAGAGCAAATTCGGAGACAATACGTGGCACCACTGAGGAAGCCTGCGTGGAAGAATATTGGGACTAACTCTTTGAGGGTGATGTTCAAAGAAACGTGTACAAATGTTCTAGAAAGAAAGAAGAAATAAGACAAGGAATGGCTCTCAACGGATACCTGGAAGCTAATCGAGGAGGGGAGGATAGCGAAAGAGAAGATGACTCCACGCAAAGATGGTCATAAAAGGAGAAGCTGAGTTCAATATACACTGCACTGAATAAAGAAGCGTAGAAGAGTGCTAGGAAGGACAAAAGACAATTCTATGACACGTTGGCAACTGAAGTAGAACAGGCTGGCCGCAGGCAAAAGAGACATTAGGACACTATATCAGATGACTAGGTCTCTATTCGGGAAGAGATTAACCCCGATGATGAAACCAATAAGAGATATCCAAGGGGACCTAATTACCAAGGAGGAGAGGAAAATAAGACAGTGCGGTGATCACTTTAAAGGACTTTTGAATAGACCATCACCTGCAGTCACTATCGTCCAAAAATACCACCAACAGCACGCTCAAAACTGCCTGCCACTGGCCACCAATTTTTCAAAGTAAGCAGAAATCCTGGATGCGATCAAGCTGCTGAAGTCTGGAAAGGCAGCAGGACCAAACGGAATTTCCCCCGAAGCACTAAAATCGGACCTAGAGGCTGCCGCAGACATCCTCGCGCGATTACTGCAAAAGGTTTGGAAAGAAGGAAAGGTACCTACCTATTGAAATAAAGGCTACTTCACCAAGCTACCGAAGATGGTCGACATAGGTTTCACTTTGCAAGAACTGGCGTGAAATCATGCTCTTGTCCACGCCAACCCGCACCATCCTTGAAATATTAAAAGATGAACTGGATACAGAACTCCACCCTTCACCGGAACAAGCTGGATTCAGGAAAGAAAAATCATGTGCAGATCAAATTCCAACTCTACGCATCGTCATCACAGAACAAAGCATTGAATGTCAGTCAAACCTCTCTCTCAGTTGCATCGATTTTGCAAAGACCCTTGACAGTGTTGACCAAGAAGTAATTTGGAAACTGAAACTACTTCAACACTACTGCGTGCACTGCCCAAATCTTTATCAACCTCATTCAACAGCTAGCTATATGACGATGCCACGTGTCAGGTGATCCTCAACGGAAAGACCAGCGAGGCATTCGAAGTGCATATAGGTGTAAGACGAGGTTAATTGCCAATTATCACTGATGGTATCGTCAATTGTGGTGGATTAGATCACGCGTCAAACTGTGCGTGGAAGCGCGGAGACAAGAATACACTAGACCACTGATGAGAAGAATCTAGAAGATCTGGACTTCGCAGATGATATATGTCTAACGTCACATTGACTCGAAGACTTACAGGTGAAAACCAATAAACTGGCTGCAGAGGCTGGCTGCGAAGACACGACTGCAGGTGAACATAGAGAAGACGGAAGTGTTGAAGATAACCAACCAACCGCAACAACAACAACAACTAACACCAGTCACCATTAATGGGTGAAATCTGACAGAGGTGATTTTCTTCAATTATCTAAGAAGCATCGTTTCGACTACAAGCAGTTGGAACGGATGAAGATGTCAAAGCCAGCCAAAATCGGAAAGGCAAGATATGCCTTCATCAACCTGGAACCAATTTGGAAATCTTCAGCTTCACTCACTCAGCATAAACAACAAAATTTGGATTTTCGACACAAATGCGAAGTCAGTCAATGTTTCTATATAGGTAAGAAACTTGCACTGCTTGTCGCAAAAAGGATTTCCAACAGGTTGCAGACATTTATCAACAGTCGTTCACTTTACTCGCTCCATACCGAAGATCAAATGGCCAGCTGGCCAGTAAGAATCGGTAACAAGAACTTCTAGCTGGAAACAAACCAACCAACAGCCAATCGCTCAACAAGTATGTAGAAGAAAATGGAGACGGATCGGGCATACACCGTCGGATGACACCGTCAGCAATGTAGGCCAATGCTCGAATAGAATCCAAATGGGGACCGACGAGTGGGTCGTCCTAGAATGAAATGAAGGAGATCGTGCGAAGAGATGAATATTATGGGCAATCATGGACCCAGCTGAAGAAGACACCAGAAGATGGGACTAAATGGAGATGTGTTGTTGAAGTCCTATGTTCCACTTGGAACCCAAGAGAAATTTTAATAATAAATAATTTTCTAATGGAAAACAAATTCTTCTTCTGACTGCATTCGCCTGTGTTCTTTAATCCGAAATTAAATGCGAAACAATATCCTTCAATATTTTCAACTACTCTTCTAAAAGTTATGTTAAATGTAAAAGTGAATGCAGACCGAATGTTGAAGTAATGCCACTGGTTTGGGTGTGTTGCAACTCACTTTATTTACGGCTGAATAATTTACATGAATTAGTCAGTTAATAGTGAAAAGTTTAAATTTCTAAGGAAGTAAGAATTTTCTGTAAGTTACAGATTTGTCTATCTAATAAATGCAAACAAAAAAGAAACGCAGGCCAGGAATAATCTAATGTCTAGAACCAAGATACTGCAAGTATGCAGAAATGCATAGACGGAAGGTTTTTAGACATTTATAATTCCTCTAGTGTCTTTAAAGGCCAGAGTGAATGTTTTAGCCATTATCCAAATGTTAGCTGTCCTCATAATATTAGCTGAAAAAAATATTTAAACTACTATCAAAGGAACACTGTTCATCGCATAATAACAAAAATATACTTATGTGAAACCCTTATAAACAGTTGGGGAATTGAATGACTTCAAACGAGATCATACTGTGAACGGATCTCAGCTACGAAACCACCAAAAATCAAATCTTATCAGATAAAGACACTTAATGGTCAGAGGTTGAACCGCACGTAAAGTAAGGAGTGATCACCATGCATGAGTCTCAAATAGGGACTAAATTGTCTATCAATACTTCTTAGCCGCTGTTGGTTCTTTAGTTTATTTCATTCTGCAAAGAAAACTGTGATAAGGGAATTAACTGGGATATTTAAGTCTTCAACTTTAAATGGTCATCAGCGCATTTGAAATACTGTTTTTATGACAGTATCTGAAGTTGCTATGATAAAAAAATGTGGTGAATTACGCTGACTGGGTCATGGGAGAAAATATAACAAACATTCTACTCATTCACTGTGAATATGATATCCATAAAATGTTATTATTTGCTTTAGTTAATAAAAGTATTAGACTTACAACATTCTTTAACAACTATTTTTCTTCGTAAGTCATTTCAAAAATATTTGGCTTGAAATTTAACCACTTTCAGCTCGCATACTGGATGAAACACTATACTTCCTCGTATTCAGATCAGTCATTGTTTATGAATACTTTGCCAAAGATATTTCACACCTCGCTTAATGACCTAAGTTTTCAGACGCTAAATACATTGGTTTACACTACACCCGTTGGACGTGCGTCGGTGGCACAGCGGTTAGGACGCTAGCCTGTCATGCGCATGGTCCAGGGTTCGATCCCCGGCCGCTGATGCACCCTCTTACCTTGCCAAGCTAGAAATAATGCTGGTAAAGAGGAAAGGTTGGGCATGAGGTTAGCAACCTCATCCTGTAAAAATTAAACACTGCTACTGAAAATTCAAGCCACTAGCTTGAAGCCCTATGTTCCACGGGGAACGTGAATGAAATAAAAAAAAATACCCATTAAATAACACGATTGGACCAGTAGCAGTGAAGAATGGAATAGTTTATGATTCATTTTCATACTCACCTTATATTCTACTTACTTTCTCATAGAAAACTTGGTAAGTACTTGGTAGATTTTGTTGAAAATATTTTCCACATGTCTCTTCAAACTTTTGATGAAATAAATTAGGTCGTCATGACTGTATGTTCGATAAACAACTTGTTCTCGATTTATTCCCTGTAGATGAATTATCTACCCGCACTTTTAAAATTCAAAATCATATGAAAGCTATTGTTTCTTAATCCAATCATCATTACTTTTTTGAGACATGAAATCATATATTCTTCATTCTTTCATATTTTAGCAGGAGACTGTCAATATACCTTCTTGAAGATAGAGACAGACCCAGTCACAAAATGTAAATTAATTTGTTCATGGAAGAATAGTTTAAATAATCTGGATGAACAGTTGAAGAAATACGCAAATATTAAGAGTAACAACAATATCTTATCTAAAGAAGTAAATCAAGTATGTTTTCTTCGGCTGTATTTTTTATCACATATTAGTTATTACAATAACAATAATAATAATAATAAACCCATTATGGGTTTTATGGGGATTTCAATTAATTCCATTGTGGTTTTCCTCACAAACTAACAATGGAAACCAGGCAGCACTAAACAACTGTTTCGTCCTAGTTTGGGACTCTTCATCAGTGATTACTCACAACCATACCAAGGAATGAATTGAAAGAGGCTAGAATTCTATGATCTTTCGACCTCTACCCAAGTGGTTGGATGATCAACAAGCTGGCCTAGTAAATTAGAGGTCCTGAGATCGATAACTAGTGGAACTGTAGGTGCATACTGTAGAAACAGCTGTCCAAACTCCCTGATTACCAATGATTTTTTGACTTATTTTAGTTGCTGACAACATCTGTACTGAAATTAGTAAATAAAGGAGGAAGAAGAACGATTTGACTCTGGACGGTGTTTTTATACAAAACACACAATAATAGATATAATGGCATTTAATGTAATGCCTAAGGGTGTGAAATATCCCCATGCCCTAAGTTAAAAGTTCGTTTGAACGAAAAATATTCTTTTCAATAAATTCTCCTCAGCTTATTTCAGTTACAAAATAAAGCACTTTATATCATTACAGTGATAGCAAGTTATGCCGCTACTTAAAATAACACATCAGTTATATGATGATAAAATGAGTAGTATTTGTATCACAAACGTATCAGGCTGAATGCAATTACAAAATATCGTGAGGGACGAGATGATTATGGAGATAAGTAATATAAGATTCATCCAATATAGTGAAGGAAGATTAACAAGTTAGTTCAAGGTTGTGAAACATGTTTGGTAGAATTTCCCAAGTTTGCTTTATAACAGTGGGAAGGAATATTTAAATAACTATTTCTATACAAAAAGTTTGCACAGCACATGTGAATGATTTTTAACTTCCATTTACTCATTACTTGATGACATCTGCTTTTTGATAACTTTCAGTGAATGTTGTTACTACTTTTTTTGATTTCAGTAGTTGAATTATCTTCACCTAAATGTCACGGCATATTACCATACTTCATTCCAAACTGTACACAGCTTACTGATCATATTTCAGGTACAATTTATTCATTATAGTTACATTAAAGCATGAGCACAACTAAAATGGATAAAGATTTTCTTAAAATGTCCCTCGTGAATCAATAATAATGTATTCCTTTATGGTTGATTAAATTTCTATAACATGAATTTTATCTGTCTATACCCCTTATATAGATAATTACGATGAAAAGCCGTTTGTTTAAGAACTCCACTGAAAAAGTCCTGTTGTTCAATTATTTGGAGCCAATATTTGAAACCTTATCTAAACACTGGATACCTGAGACAACTTCCAATAGTAGTCATATAAGATCTAATACTGATACTATCAGCGTCAGTGATCAAAAGAATATAATTCCCGAAATTAATATCGCTGAACAGTTGTCTTTTTATTTTGAACAACATTTCAATAGTCAGTCAAATATTCCTAGTGATGGGTTGGTAGTAATTTCAGATTTTTGGTTGAATGAACTACCTCTGGAATTTTTAATAACGAATACTCTACTTACTGAGTTATGTATTAGTGACTGCCCGTTGTATAGACGACAAAGTTCTCTTATTCGAAGAGGTCAAACAACAGCAGCATCTAATTCTAGCAAACAGAACCGTTCACCTGCGTTGAAGAGAATGAATAGAGTTTTACCATTCAGCTGGTTGACACGAGACTTTAGTGTACAGCTGCTTTATTCACGTTTAACAGGTTTGTTCTTTCATTTATGCAAATTTACTCCATAACTATATAATATGGTGATTAATAATGTCACCCATCCAATATTTTTTAGAAAACAAAGCCAGTTCAAACTTTTCTTTCTTTACGGGGAGAACCAATAAATTTTTGGCGTACATCAAAAGGCAATAAAAATATGTTTCATTTCAGTAGTGTATTTTACCAAGCCCTATGAGAATAATCCGAAAATTTATGAACTATTCTAGGCTCATTACTTTTATACGACTGGGTCTGAAATGAACTTACAAAACCATACAGTTTTCTTCCAGTGACAAAAGGTATTGAAAGCGCTCAAAACCGATGAATTCATAAACCAATAAATCAAGTGTTACAATTAGATTTTTATGTTGTGTATAAAATTCAAAGGGATATAGCAACAAGTACTTAAGTCCATCTTACATATGCGGATGATATATGTGTCTGATTTCCCACAAACTGGAAGATATGCAAGTGAAAAGCAACAAGCTAGCACAAGAAGCATCAAAGATAGGACTTCAAGTGAAATAGATAAAACAGAGGTGATGAAGATTCCTGGCCAACATCAACAGTAACAAAAACAACAACAGACAACAATCAGTCAGCATAAATGGGAGGAACCTGAAAGAAACAACCTCTTTTACCTACCCATCTACCTGGGAAGCATCGTTTCGACTACGGACTGACGGAACTGATCAGGTTATCAAAGCAGCGAGGATCGGGAAAGCAAGACAAGCTTTCATTACTCTCAAGTCTGTGTGGGGATCAACAGCACTCAGCATGAAAATGTAAATAAGATCCGAATTTTCAACTCCATTGTGAAGTCAGTACTACTATACGGATCAGAGACTTGCATTGCGCGTCATAAAGAGCACCTCAAACAAACTACAGATCTTCATTAACAGTTGTCTTTGCTCAATACCACTCAAGATCAGATGGCCAGCCAGAAACGATCAGCAACATGGACCTCTGGGAATAAGCGAACCAACCAGGAACCGATTGTGAAACAAATAGTCAGGAAGAAATGGAGATGGATTGGATTAGCCATACTCTGAGGAAACCATCAAGTGAGTGACATCACACGCCAGGCCATTGCTCGAGTGGAATCCGACCAAATAGGAAGTGGCGTGTTGGTCGTCAGTGCGAGGATAGGGTGACTTGGAGGAGTTCATGTGAAGGGGAGATGAAAGCATGTGGGTAGACTTGGAGCGGGGTGAAAAAGTTGGTAGAAAACCAAAGGTAATGGAGACGCGTGGCTGAAGCCCTATGTTCTTCTAGGAATTAAAGGATATAATAATAATATATGGTAATTACTTATCCAGCAGTAAAGGAACCAGAAATAATTTCCCAGTTGTATAATGTTTAGGCAACTAGGTAACTGTATAATACTTCAAAAGAAAAACATTTCATTTCAGACAAATGTGAAAAAGTTGTAAAATTTATGTCTCATCTTTCGATGAAACTACATCTACCTACAGAAAATCAAAGACAAATTATGAATCAGGATTCCCCTTATGAGCGAGGAGAGAGTTCATATGGTCGTAGTATGAGAACACAATACTCCATGAAAATCCTTGTCGTTTTGCACACTAATAGCCTAAATCAGGACAGATATGTCCTTCTCTCTACATCCTTTTAGATTAAAATCAACGTCACTGAGCAGTGGATCCCGAAATGATTTAAACATAATGTTCATTAGGCAGCAGTTTTATTTTGGAAACAATCAACCCAGCCACCCTCAGTACATATATATATATCAGGTTGTTTGCTGCAGAACAGATAATCACTCAGTTTCTCTAACCTGTCATTACTCTATGTTCTCACTTCCCAAGGACAATCGCCTTTGTTATTGGTTACAGAAACGGAACTCCTGTATTCCCCTGATAAATTCTTACTTCTTTGTATGCCATTTTCTTATTTATAGGTGATACTTTATTAACTGACACATTTTTATTGTTAATTTCCGCACTGGTGCGACGTTTTAATAAGTTTGTATGTTAAACTTTTTCACTACCAGCTTAATTATTGAGTAACAGTCAATCAGTTAGTAATTACTCGATACATGTTAACTAGAAAACTTAAATTTGAACTAAAATTATTTTAGGACATCAGAATACACAGAAAGCTGACGATCAGTCAACTGAAAATCATGAACAAAGTGTACAACATAAAACGGCTAGGAAAACAGATATCATTCGTGGATCTAGCCGACATCCTCTGTTGCGTGACACTGGTGCAAAACTACCACCGTTACAATCTTCCAAACAGGTAGGTCATAAATTATTTTTTTTTTTAACTATGACCTTCTATTAAGGCCAAGAGCTTTTGTCTAACTGGAACTGTATAGATGCCAGTGGTTTAAGCGTAGCTAAGTCTTCCCTTCAACAAGGTTAGTTGAAAAAAAACTTGCAGCTAAATATACATCTTCCGGGACGAAAGTATTTATAGACATCTCAACTCATAAACTCAGTCTCCATATACCCTACCATCGATTATTAACTAGGCAGTTTACAAGTGAATCGGGAGGGAATTGGACCTTGGATTACGTGTGTAGTTTACGAGTATTCTACCATTGAATCACCTGTTGAAAATATGATCTTTATAAAGTATTTTGGGCCTTGTTAATGGATTATTCCACTCTTGTTGTTACATATCTGAGCTATAATTATCTGTGTTCAGTTAATTAACCTGAAAACATATTTATATTAGAAATGTACTCAAAAGTGAAAACATGAGGTGTCCTAGAATAAACGTCATCATCAGTGGAAACCAGCATGCATTATAAGTAAGTCTGAAACATACAAAAAAAAAACTAATATCCAAAATTTCCGATAGATCCCTTCCTTTCACTAGGCAGATTTCATTCAGTATTCTATCCCCAAACGTTTCACATTTCTAAATACCAATTTTATGATTATTTTTTGCAGCAAAACTCAGGATGTCTAGTGGTCAATACTACGTGTATGCGTTATCTGGTCGATCCATTTCTAGACACTGAAATAGTTGGTGCTGACACAACTACTAGTGCTTCCAGCGAGATAGCTGTTGGCAATGATGATGATAATAATAATAATGATAACGCAAAATTCACTGGAATCTCACTTAAAAGTCACCTTCAGTTATTATTGAAAGAGCCGTCAACACGTAGTCAGCAGTTCACTTCACGTTGGATTGGTTTAATGGGTGACTGGGAATTGGGGAAAATACCAACTAAGGAAGAATTAACCGTGTTTTTAAATGAAGGAGCCAGTGGACTAATCAGCTATAGTACTGAGTCTTTCTTATCGTATTTACCTCCTTCAGCATTTGTTAATTTATCAATTCCTAGTAAGTTAATAGTTGTTTAGTTGAATACTCATAACACATTTATTTATTTACTTATTTGTTTATCACTTTAATCATCATGATCTTATGTTAATCTTATTACTGGGTTTTATAACGTAGATTACACAAAATGACTTTTGTAAAATGTAACAACTTCTAGTCAGTTTTAAGTATTGGTTTGTAGGGATTCGATTGGTTAAAGGATTTCATCATGAGCTGACATTGGTTAAAGAACCATTGGAAAACCTGCAGGGAGTACTGGACAGCTGTTTTGTCCTAGTTTGGGACACTTCAGCAGTACGCACCCACCGGGGTTCAAACCCAGTCAGTTTCCCTGTCAAATACACGAAGAAGACGATACAACTTCAAAATGATAAATGATAATTATCCATGCTACTACTAAATAAGACAAAATACCCAAAAATGATGTGACCATAAACAATATCTTTACATTTGTGTAAAATAAAAAGCGAATACATCAACAAAGACAATATCAACTTACCTTCTTACACTTACAACAAAAAGATATTTTAAACCCTTAAACCAAACTGATATCTGTCAAAAAGGTGCGGATAGTGTAAATTAAATAATTCACTGGTCAACAATTTGTCGTTTAATGTGGTTTAAGATCTCATACAAACAAAGCAAAATTAAATTTGTGTCCTGTCCTGCTCTCCACTACTGGTCATAGTAAACTGTATTATCACACTGAATTTCTACAACCATCGTTTAGTAACTAATATTACTATTATTACCAACAAGTAGATCGAACAGCTATGGGTTCCCCATTAGGTCCAATATTAGCTGACTTTTCCCCCGCAAAACTTGAAAATGGGAGATTAAAAGATATCATCAGGGAGTTGGATTTGTAGTACCATTATGTAGATGATGGAAATGCAAACATAGGCGAACTGTTGCCGGAATTCAACAACGTCCACCCCTGGCTTACTTTTACTTGTGAAGAGGAGCAGGAGAATAAACGACATTTTCTGGATGTCTTGCTAAGTAGGCAAGAAGACGGGTCACTTGGGAGAAGCGTGTATAGAAAAACCACATTCACAGGACAATACACACACTTCCTTGTTACGTGCCCATTAAATAAATAAGAAATGTTGTTAAAGGTCTAACGAGCAGACCAAGAAAGATATGTACGGATGACCTCTTACAAAAATAATCTGAATATATTCATGATTCCTTGATGGAGATGGACTATACGAGTAGTTTCATAAAGAAACATATGAAAACATCAGAGAAAAAACCTGAGACTCTGACTGCACGTAAGAAACCTCTATTTATTAAGTTACAATTTAATGGTAACTTATCAAGTGAGCTTTTGTTCCAGAGACTTTCCTGGAGTATACGGAGAACGTTTTACTCAGCATACTTATGTCTGTCATTCTCCAGCTGACGAATGATTGGGACGCAAGCGAAGGATAAGTTAGATAGTTTTGCCACATCTATGTGGATTTATCAATTCAACTGCACCTGCGGTGACAGTTATGTTGGGAGTACTACTAGACAGCCTAGCCAACGTGTTAGGGAACATCTCCCATCGTGGTTTGGCAAGGGACAGACAAAAACAATCCGTAGCTCAATTTTGTCACATTTAATTGATAGTGGTCATTTAGTGGGGAAAACGAAAGTTTTTGAAGTAATTCATCCCATTTCACCGAATCTTTTCAACAGACTTCGTATTCGTCTACTGTACACAGCTGAGGAGATAGGCATTAGAGCTTCAAAACGTAAACTATGCATTCAGAAATAAGTTCGTATAGCCATTATCCCTCCCTTGGCCTATTAAGACATAACCAACTGATGATTTCTCCACCATTCCTAACTTATATTTTCAATCCCTCTCTTATCTTACTATATCTTCATTCAAACGTATTTTATTTACTTCCCTTACAATCTAGTATTACCTATTCGGTTCAATTGTTTTTCTTAGCCTTTATCGACTACATCTATCTGAACATTTGTTTGTTGAACCATGCTGCTTTTCGCCATTCTTGTTATCACTTTTTTCATCCTTGTTATCGACAGAACCGTTATTATTATTATTATCACTAATTGCACAATTTATATGCAAAATCTTATTATCCTATTGATAAAACACCCTGGACTTGTTTTGTATTTGAATATCTGTTTGTAAAGTTATGTATATAGGGTTAAGTCTGGTGAGATCTAAATGGAAACAATATTGTTCGCTTAAATATGTTGTTTTAAACTCTATTATTATTACTGATAGCATTCAGACCTATGGCGTTTCCTAATTAATATGATGCATCTTACAAGAGATGAGTAGGTATCATATTGACTGATTTTTCTTTAATGAACTTTGAGCGGACCTCAGCGAATACTAGTAAGGAGATGATCTGCAAAAGCCTTGAACTGGCAGATTATTAAAGACATAACGAGTAATCGGTGATAGTGAGCATAAGCCGTCGGATGAGAGCCAATATAATAAAATAATTACCTGCCCCTAAGTATGTTGGCCAAAACAGCCTGACTAGTGGTGCAACATTGTAATGACAGAAGACAAAGGCCAGGCAACAGATCGTTTATTAAGGAAATCAAGAGGTATTTCTAGATTTTTATGTGCATTATTAATAACGTTATTGTCAGCGGAGAAGAAACCTCTTCTGATTGATTGTTTTCTTGCTGAAGGTTATTCTGATATCTCTTTGTAACCATTTCTCAGAAAATCAAGCCATATATCTGTGAATCATATTTCCACCTTTTAACTCCGCTGTGATTTGTAGGCGATTTTCTCAAGGTTAAGCTTTGTTAGTGTTCTTCTCATTACTCCGATTCGGGACGTGAACATTGACGTAAATTGGCGTCTACGATTTTCGGCTTGCAAACAGCTCTCACCACAATATGATCAATAAGCTAGGGGAACAGAAGTTGTTATACATTATAGTTCAATGTAATGTAGTGTAAAACGCTAGATATCAGTGGAACGCAACCCGAGTTTCTTGTCTTCTGACACTCACTATTAAAGCATCGACGACTTTCTGGAAACCCTTTATGCTCTGCAGCCAGACCTCAGAGGTCTGAAGCAGTCTAAACTGTATAAATTCTGACTAACAACTTCGGTGAACCGGGTAAAATCCAGAACTGAACTTTCAACTTGTAAATTATGCGATTCAAGGGTAAAATATCTGATGAGCCTAAATTTAAGATGGTTGGGTCTTTCATCTTTCTTCACTACTCTGCGTTCTTCCCCTTATATCAAATAGTAGTGAAATCCATGTTTATAAGTAATGTTTTACCACTTTGAAATACACGCCATTCACCTGTATTCTAAAAATAAAACACGGACAAATTAACAAATAATCTTTACATAAATTGATAATCCTTTAGTGTTTTTATTCCTCTACGTTCCCAGTGGAACATAGGGCTTCAAACTAGAGCTTTGAAGCTTCGGTAGCAATGGTGTTTATTTCATACATTTATTCCCCTTGATGAATTTGAACAAAGCAAGAACTACAGTTTTAGCAGAATAAAATGGTACCATCTTTTATTTCGTTGACTTCTCGTCAGCTGCTTACAGGGAAAAGACACTATTAAATATATCTACAAAAACAATTTTAACATAATTGCACAGAGTTCATTTTAAACAAAATCAATCGATCAATATACGCTCACACTAATAATAATATATATATATATATATATATATATATATATATATATATAATATTAACCACTATTCCGAACAATAATAATCAAACACAATGGAAACTTTTAGCATTTCACATTCGGAGGAAAGAGAGGTGAAATTATCCAGTTACCAGGGCGAAGAAAGGCAGATAACCTCTTCTTTCTGGACGCATAAATCAGGTTTCAGGTGCTTGATGGAAATGGCTTAAGCAAACTTAAGGAGAATTGAGCTGTTTTTCCTATTGATAATTTTGAACGACTTTTCGATGTCCACCTCATGACCCATGTCGAGGAGATGCCTGGTGATGGCATTGTTTAAAGCATTTGTTCCCTTTACGAAATGGGGTTGCTAACCTCATGCCCAACCTTCTCTCTTTACCAGTCTTTTTTCTACTAGCTTAGCGAGGTAAAGGAGTGAGTCGGCTGGAGGTGGAACTTCTAATCACATGCGTGGTTGGCGAGCATTCTACTGCTGTACCACCCACGCACACAATCATTTACTACTTTAAGTAAATTATAAATATAACTGATAAGGAATATTATTAGTAAATTATAAGAATTCTGTGAAAACTTTATGAAATCTAAATTATTAATTCTACAGTTTCTGATTCATATTTAGTAGTGATACTGAGCAAGAAAACGAAATTTTCAGTTTTTAGCCTTTCAGAGGTTAATACCTTCTTTTTTACTATACGATACCGCATATATTTGGGGAACAGTGAGAAAATGAATGTCTGACTTGTATGTAAATTGACTCAGATATACCTTTTTTCTTCTCGTCACAGTAATGTGAAGAAGAGGTATGGTATGTGAAGAATTGTGATGCGAGTAGACGAACAGATTAATAACGTTGGTTCATCAAATTGTTACTTAGTCAAAATACAGCTTAAACATTAGATCTCGTTAATTTGGTTTTTGAACTTCCGAGGATTTGTGTTCGTCACTTTATCTGTTCATCTTTGTACTGCTAATTACTCACTGCCCTGTTTGTTCACTGAGGTGTTATTACAGTACTTGCACCCGATTATTCATGGGTTTGATGATTTATGCTGTTATTGTTTATGATTATCTGTTTTAAACATCTTGAGGTTGTTGTGTACTGGCAACAATGAAATTCCTCCAATTACATTCCTTCACAGTTACTGTTAGTGGGAAATAAATCGAAGTCGTACAATTCTTTAGAACTTTCCAATACAGACCTTATTGTCGCATTACTGCACAAAGATTTTCAGAACGACCTCTAGGTGTGTAACGTCAAGTAAGATCTGCCATCTTCTTTCACTATGATGCTTTCAGAAACAAACAGACTATATCACATAAACTATGCTTTAATTCATTATGCGTTTTTCCATGTAATTTGTAGCTGAAATAGCCTAGCAGTGTTTAAGTCATTCAGACAGATTGCGTTCACACGGGAAGGTAGTAGAGCCTCTTTTGATGACGAAAACGGTTTATGGTGATATGACTGATTTATGGTAAAATAAATACATTTAAGAAAGCATCCATCTTGAAATTGAATTCCTTAAAACTGTCTATTTTCGCTTAAATTCGAAAGTGAAGATGCAAAACAAAGCTTCGTTCAGATTTACTCTTATTGCTTAACAATCACTCATTAGTCCCTTGAAATGACAACAAATGTCTTGTGTAAAACACAACATAATCGAGCAAAGAATATTCTTTTCAATAAATTCCTCTTCAGGCTCTACAATTATATACATGTTTATATACACAGAATATTCAAGGTTGGTAGTTAATAACAATATTAGTGTTTTTTAAATAATATCGATTTGTAAAGCAAGATCAATGCAATTACAGTTCACTAAAAATACTTAAATTATAATAGTAATAAAGATATAATAGCGAGTAGGATATCAACTAAAATTAGGAAATTTTCACTAATATTGTTATTAACTACCAACCTTGAATATTCTGTGTATATAAACATGTATATAATTGTAGAGCCAGAAGAGGAATTTATTGAAAAGAATATTCTTTGCTCGATTATGTTGTGTTTTATAGATATCTGAATGAATATTTTTGCTATATTAAAATGTCTTGTGAACCTTAACCAGTATAAGAATAAAAATTTATAAGTAAAATTGAATTGACTTTCAGTCAGAGTGTCCTATATCGAAAATCCACTCAACCTACTTCGTGATGAGTAAGTAAACCTCTACTTTGATCAGTATTCAAGGATTATGCAAGGTTACCAATTTTTTCAGTTAACCTATAAGTATTCAACTTCATATCATGGAATCACTTGATCTGAGAAAACTATTTCATAAAATATTCAGTTGATGACTTTAAGTTGTACACATATTAAATGTTACTTTTTTTTTATTATTATTATTGCTCCATTGGGTTCCTAGTGGAACATAGGGCTTCAACTGCACGTCTCCATTTCCTTCTGTCTTCTGCTATACTTTTTGCCTGCATCCATGTTAATCCATCTTCTTTCAACTCCTCTTCACACGATCTCCTCCATGTCTCCCTTGGACGTCCCACACGCCGCTTCCCTTTCGGGTTCCACTCGAGGGCTTGGCGTGCGATGTCACCCAGAGGTCTCCTCAGCGAGTATCCGATCCATCTCCACTTTCTCCTGCATATTTGTTGGGCGATTGGTTCTTGCTTTGTTTGTTCCCATAATTCCTTGTTGGTGATTCTTTCCGGCCATCTGATCTTCAGTATTGAGCGAAGACAGTTGTTGGTTGATAAAGGTCTGCAACAGGCTGTTGGAAATATTCTTTGTGACCCGAACGGCCAAGTTTCTGATCTGTATAGAAGAAGTGACTGACTTGACGCTGTTTGTATTGAAAATCCGACTGAATTTTGTTGTTGGTTCTGGCTGAGTGACGAAGATTTCCAGATTGAGTGTTTCAGGCTGACGAATGTGTTTCTCGCTCGCCTTCCCGATTCTCGCTCTATTTAACATCGTCGTCCGTTCCTCCTCCCGTAGTTGAGACAATGCTCCGTAGATAAGTGAGTGAATGAAGTAACCTCTTTCAAATCGCTCCCGTTGATGGTGATTGGCGTTGGATGTTGTTGCTGCTGTTGGTTGGTTATTTTCATAACCTCCGTCTTGTCTGTTACTTTTTTTAATTGATTTGAAATTTCAGTATAGCAAAAATATTCATTCAGACATCTATAAGACACAAAATAATCGAGCAAAGAATATTCTTTTCGATAAATTCCTCTTCCGGCTCTACAATTATATATATATATATATATATACAAAATATTCTAGATTAGTAGCTAATAACAATATTAGTGTTTTTTAAATGATATCGATTTGTAAAGTATGATCATTGCGATTACAGTTCATTAAAGATGCTTAAATTGTAATAATAATAACAATAATAAAGATCTAGTAGTAAATAGAATATCAACTAAAATTAGGGAAATTCCACAAAAATTCAGGATTATTCAAACCTAGATGGCCAAGGTACGGATGATGTCTATACTAACTTCTTTTGGATGCATAGATTAGGCTTGTTAATATGGATCCCCACAGCTTCAGCAATATTTAGTAGTCGAAATCTTAAGGCAAAATTGAGATTCTTAGGTATATGGTAAATGACCCTGAAAGCATGGTTAACGTCAATCTTGTGTTCTGTCTCCACAAGATGAGACAGAATAGCGCTATGAATGGATTTTGTTTATCCTTTGCTTAACCACGCAGAGTGATGTTCGGAAATTCAACGAGAAACACGCCCAATTGTGCAGCCTATGTAACTAGCTCGTCAGGAGCAGTTAAATTGCTAGATACACATGGATGAGGCGAAATTAGGCAGTTTGTCTTTTACTCCTGAACGCAGAAGAGGAGTGGTCTTAAAGATACAACGTAATTCAGCAGCAGGGAATGCTTGTTTTACCGCATTTCTAATGCGCTGTGTTAGTATCTCGCTAATGTTGTCCCCAAGGAACTACATCTGAAAGAATAAGGCCTTTTTTGGAAATGTTGGTAACTTGGGCTGCTTTGCTTTCAGAATCATATTCTTATCAATACACTTTTCAGGATAACCAATTTCACTTAGCAACCGTTTAATATTATTCAGTTCCTCATCAAAACATTCGTCCGAGTAAATCGCTGTTGCTCTGTGAACCAGGCATTTTTGATTTTCTGTTAATTGATTGGCCTTTATTGGTTTATTGTCTCCTAGGTTGATTGGCTCGATAATGTTTTTGGTTTCATTCTGATGTTATTTGATTATTCATCTTGTTTATTTAAACAACCTTTGTTTAAATAGATTGCTACTTTATTTGTCATCTGGATAAAATTTATACAAGAAGTAGTCGCCTCCGACAAATGAAATTAGATGCTCATAAAACGTAAGTTCCATTGCTTTTTATTCTTATTTGTATTTGACTTTCAACCAACTAGTAATGAAACTGGTAAAGGGGGAAGGTTGGGGATGAGGCTAGCAACCCAACCCGTAAAAATAAACATCACTGCTACCGAAACCCTCAAGCCTCTAGCTTGAAACCCTGTGTGCTACTGGCAACGTAAAGGAATAAAAAAGAGGATATTCTGCTAGTAGGTACTAGCAGTTAGCATGAGTGGTTTTTGACCACTTATATCAATCAGCAGGATGTAATTTCATGTCGTTTCGTCTGATTTTATAATTGCGATTTATGGTATCAGATAGATTACATGTATTCTAAGTTTCCAAAGTAAATAGTACTGGATTTACACCTTGAAGTGTTTGGTTTGTCAATGACGAATTTGACTCTAGATTCTATAGAGATTTTCAAAGATTTCGAAGAATTATTTTCTAGCTTTTCCCAATTATCAGAGCACTCTATGAGACAATCGGTATGTTTGGACCGATAAGAAGACACTAGAAGATCTGAACTTCACGGACGATCCATGTCTAATGTCGTGTAAACTCTAAGTCTTACTAGGCGAAAACCAACAAGTTGCCGGAAGAAGTAGTAAATACAGGACTTCAGGTGAACATAAAGAAAACGAAAGTGGTGAAGATAACTAGCCAACACAATAAGCACCAATGACCATCAGCGGAAGAAAATTGAAAGTGGTCATTTCCTTCGCCTGTCTAACCAGCATCGTTTCAGCTACAGGTGGTGGCACGGATTAGGTTGTCCAAACCAGGATGAGAAAGTCAAGGCAGAACCTCACCACTCTGACGTTATTTTGAGAATCCACCGCGCCCACCTCTGAGAACTAAATTCGAATTTTTAACACCGATGTTAAGTCATTTCTTCTTTATTGACCTGAGATTTGATTTAAGTAAAGCATTTCCAACAGACTTCAAACTTTTGTCAGCATCTGGCTTCTTTCAATACTGAAGGTTAGATGGCCAGAAGGAACAAGCAATAAGGAACTCTGGGAACGAACCAATCACGAATTTATTTCTCTGAGTTTAGGCGACCGTTAAGTAACACCTCAGGTGGAAACCGAGTAGGGAACGACAAGTTGGGAGTACAAGAGTGACATGGTGGAGGTGGTGTGAGGGGCGATGAGAACCTATGGGCAGTCCTGGGGACAACTAAAGAGGACTTCAGAAGACATAGTGAAATGGAGATATGTTGTTGAGTCCTTATGTTCCGCTTGGAACCCAAGAGGATAATAAATACATTTACTATGTTCCAATAACTATTATTTTACGAAATATCGTGAAGCAAATATCACAGCTGGGTAGCTTATCTGATTTGTAAGTGTCAAAGAGTTTTCACTGGGTCAGTAATATATTCAGACTATCATTTTTTTTAAAAACCAAAGATGGCTTATCTTACATTTTCCCTTGGTTTAAAATATTTAAACTATATGCTACCAAAACTTCCTCCACCATGAAACCAATAGACCTCTGGTTATTCAAAGTCATAACTATATCCTGTTCTGCTACAAATTTTTATTTTTAAGCAAATCAGACTTAAGTTAACATATACACATTCTTATGTAGTTCTTGTCTTTAGCAGTAAAATTTAAAATTACTAATATTTATTTCAGAGAAACAAGGCACAGTAAATCATAAACGTGGTTACTAAGTGTTTTTCTTTATTATACTTTCATCTAGGATAATAGAACGTGAATTGGAGCAAGCTTTAACTACAGCTGTCACGTCGACACTAACTGGATCACGCTCTGTGATAACTCTGCAGTGGCCTACAAGCTTAAAAATCAATCAGTTTAGATTAGAAAAACTATTAGGATGTAAGTAACTATTAACTGTATTTTACTTTTGAAACTATCAGATTTATCACAAACATTACAACTGTAGAACTTTAATTCACTTTCAGATTTTCCCGTATGATGGATTCGATCAAAGTGCTCAGTCTCGGGTTGACATGTCGGCTCTTTGTGTGGATACTTCGACGATGTCTGGTAAATGGTGACTAGCAGGGGAATCCAGGATGTGCATTTTGTCCTATTTTGGACTCGCCAGTCCAAGTGGTGTAGTGGATAACGCTTTGACGTTTGAAACTATGAGCACTGGGTTCGAGCCTCAGTGGGAACACCATCACTTACTCGCTGAGGTACATCTAGTGAAGAGTCCCCAATAAGACGAAACGCACCTCCTGCATTCCACTACTAGTCACCATCCACCAGTTAAACTGTAAAACTGATGAAAATAGGAAGTAAGTGAAAACTACATCAAAGTTAATCAAATCCTCGGAATCCATATTCGGTTCTACTCTAACTGAATGATTGTACTCAAAACATTCTCAGCTACCCAGTAGGGGCACAGTAGTACTCTACTAACGAGCATAACACTTGCATAAAAAAGTTACCCAATGCTACCTAGCTTACAATTATTCTTCAACTGATGCTGATTCGTTATTAAAACTGCATTTGAATCAGTTGGCTCCTGATACATCAAATGGAAATATTGTTTATTTTTTTCAAAATTAGTATATGAACAGATAACCTGTATTTCTATACTACTCAAAGTGAGTGTAATTAGTATAATTGTTGACGTTTTCTTTCTTTCATTCTTTTAAGCGACAGAGTCCTTTGTGTTATTGACTATATGGCACCACCAAATCCCAAGTGATTTATGCAGATCATATATTTAAATCACTGGAATTATGGTCGGCTACCGAAGGGAAGTGAAAACTAAGATTTAGTTCAACTTTAAATAAAATACAACATATCAGTCGATATTTTACCACTGCCTTTTTTGAAAAGCAAATTAACAGAAGGGGCACTGGATAGCACTGAAGGAGAAATCTTGCTTCAAAACGGTGATTTTTGCAAACATTCGATATTATTATCATTGTTCCCTTGGGTTCCTAGTGGAACATAGGGTTTCAACTGCACGTATCCACTTGCTTATGTCTTCCTTCTTCTGTACTTATCACCTGCATCCATCCATGTTAGTCCATACTGTTTCAACTCCTCCCTCTTCATACGATCTCCTCCGTGTCACCCACCCTTGCACTGACGACCCACTCGCCACTTCCCTCTCTTTCGGCCTGGCTCCACTCAACCAATGGCCTGACGCGCGCACGATGTCACCCAGTGGCGGCCTCCTCAGCCACGAGTGTCCAATCCATCCATCCATCTCCACTCCATCTCCTGCATATTTGTTAGTTGGCGATTGGTTGGTTCTTGATTTGTGTGTTTGTTTGTTCCCACAGTTTCCAATAGTTGGTGATTCTTTCCGGCCCCCCGGCCATCTCATCTTCATTCAGTATAGATCCAGCGAAGATAGTTGTTGGTTGATAAAGGTAGCGTCTGCAACAGGCTGTTGGAAATATTCTTTGTGACCCGAACGGCCAAGTTTCTGTCTGATCTGTATAGAAGAAGTGACTGACTTGACGTTGTTTGTATTGAAAATCCGACTGAATTTTGTTGTTGATGGTGGCTGAGTGATGAAGATTTCCAGATTGGGTGTTTCAGGCTGACGAATGTGTTTCTCGCTCGCCTTCCTGATTCGATTCTCGATATAACATCGTCGTCCATTCCTCCTCCTATAGTTGAGACAATGCTCCGTAGATAAGTGAGTGAATGAAGTAACCTCTTTCAAATCTCTCCCGTTGATGGTGATTGGCGCTGGATGTTGCTGCTGTTCTAAATTCTGAGATAATAGTCTGACGGGGTTCAACTGATATAAGTCATCACGCTGATACCCCTTAATAATTACGACTGTACAAGTAACACCGGAATCTAACGTCTGTCGTCAGAGAGGGATTTGTTTAAAAGAGTTTCAAACTACTCACTTAAATCGGTTTGGCGACCCCACCACAAAAACTGCATTGATTCTTGTTGATACAATTTTTAGTATTACAAACAAAAGGACAACAATGAACAATAAACAATTAAGAATATCAGGAAGACAGTGACAGAAGTCAAAAAAGCATTCTGCTGTTTTGTGTACTAAATTAAAAAAGTATCACTGCTTTGAGTTGACCTGTCTTATGTATTTTAGATCCCATATAAAAAAGATTTCATGGTTTCATGATTTTTCTCAGTGAATAGAACTGAGTGGTTTCAACGTAGAACTTTGCACAAATTTGCAGCAGTTCTAGTGGCCACACTTCACTAAGCATATAAAGCAAGAGAAAAGAGTTAAACGAGTTTAAAAACAGAGATAATAAACAAAGACATGAGACAAAAAGAAAAGTAATATGGGAGAACAATATAGTTTTATTTGATATTATAAGTCATAAGGATTGGATGCATCTACGCCTTTGACAACAGTTTCGAACCATATCATCAGTTGTCTCCAGCCATCGGTTTTACCATTGCGAGAACGCCAGCCAGGAAGCCAGTTTACATATTCCTCCGTGACTGGCTGGTTTATACTAACTGCTATGGATTTCATTGACCTATAAGTCATGTTCTGGTCTGACCGACCCTGGCTTTTTTCCAACTTGATTCTATGTCAGTCAGCTAACATTGCCCATTGTCGTGGAAGGCGATGGCTAGTCATGCGTAACACTTCCAAAAGCGAACGAAGCCATTACGGTCAGTAAATACACCTCAACTGGTCTGCCACTATGGGAAATAATCATCTTACAGCCTAGATGAATATAAGTTTTCACACTTTACACACATTTAAAACCTATTACATCAGTCATTTTCGTTTGCCATACGGCTGTTCAGAAAGATCTGCTCTTGAAAAAACACCTGAATTTTTCGCGTATTCTTGGCCTACTCATGAGTAGTATACAATTTAGTGCAAAACTTTGGTAAAACCACTTTTAACGTCCCGAGAAAGTGAAAAACTCCATCAAACCTTTTACAAATACTTATCATTTCGTATTACCAGAGAGCAGAGAAGAGAAGGGAAAATCCCAAAGATTTGAGTCAAGCATAGAATAAATACTTCTGTCTCATCACAGTTAAATAAAGAAGCCTAATATAAGCTGTTCAATTTTTATGAGTAACTGACCATATAATAAATTCATAGTGAATTCGAACTTTCTGTGCATGCTTAACAGATTTATTTTCCTAAAAGTACAGCCATTTCAAAGAAGGTAGACTACTGCATCGCAAAATTTAGCTTAACTGTTCCTGCTGACTCAACCTATTCTGCTTTACAAAACTGGTATATACGTAAATATAGTCTGAGTGTTACTGAGTGAAGTAGGGTAGAGTAAATTCCGCATAATAAGCCAACTGATGAAAACCTTTAAATTTTAAACCTGAAAGTTATCTGTATTTTATTAGCAGAAATCATATAGTCATCTGTAGGATAACAGGCTCAGCACCTTAACAGGTTGGGGGATTCATCTGATATTCTTTTTATCCGCTAACTTGAACAGTTAAGGGGCTAGGGTTTGACTGTCCTATTAAATGTAATTGCTTTCATGAAGCACTTACTTATCTCCATGTGTTGTAATATATCCTGATCTCAGTCTCATTTAGAATTATGTCACTGAATATCCTCTTCCTGTGTGTTTTTATCTGGGCCCAAAAGACGCGGTTAAAAAAATGGAAGAGCTCAAGTTATCTCCCAAAGAAATAAATAGATGTTTCTTCTTCTGTCTCACCTCATTCTCTTAAGCTACGCAAATCATCAAACTCTTCTTTTTATTGTTTACATAGTCTTTAAGTTCACTGCATTGATCGTATTTGACAAACTGATACGTCTACCTTTTGATGTTTCAGTCAAAATAATTAAGTTTGTTTCTTTTTTTTCCTTCACGTTCCCAGCGGAACATAGGGCCTCAAGCTAGTGGCTTGAAGTTCCTGTAGCAGTGTTTAATTTTACAGGATGGGGTTGGTAGCCTCATGCTCAACCCTTCCTCTTTACCAGGATTATTTGTGGTTTAGCGAGGTAAAGGAGTGCGTCTGTGGCCGGGAATCGAATCCTGGACCATGTGTATGGTCGGCAAGCGTCCTAACCGCTGTGCCACCGACGCACACTACATTCTTATTTTTTAGACCTTTGCGTTCCTAAGGGGACATAGGGTTTCAAACTAGAGCTTTGAAGTTTCAGTAGCAGTGGTTTTATGTTTACTGAGTGGAGTTGCCAGCCTCTTTATTGGTCTTACTACTGGTTTGGCAAGGTATAGGAGTGTGTCAGCTGGGTGTTGAACTTCAGACCTCTGAAGAGATTGGCGAGCGTTCTACTTCTGGACCACAGACACACTGTTTTCCTAAACAGACTACAAATATTTCTCTTTAGAAGTGACCTTTTCCAATTAAGAAATCTGTTAGCTTTTCACTTTGGATGGTCATCTTCATGACAGACACTAAAGATTTTCTTGCTTACGAAACTGGCTAATCATACACTCACTTTTTGTTTCGCTACTGGCCATATGAACTATCAGTATTGAAATATACTAAAACACTTTTATCTTCAAGTGTTGGTTTGTAGGGATTTGACTGCCTACAGGATTTCATCATGAGCTGACATTAGTTAGACAAACATTGGGAAACCTGGGAGTACTGGACAACCGTTTCGTCCTAGTTTGGGAATCTTCATCAGTACGCACCCACCTGAGTTCGAACCCAAGACGAGCTCTTAGACTATTAGGCCACTGGGACCCGATCCAATGGCCCATGGTCTACGAGCTCGCCTTGTAACCAGGAGGTCCTGGGTTCGAACCGTGGCGGTTTGTGTGTACTGCAGAAGAGTCTCAAACCATGTGGGACGAAACAGCTGTCGAGTACTCCCTGGTTGGTGTTCCAATGGTTCTCTAACTAATGTAAGCTCATGATGAAATCCTGTAACACTTTTATCTTCATTGATCATTTCTCCTCTGTTTCAGAGAGACTGTTTTACACACATTTATTAGAAATAAACTGTCTGCTACTTGACATAATAGTTCAGATTGCGTGCAACATGTTTGTTCAGATAACCTCTGATATAATTAGACTTTGTTCAGCTGAAAAACTACAGATATGAGCACATTTATTCACTTTTTGTTGTCAAAACTTACACTTAATCAAACAGTTCTGGTTTTGTTCATTTTTTTTTATCATGTTTGTTTTATTATCATTCTGTCTCTGTGACAATGTTTTCTGCTACAGCGCAAATTGTAGTAGCCTAAAATGATACACTTGTAAGTTATACTAGCTGTGTTTGCTCAGTAATTCGGACTCAATGAGTTTCCATCGTAAGGACCTTGTGAGGTTAAATCAAAGTAATATTTATCACTTATTTTCAGAATGAAATGCCTCTTCTATCAGACTATTCAAATTTACCGCTAGAAATTGCCATTCTATTGTTCTATTTGTCTGACATACATTTCTGTATTCATTTTTAATCATACTAGATTTACTAGATCAAGCCTATACTATTGGACAGTCAACTATGCTGATACAGTATGAACTTTTTAAAAAAGAACTAGATGAATACAAAGTGCGTTTAAAACAAATCAATGAAGTCAAGGTCATTCAAATGTCAAAAGAAAACTCACTGGATGAAATGAATCATCATGAAGGAAAATATGAAAATATACAGATGAAAATGACACCAACATTGGAACCATTCAATATGATTGTTTATGGATTGCCGAATATTTCTTTTGCTTAATTTAATGGATCACAAAATAAAGTACTCTTAATGGTGTCATCTTTCATATTCAGATTCAATTTTTTCTTAATGTTACAGAATGAAAGCAGAGAAAAACACTCAAAATCAACTGCAGGAAATATTGAGTAGTTCTTTGATTTACTTTTCCTGACCAAACATACAATTTTCAATCGAAACTATGTCAAAAATATATATTGTTACACCTAGATGTGTGAATTGTTTTTTTGTTTTTTGACAGAATGTGAAGTATTTTCACTTCGTCTATGAGAGATTTAGCTTGCCTTCATGACCCATGGCAGTCAATTAAGTGAACATAGAATTAACCGGATAGTAAGCTTTAATCCAATTAAATAATATTAACTGGCTACTATACAAAGTAGATATTCCAGTAACAATCAATATTTGTGCTTAATTTAAATATCCACTGTTTAAGTCCTCTTAAATAAGCCAGAAATTAATATGATCCTTTACAATTAGTCAACGGTCTATTAAAATTCCAAATAATTTACATTAATGTATGTATAAATATTAGACTAGGTAACATGATGAAGATGATCAGAAATATCTTTCTGGAAATGTTAAGAAAAAGACTTATTACCTCAGATAGATAGCAGTGATGTGGCTGATATTATAAATAAGTAGTATAGTTCAGTGTTTCTAAAAAAAAGTGATAAAGTTATCTATTTAGTAAGTAAATGTTCTTCAGCAAATAATAATAACTAGTTCCTATACATAATCACAGCTCTAACACATTTATATTGTGTCTGAAACTGTTTACATGTAATAGCATCATTATAAGTAGCTACTAAGGCTTTTTGACGTCTCTGTAATGAACAGTCGGGTTTCACTGAGTATGATTGTTACTAGTTTAAATGGAATAAGTTAAAGTGGTAATTATTTCTTATCTAAGCATCTTTCAGTCTACAGTCCTCTACCATCTGAAGGTTAACAGCTAATCTTGCTATTCCTGACCTGAATAATAAGTAAGGTATATTAATCACAAGTGAAATGCAGTACGACACTGCAATACATTGTAACTAGGTATCAGGGCTCGATTCGTAGAAGAGGGGATCCCTTCATAACCTCTGATAATCATATCTGTGTTGCGCAGTGTTGAAATTTTGAAAAAAACAATACTAAGATTGGTAGCATAGTAATGTGTTTCATTTGTTTACCGAGAAATCTACATTCTTGTCTTTCCAAATTGAAATGGATTACAGGGTGAGAGATAATCCCTAGCTGATGAACTTCAACAGTACAAATTCTACATGCAAGACTCTCTGTTGATTAATTTTTAACTTTGATTACCAGTTTTCACATCTATCTCCAGTTAGATATCTTCTACGCTTTGCTGTTCCAATAGTGTTAGTATCTAGTTTGAAATGGGAACTTTTGTAGGTCATATATATATTAGGTAATCATTCATTTGTAAATGCAGCCATTGCATCTGAAATCCTTTTACATTTGATATTGGTGCCTTTGTACCTCCTGATCCATTTATAAACCTGTAGGACAGTAGCTGAACTGTCAAGTACTCGTCGTTTAACTTGATGGTCTTGCCTTCCATTCCTACAATGTCTGTTAGCTGACGGAGAGTTTCAGATTAGAATAAAATAGGTATTTAGTTCTCTATGGTTTTCAGTAGCTTCCCAAACCATACAGGTTCGCAATAAAATTTATCTTGATGACATCGCGTCTGAAGTCTACAAATAATTATCTTAAATGAAATACATCATCACAGTCTATGAAATACCATCCTATTGTCTTCGAAAGTAAGATGATTATTACTTGTAACGGATAGATTCCAAGCCCAATAGAGTTAGGTTGACTTAAAGGTTGCGAACTCCTGTATCACTGTTTTTGCCATAAATTAAATATAATTTTCCATAATACATTGCATTCCCTTCGAAATTATGGCCAATGATCTATAGGATCACAATTATTATCTTTCCCTTTGGTTCCGAGTGGGACATAAGGCTTCAACAACACAACTACACTTTCTTCTATTTTCTGCAGTCCTCTTCATCTGCCTCCATGATTGACCATAATCTCTCATCTCCCCTCGCTACACGATCTTCTCCATGTCACACTCGTACTGACGACCCACTCGTCGCTTCCCACTGGGATTCCACTCGACCAATGGCCTGAATTGCCCACTATGTGTTTCGACGAGCTCCTCAGTGGCGTATGCTCGATCCATCTCCATTCTTTCTTGCATAATTTTGATCAATCAGCCCTTGGTTGTTTTACTCTCAGCCAGAGTTCCTTGCTGCTAATTCCTTCTGGCCGGCCATTCGGCCTTCGGTATGGAGCCAGCGATGGTAGCTGTTGACAAAAGTCTGTAACTAGATCGGATTACTAGTGTGCCGGTATTTAGCTAAATTTATTTCCTATTATTTTAATAATCAGAAAGTAAGTTGAGAATCAAATAATCATTTTAATTATCTATTTTATATTGAAATTCATTCTCAGAGCATACTACTTTTCTACAGTATTGAAAACATTCGTGTCAGATAACTTTTAGCGTTTGTGAGACGTTGTAATGTCCAGCAGCCTCACCTACTGCCTATGAACCCCCTTCGCCTTGTTTTCATATTAAATTAACCAAGTTTATGTAAACAATATTTCGATGATGACTTCATTTTGTATTTTATTACGAATGTTACACTTTCCCATATTAAGGGTAAATAAATAAGCATCCGAACAACGTGAGAATCACTTTTAAAGATAGAGTCGAATATCAGATTCACTTAAATTATAGAAATATTTATAACTGCAAAACATAAACCTTAAATAAATAGAATCTTCTTTCCCACTCATTTATTACAAACAAACAAAAATTGCACGAGTGTTTACACATTTTGTACGGATGCTGAAGCAATCCTGAATTATATTATATCAGTTCTCACAAATCTGCTCTTTTAAAACTTCATCAGTAAATCATGAAATAGTGGAATGTTTCTCAACGAATGTTGACTATTACATTCCGAAAATGACCATTCAAGGTTAAATAACTTCAGCTATACAAAATCAAGTATTAATTTACTATATTTCTAAACGCTTTCCTTATATATTTTGAAAATGCACAGTTCCACTTTTTCAAGATTGTTATGTGTATTTAAAATCCTTTTGACAGTGTATTGCAGTTTGCTGTGATCATGGACTTGAAATAAAATTCACTTAATAATAAATTATGTCAGTGATTCAATGGTAGGTAGAATTCTTACCGACCACGCAGATGGTCCGGGTTCGATTCCCGACCAACGCGCTCCTAAACCTCGTGTGGTTGGTAATAAGCTCTGTAAAGACGGAAGGCTTGACTTGAGACTAGCAGCACGACTGCTACTGAAACTACAAAGCTCAAGTTTGAAACATTATGCTCCGTTTAGAATGCAAAAGAATGAAAAAGGAAAATAATAATCATAGGTATTAATACCTTAACGTATCATAATAATAATAATAATAATAGTTAATATTTTGTGAAACTGTTGGAAGTAATCTTATTTCAGCCGACAGATTTATTACAATGTAGTGATGGTAGGAGCTGAGACGAAATGATGAGCCATCACACGATTCTCGTCTCGAAATGAAGTGAACAGAGAGAGAGAGAGAGAGATCGGTACTTTGTTAAACCCCGTATATTTTAGCTCTAGGGATAAATTACTGACCGAACTCGTATTACACAGTAATTTAAGCAGTGTTATTTTCAACTGTTGGTTTGTAAGGATTAGATTTGTTTCTACGAGTTGATCACGGATTGATATCAGTTAGAGAATCATTGAAAACCAAGGCGTCCTTGACAGCTGTTTCCTTCCTAAACTGATTCACAAACTGGGATAAAACAGCTGCCCAGTACTTCCTGGTTTTCATTGGTTCTCTAACTGTGGTATCAATCCGTGATCAACCCGTAAATGTAGTGTTATTTGCCTATGAATCACAAGCATTCGATCGGTTTAACTGGTAACTGATACTGCTTTCTTATGCTTGTCAACATATTATTTGCATTCACCTTACAAGATAACTGATGTTACCTGTGGAGATTAATGATACAGTTATTTAAGAAGAAGCATCCTACTACATTTTGATACAGCCACAGTTACTGAAACAGACAAAATGTTTTTAAAGTAAGCAGAATGAAGGCAACAAAAACACGTCGTATGCTTTTATCCATAGTAGGTTTAAATGTTAGCGATTTCCAGGTTAGACAGGTTTCTTCATGTTTTTCTTTAAAATTGGTCCTGACTGGTAACAGATGGTTATCTGGACAGAAATGTAAAATGCGTTTTGGGATCTCACAAGTACCTTCAGCAAACTCTTCAGACTGGCTAAGGATGCTCTATCTGAGCATTAAACTCACCTTAGACCTGTGTATGTAAGTGGTTTGCTTTAAGGAACAAACTGGAAGACGGCTTCTGATAATGCTAGTGCTTTATGTCGTTCAAATTGCAGTCAACTGGTGGGTAAGCAGTGATTATGAAGTCTCATTACATATTCTCCTTCCCCTTTTATGTGCGCTTTTTCTGAAATATAACTAATTGAGCTAATGCACTTCTATTCAGAGTTCTACAGTGATAATTTAGCCAGTCCCAAATGTGAAATAAAAATTTATTGTATTGTCCAGTTGAATTCCTGTGTTAGTAATGGTTATCCAGGCATAACTTGTAGATCATAGTTTTGCTTTCTGTTGTAGTTAAAACTTTTAAGTGTTTCATTGTAAAAATCTCATCGATTTTAGAGTAGATTTTGTCAAGAAATGAAATCAGTATCCAATAGTTGTCTAATTAGTGTTGATTCGTGAGAAAACTTAACCTTTTTGCTTAAGTGCCGAAATTTAGAGAAGATGAACGTACAACACTTTCAAAATGATATTTGATGGATCAGTTAGCTGGTAGAAAAACAGATCTCTTGATTTTTATAATATTTTATAGAATACAGAAAATAGACGTTCTCGTAATAGTTTAATTCTCTTAATAAACTCATCGAAATGGCGTATCTTAATATTCATCTATTATTTCACTTGTACTGGTGCTTGAAGTAAATCCCCAAAAAATAAGGCTCCGCTTGTAAGTTTTCTGTGCTAATGAAGTTAAACTAGTGTGTTATTGTTATTTTTGCAATATGACTACGTTTAAATCTATGCCTCAGTAAGCAGAATACTTTTCATGCTAACCCCCTTATATGGACTGAAAATAATTTA